CCCCCCCCCCCCCCCCCCCCCCCCCCCCGCAGCTCTCATCCTAGGGTCCTTTACCGGTGCAGACTCGCATCTCCACCGGGTGCCACTTTCTAGCTGCCTGAACGATGGCCTTCCCGTTCTGAGGGGAGCAGGTCTGCTGATAATGAATTCCTTCAGCTTTTCTTTGTCTAAACACATCTTCACTTCACCCTTGTTTGTGAAAGACATCTCTGCTGGGCATATAATTCTAGAATGACAGGTTTGTTCCCCCGTTTTTAGGACTTTCAGGATGCTGCTTACTGGCCCCAGCTGCTCCTCTCAGGCCTTCCTCTCATGACTTGAAGGCTTGACTGCTGATTTCCACTGCTCCCAGCAAGAAGTCTGCTGTCATCCTGATCTTTGCTCCTCTGTACCTAGCATGCCTTCTTCCCTCTAGCTGCCTCCTCATAAGTGTTAAGTGACTTGGTTATGAGGTGCCCGGGTGTTCAATTCTGTCCCTCAGTAGTGGCAGGAGACTGGCTTAAGGATCTCTGACATAAACTCAAATCCAAGGACTCCCTTAACTCTTCTATAAAATGGTGTTGAGTTTGCATGTAACCCACACACAGCCTCCCAATAAACTTCAGATCACCTCCAGATTACTTACAATACCTCATCTAATATAAACGCTACGCAAATAGTTGCTATAGGGTGTTATTTAGGGAATAATGACAGGGAAAGTCTGTACTAGTTCAGTAAAGACCAATTTTTTTCCAAATATTTTGGATCCTAGCCTGTTTGAATTCTCTTATGTGGAACCCCCAGACGCGACTGTGGTCTCCTTCATGGTTATGCATTTCATTTTAATTTCTAGAAGACTGAACGTTTTATATTTTCCAGGTCCTACTTAACTCTTTGAACACAGAACACCAGTTACATTAACTGGTTTTCTGGAAACTCTGTGTGTTAGCTCTGGGTCAGTTCTGATGGATCATTTTCTCATTTCCTAGGGTGCTTTTCTGCTCCTTTACACATCTAGTAATTTTTGAAAGATCATCAGACTATAATCTTTACCTTGCTGGGGGTAGGGGGCGGTATTTTTGTGTTCCAATAAATCTTCTTGAGCTTTGTTCAGTGATACAATTAACTTTCTTGGTAAACAGGTTGACCCTTTCAGAGCTTCCTTTCACTGCCTGCCAGACAGGCCCAGAGCAGTGTTCCGCCTAGGGCTGCCTCACACTCTTCCAACAGCCCGTGAGTTCTTGGTTTTCTCCAGTCCGGCTGGTGGGAGCAAGCCTCTGTGTGGGGAGTAGACACTGTCTCCTCTGGTCCTTCTCAGTGAGGAGCTTCCTCACACTGCTCAGTAGTCTGCTCATCGGGGCCTGCATCATCTCCAGGGTTTCTTCCTGTGCAGCTCGCTCCTCCACAAACACTGTCCTATAAGCTCAGCAGCTCTGATGCCTCTGGCCCCTCAGTTCTGTTTCTCCGACTCCTCCACGCTGCTGGGCTCTGTCGCAGTCGCTTCGCCAGCGCCACCACCAGGAAACATTCTCAAGGCTACAGTAAGCGAAGCCAACCACAGAGCTCGCCTCTTTTCTTTCCCACCTTGCAGGGGTCACTGTCCTTTTTGTCTGATGTCCAGTGACCTGAAGCTGTTGTCTCCTTCTTTTGTTTGGATTTGGAGGTGGTTTCAGGTAGGAGAGTACGTCTAGTCCCGGTTACTCCATCTTGGTGGGAAGACGAAGTCCAGTTCTCTTATTTTTTCCCTATGATGAACCAAAATCCTCCAAGTGATGGTTACATGAGTTTTATTTCTTTCTATTGGTAAGATGGAAAACCATGGATCACCTTCCTATGATTTATCTAATTTATTTCTGCAATCAGCTACATTTGGAATTCTGCTATATGGAAAGATTAATCAATGAGACAAATATAGGTGAACATGACTATTTCATGGGATGATTTCTTTTGAAGGTCACAATAAGACATTTCCTCCTAAACAGTAAAGTCTTTAGAATACCGACTATTAAATCTGGTTGGGTGTCTGGCATGAAAACAAGAAGACTGACAACTTTGGAACTTCCCCACTTACCTGTACATCCTGTATGCTGAGTTCAAGCATGTGACTGGTGGCCAGCTGTGTGTAGTGAACGTTGATTCCTGTAAGACTTGCAAAGACAAGTTCTTCTGGGACTTTATTGATTAAGGACACACCAATTCCACCTTCTAACCTCACGAGCACCTGAAAGGAAATCCAAGTACAATCCACTGATTATAAGCATAGCTAATGGTAGCCAGGAGGTACAAGGAAATGAATGGCTTGAAACCCCTTTTCTCTTCACCTCTGAGCAGATGGAAACTACTGGACAGAGTCCTGTCATTTACCCTTTTGGCTCAAGTGCTGCCATCTCACTAGAAGCCTCCCCCACCCAGCCAGAGCTTCAGAGTGAGGGGACAGCACCTCCACAAGAGCGCTGAGGACACTCTGCATGACAGGAGTGTAAACGTGAATTTCTCCCTTCTCAGATGCAAGATCTTACGTTAAGGCACTTCCACAACATCTGACACAATGCTTACACACAGGTACTGGAGTTTAAAAAGATAACTGAACAAGTATCAAATAAGTGTGCTTTTTCATTTCCACCCAAATTCCTTTTCAAACTTTTTATTCTCTTCCCAATGTGCAACCAAGGAAAGGGGAAGGAAGATGCCAGAGTCAGCCAGAGAAAAAGAAAAAAAAAAAACAAAACCCAAATTTTCTCATTCTTTACCATAAATCCTACTTAAATTCAAATCATTCCTCCTCTTTTTTTCATCACCTTGCTTTAGCAACATTTCTTACATTCTGATTCCATACAAGTGTTAGCTGCCATCGCATAATTGTCACACAAATGTTAGCCACCACATCAGAGTCCCACCTTCATGTTGTGATAAAGGTACACTCGGGTGAGGCAAATCCCCCGTTGAGAATTCAGGTGGGGCAGAAAGCCAACAAAACCACAGAGCAAACCTCTTAAAAATCAATGACTGAGAAAATAGATTTGAAACATTTATAACTTACTTCTAATTCCTGCTCTGTATCTGGGTTCCTTAGTTTCTGCAGCTCTTGTTCAGTGACAGGAAGTTCATCCACCTCACATGATGAGCGGTCACTTTTCCGCTGGCAGAAATCTGTTATCTGAAGTCAAATAAACATCAAAGGAAGAGGGCTCACACTTCTGCTCTGACCCTTGCCAACCATGAGGCCAACAGTCACTGCGCCCCAGAATCCTATGGGTGCCAATGGCTTCCAGAGTGCTGCTAGAGGTGACAATGTTGATAATGAAGCAAACGTGCCTGCCAGTCTCCCCGGCAAATCTCGAGCTTAGACCTCGAGCGCCTCGCACTCCAGGTGGTCTGCAACGGTGGGTCGAGTCAAAATGTGCATTCATCTCCCCCAGAAGAGGAGGCTGCTTTTAAAGTGCCATGGCGGATTATGATATGAATTACGACGTCCCATCTCAGAGAGCTCACCGTTACGTTCCGGTGGCTTTGGTCCTTGTTTATTAATTACATTAGGACTAATGAAACCCATTTCCAATGTAGACCTCCCCTCTGAGTGTCAGACCCACATCTACCATGACTTTTTGACATCTTCATGTAGATAACATATAATGACATTCACAACAATCCTAGACTCAACTCCTCATTTCCTGACAGTCCACTCCGTGTTCATCTTTTGGTGACCTGGATGACTCTCCTCTTTGCTGCCTAAATGGGAATTCTGGAAGCCATCCTGGCGCCTTCCTCTCCTCAGGTCCCACAGTCAGCCGGTCACCAACTCTGACTCTCTCCTCCTGAACAGCTTTGTTTCTCTGTCCCTACCATGCCCACTCCTGCCACTTGTTCAGCTCAGGCCAGGTCATCTCCTACCACATTACTACAAGAGCCTTCAACTGACCTTACTCTAGCTGTGTTTTGCCCCAAACTGCAGACAAAATGAGTTATCCAAAATAACTTCTGATCACACCCGTCCCTGACTCGTGTTGCTTTAGAAAAACCACTGAGCTGTCTGTGTCTTCCCAAGGCTCTGAATGATGTGGCCTCTGCTCTGCCCAGCCTTGCGCCTCCCCACATTCTCTGTGTCAAAAGAACTGAAGACCACTCCCTTACCTGTGGACCTTCACTAGCCAACTTCCCCAAATACTATACAATTTACTTTTTATGTTTATTTCTCACTGATTGTCTATCCCCACTTCAGAAGGCAAACTCTATGAGAATAGGGAATTGTGTCTCTTTGTTCAGGGGCAAAGATCTCTGCCTGGTTCTAGCAGCTACTCAATAAGCACACGCTGAACGAACACCCTTCCCACCACCCCGACTCCCCACCCCTCTGGCAACTCCCTGTAGTAACCATGGCTGCTCAGCTCAAGCACTGCTTCTTGCTGTAGGAATGCCCCAGCCTCCGAGTCCAGGAACACAAATGCTTTCCATATGCCCTCCACTCCCACCCTCACATAACACAGCATTCTAACTGTCTTCTGAGGGGACTTTTATCTTCTTGTTATTACAGCTTCCAATACACCAACTGCTTAAATATTAGTTATATCTTACTTCTACTTTATTTCTTACAGCAACTTTATAACATGGGTTCACCCCATTTTACAGTGAAGACACCATATCCTCACACCTAGCATCAATATTTTCAGTAAATGCTTCCTGAAGGACTAACCAGGGGGTGGGGGAGAGGACATGAGTTTCATGTCAGGTCCAATGATAATTATCACCTGGAGTGCTCTAGTCGGTCCATCTGGGATGACTCTGATGGATAACATTCCAGAGCCAGGCCTCATCTTTTGGTTAATGAATTGTTGCTCGGGTGGAACTGGTCCCAAAAGCTCCACAGATGTGTCAGGACCAAGAACAACTTCAGCTCCATCAAATAAGCCAGAAAGTCCTCCTTTGGCCTAAAATACATTGAAAGGCATAAGAAAAGGCAAAGGCACAGGGCCTAATAACTCAACACACCATCTGAAACAGGTCACAAAACTCAAATTCTCTTTTGCAGAGTCATGATCGACCTACAGCCAAGCATTTACTATTTGTTTAGATTTACAGATGAAAGTAGGATTATGTGAGTAATAGGGAAAGCTATGCTGTATAAATTTGGGGAATGAAATATAAGCATGTAGTAAGAGATAATTCCATGAATAGAGTAGATTGGTTTTATTCTGCCTTGCAATAACTTCCAGTCATTAAAAAACAACTTTAAAAAAATATTTTTTAGTTGTAGTTGAACATAACACCTTTATTTTTATTTATTTATTTTTATGCGGTGCTGAGGATAGAAGTACTCGCGTGTACTAGGCGAGCACTCTACCGCTGAGCCACAACCCCAGCCCCTAAAAAACAACTTTTAAAAGTAGCCACAACTAGCTTTGTTTCTTTAAGTATTCTCACTAGGTTTGTGTTATGAAAATTAAACAATTGCTATCATTTAGCTTTCTAATAAGAAATAAATTCTAGAGTTAAAAATCTTCCCAAATAGGCCTATGGTTGGACAACCAACTCCAATGTGCAAAAGTTGGTGCTTCTTCTAAAAGGTAACATGGCACAGGGAACATCGTCCAGTGCCCAGTCACGCAGGTCTTCAGGGAAAAACAGGTCCTTTTCAAATTCCCCACATGACATTCAAGTCTACAGGGCAAGCCCGAGGGAGCATACTGCAGGCTGGAGACAGGCACAGAGACTGTCTGGACCCCTTGTTAATTTTGTAAATACTGAGTGATGAAAAGGAAACTCTGACCTGGGTCTTCAGGACAGTTGTCAGCACAGAGGAGGCTGCTGTGGGCTAGAAAGGGCACAGCCTCATGAAGACAGTGTCAGAAAAGGCTTTAATGCCTTCAATTACTTTATTCACCAGAATAAGATTGAAACAAGCTCATTTCCCTAACCAAACACATTCTGCTCTGCTGAATACTGTGATTATGGGTTAATTCACAAGCAGAAAATGATGAAACAGATTCAAGAAACAACAAACACCAGAAAGGTATTTGGGGGAGGAAAGCACTCCAAAAGAAGCGAAATTACATGGACTTTAGAAACAAACTAAAAGTAAAATCAGGGTCAAACCCAGAACCCACCAATTATAACAAGCCCCCCCCCCCCCCCCGCTTTGCCTCTACAAGTCTGAATTGTATTGCTAATTGAAAATCACAAATCCATTCCAGATGTGTGCATCATATAAGTAGGCAGCTTGCCTTTGATGAAAAAAGCTCAGGGCAACAGAGATAAAGAAAATAAATCTCACCAAATAGCAGCCAGGGGCTCCTTGCCGTTGTGCACACTGCCCTAGATGGCAGTGTCCCAAACCAAAGGACAGCCTGGTATCTACTGGGCACATACCAACAGTTCTCAACAAGGGCATGATGTTCAAGTAGTTATTGCCTGGATAAAACTCCAGTGGGGACAGAACTGCACACACAGCTATCTGCTGAAACCTCCTCGACACCTACCCTCCTCAATGTTTATCTCAGATCTGTGGTCTTGTTCCCAGCCTGAAGCCCCCTCTGGCAGAAAATCTAAATTCTTTTCCAAACACATATTTGCTTATAAAGCACCTGGGAATTTAGTATGGAATAGACAGGCTGAATTGAGTACACAGGAAATTGTCTAGTAATCTTGATTCTGACATTTGCTACAACAATTAAATGCTTATTTGGGTATCACTAAGAATGCAGGAATAAACAGAATCAAGGGCATGTGGAGCCCAGATGACTTACTATCTCCTAGAACACTGTATAGACTCTTGTCACTATTATACCAACTTCACAGGTCTAAAACTAAACCATCTAACTTAGTGGTGGATTTTTAGTTGATATTTTCTTTCCTTCTTTTTAAAAAAAAACATACGTGATTAATGTCAGAGAAACAAAATCCTAAGAAACCAAGGGAAAAAGCTATCACCCACAGAGAGCCATTCTTGACACACTGGCTGTATATCACCATCAAGAACAGTTCCCATGTACACCCTGGTGCACAAAGAAAATTCCTGACTGTCCTCTAACAGAAACAGAATAATAGAACACACGTTGCTCTGTATTTAGTTTTTCCCACTGAACAAGTTATCATGTACATCCTGCTTGAGACTCTGTCAAGGAAGCCTTACCCCCTGCGTGCTGCAACAAGGGGCATCAGGACTACTGACCTGGACCACCAACCCATGCAAGCCACATGTCAGTTTTCCTTCTCGGAAACTCCACGTCTGAGTCGTGCTTCGCCTGCGGTCGGGCTTTCTTAGCATCAGCGGCTCGTATCTGGACAAAGAGAAATGCAGTGAGACCCCAGGGTGGGCGGCATCTGGCCTGAGGAGAAGTGGGGGCAGCTTTGCTCTTCTTCCCTCCAGGACCCTCCACCCTTAAAATCTACCAGGCAGCCAGCTTCAGCCTCACGGCAGCAGGAGCCTCTCAACATGGAAAGCAACGAAGAGGGGCACGAGGGATGAGGCCCCAGGGATCTGCGTGTCAGCCTCCTGCTGCCTCCATGCAGCACGGGATGGGTTCTCTGCTAAGTATACTTAAAATCTTCTCAAGAGTCTTCTTCCATGTTATTTCTAAGTCCTTTCCTTGTGTTTTAACTTGTAAGTCCTTTTAGACATAAATAAGGTATCAAACTAAAAACAAATATACTGATTGAATGGAGAAGCTAAGGCACGGGAAAAGAAAATAATTTATGCAAACTTAACAAGTGGATTTGAATCCTGAGAGTTCATAAAAACACATTTGTATAGTCTCTTGTTAATTATACAAAAGATTTTTTTTTTAAGTATTCACTTCTAGAAAGTAAGAGTGGACTGGAAGTTTGGGTGAAAGAAATATTCACTTTTTATACATCCTTTTTAGATCTGACATTTCTTAACCTGTGTGGGTATCATCATCCTGTTAAAAAAATAAAAATGAAAAGTCCAATACTTAAAACAGCAAATGGGTTTTCAAATCAATCATCAAAGTTCAGAATCCATTTTTGTCTAGGAAGCTGATGGACTTCTGTCATTGAAGAAAAATATGAATATAAAAATACAAATTATTACAAGAGTTTACATAACACTTTTTAAAAAAAAAATTTTTTTTGTAGTTGTAGATGGACAGAATGCCTTTATGTTATTTGTTTATTTTTATGTGGTGCTGAGGACTGAACCCAGTGCCTCACGCATGCTAGGCGAGCACTCTGCCATTAAGCTACGGCCCCAGTCCCTACATAACAATATTTTTTGTTGTAGATTTCCTCTGAGTCTGAATGTAAGAGCAAAGAGATTGATCAAAGGTCACCTGGAGGGGTAGTGCATGAAGTTCAGTGTGGAGCTTAGAGCCACAAAACCACATTAATAAAAGAAAATGAGAATCAAGAAAACTACCTGTTGTCAGTTACTGCAGCAAGACCAGCAATATCTAGGATTGCAGAACCCTCAGTGGAGCGGGTGGCCGAGGGCTTGTTGGGGTTGTGAGGAACTGAAGAGCCTTCGTGGGCCAGCATTCCTGTTCCTGTCATCCTCCAGAGCTGAGAGCGCTTTCCTGGTTCCTGTTGAGCAAATACACACAAAGAGAAACGCATCAGGAGCAGCCCTAACTAGCTGCTCTCTTCAACAACTTCCTCTAAGGGCTAAGTTTGCAAGTTGGAACTGGAATAAGACATTTTCACATCATACAAATGCTTAATTCAGACTTTCACTGTTGTCAATCTCCGGTTGCACCTAGGATGAACTATGCTAAACTCTTAAACCAAATAAACAAAAATTACAAATACTGCAAATTTTTTAAAAAGTATTCGTTTTATAGACCTAATATATTTTCCTTTAAAAAAAATTAGAAACAAATGGCTGGGAAGTCTCCTACAAAGCTATACTGCCCTGACGACTGCTATTCTAGACGGCAACCCGCAGGTGCCTTCACTATAGAGAAGGATCCAATTATGTAAAGCGCACGACAGTGTCGATGTCTGGTAACTGGTAACCCTTACAATTACAGACAACCAGCACTTAACAAGGTCCTTCACCCCTCCCCAGTGCTACCATATTCATTATTTCCAATGTTTACAAGTTGGTTACATTCAAATGAATTCAAAGGTTATACTAGGTTGATTTATGTTCATTCTAAATATTTATTTCTCCTTAGGAATACTTAAAACAGCAAATGGGTTTTCAAATCAATCATCAAAGTCCAGAATCCATTTTTTTATATTTATTTTTTAGTTATAAGGGACACAATGTCTTTATTTTATTTTTATGTGGTGCTGCTGAGGATCGCACCCAGTGCCTCATGCATGGTAGGCGAGCACTCTACCTCTGAGCCACAACCCTAGCCCTAGAATCCATTTTTTTACATATTTTTTTTAGTTGTAGATGGACACAATATCATTATTTTTATTTATTTATGTTTATATGGTGCTGAGGATGAACCCAGTGCCTCATCCATGCTAGGTGAGCACTGTACCGCCACACCCCCAGCTCCTAGAATTCATTTTATATTAGGAGTAATAACACTTATTGAGACTTTTCTATGTGCCAGATATTGGTCTGAGGGACTTTCATGCAATAGCACATTTGATCCTAAAAATAATCCAAAGAGGCATATACTGTTATTATCCTTACTTACAGATGAGGAAGTTAAGGCTCAGGCAGATGAAGTAACTCCCCCTGGTCATATTAACTAACAGGTGGTAGGCTGAGGACTGAAGTCTCCACAGCCTCATGCCAGAGCCAGAGCCTTACCAGCTCTGCTCTGCTCTGCTGCCTCTAACACACCCAGTAACACCTCTACTCTAGCCATTTACGTCAAGATCACATGCGCTCCTTCTAGTGAGGAGCTCCCCAGGGCAACAGATAACTCTGGGTCCTACAGACTCATTCACATGCTTCACGTGTGCGGGAAAGATTGCTTTTGTATTGTACATTCTACAAAGTAGAAACTACCCGTGTGTCGTGCGTATGCTGGAGTCAAAATGCCAGGGTTTGAGTCCCAGCTACACAGTTTATAAACTGAGCAACCTTGGTCAAGTTACCTAATCTTTTAGAGCCTCTTTTTCCTGATCTGTCAAAGAGGGAAATTAAGCCACACAGTACAGTTCTTGAGATAAGTGTAGTGCATACAAGGTGCATGGAACATGCCTGGCACAGGTTCCGGCCTCTATAAACGTTTGTGTACTATACTCATTCGTCTCTTGATACAGTACTTTATGTACATGATCCTTTTTATACACATGGGAGGTCAGCAGAAAAATGGTAAGAAAGAAATAAGAAATACCAAACATCATCTACCTTTTACTGGATGAGCCAGGACTCAAACCTAGAAAGGTACCAGTGCTTCCTACCGGGGGCTGCCATCTCGCATGACTACAAGGAAATGAGGTACACAGCACCCCTCCCCTTCCCCAGGCCTGCCTCTCTACTTGATACCAAGCACCTCCAGTATCCCACTGGTGCCACAGGCCATTCCAGAGTGATCTTGCTCAAGGTAGGGAACGAGGAGTCCCGAGCAAGATACTCAACCCAAGCTTTCATTTCCTCATCTGTCAAACACCCACTCTAGAATGGCTGACCTGAGCGCCTTCCTGTGCTACAAACCCTCATTTTAAACCCCAGGGCCTGAGCACTTACCTTCTTCTTCAAGATGACTCTCTGTGTCTTTGGTGAGACGTCCAAGACGAGCTCTGCACAGGTGATGGCCTTATTGGCAGAGCCGGGCCTTCCTGTCCCCTCCTGCAAACTAGAGTTAAATCAATGAGCACACACACACTGTATCTTCCCCTGCCCTGCTCAAGGATTCATCTTGTAAGAGGATATACACTGATGTCTATCCTGCCGCAGGTAATTTTAGTATCTTAAAATTCAGACATGAAAGGATGACTATATATATTCAGAGGCAAAAGGAAAAAATAAAGCAAAAAACCAAAGAACAAGATAGACGTCCTTGGGATTAACAACTGCTCTACTCTGCCAGGAGAACATCAACATCACGATCAGCATCATGGCATCCCATGGAGTCTTGGCAAGAAACCACAAGTCCCTCTGGGATGAAGAAAAACCCGTGGGCCCAGAATCTGTATCCTCCAACTCAACGCTCCTGTGTTCCTCTGTGGCTTAAAAATCCTAAGCTTTATGGAATGCTGCAGTCTAGCTTCTCTGTGGGGTTCCTGGAGGAGATTTAATTCAGATTATTTGTCTATTTCCATTAATCCCTGTTATCACAAAAGGTACTGATAAATTCAGAATTAAAAATTAATCTTCATGACACCAAAACCACAAGTAATAAAAAAAAAAAAAAAAAAACAGGTAAGATTTCATTGAGTTGAAAAACTATTGTCCTACAAAGAATACCTTCAAGAGCTGGGGTTGTGGCTCAGTGACAGAGCACTTGCCTTGCAAATGTGAGGCCCTGGGCTCGATTCTCAGCACCACATAAAAATAAATAAACAAAATAAAGACATTGTGCCCATGTATAACTAAAAAATATTTTTTTTAAAAAAAGAATACCTTCAAAAAGTCAAAAGACAACTCACAGAATGGGAGAAACATCTGCAAATCATGTATCTGATAAGAGACTGGTATTAGATTTACATTAAAAAAAGACAAATACTTCAATTTTAAGATGAGCAAAGGATCTGAATGGGTGTTTCTCCAAATGGCTCCTAAGCACATAAAAAAAGAGGAGACACTCTATTAGTTATTCAAAAATGTACAACAAATCCACGTTAATCAAAAAGAAAACAAAATACAAATCAAAACCACAATAAGCTGCCATTTCATATACAGCAGAATGGGCAGAATACACAAAATAAATAAATAAACAGCACTAACGTGTTGGTGAGGAAGTGGAGAAACCAGAACCTTGCCCTTGCACCTGCTGGTGGGAATGCACGAAGGTTCAACACCAGAACACAGTAGGGCATTCCTCAAAGTTAAACACAGTTGGATGCAGTGTCCTACGCCTGAAATCAGTGGCTAGGGAGGCTGAGCAGGAGGATCGCAGGTTCAAGGCCAGTCTCAGCAACTTAGCTAGAAGCACACACTAACTAGTTTTCACTCCATCAATCCAGCAAACATACTCACAAAAGCAACCTATTAAGACCCTGTCTCTAAAAATAAAAAGGGTTGGGGATGTGTTGCTCAGTGGTTAAGCCCCTCTGGGTTCAATGCCCCATATTAAAAAAAAAACACAGAATCACTGTCAACTCAGCAACTCCACTCCTAGGTATTAACATGAAAGAATCACAAGTAGGGCTCAAACAAAAGCATGTACAGGCATGTTCAAAACAGCACTGCTCATAGGAGCCAAGGGGCGGAAACAACCCAAATGCTCGGCAGCAGATCAATCAAGAGAATGCAGCACACACACCCACACAGAAGAGAATATTACTCAGCCACAAAAGTATTAAACACTTTTCATAAAAAGAATGAAGTACTAGTACATGCCACAAGTAGCTGAACCTAAAAAACAAGCTACGTGAAAAAAGCCAGACACAAAGGTCACTTATGTGACCTCATTTATGTGAAGTATCCAGAAGAGGTAAATCCACAGAGACAGAATGCAGACTAGCGGTTGCCAAGGTCTGGGGCGGAGGAGGAGTGAGGAGGCACTGATGGGTGGTTCTGGGATTTCTTCAGAAGTGATGGTCAAATATCAAAAATGTATTAAATGCCACTGAACTGTTCACTTTAAAATGGCTACTTTCATCTTTGGAGTCTTTTTCTCTATCATTAGTTCCCACCAAGATGCAAAGAAATAGTGTCAAAGATGCTCTCAAGAATGGCTCAACCACTTAGCAAACCAGGGGTCTTGGAATTCTGCTGTGAGACCCACACACCAGGTCCGGGGCCCTTCTCTTTTTCTCTGCTCCATGTCACTCCACCCACTATGCTCATCGTCCTCCACCAGGACTTTTCAGTTAAGGAGCTTAGTAGCTACTGGAATTTACAGAACAGAAGGGAAAACACGCCTAGCAACTAGATTCAGAACTGGTTTTTCAGGCACTAAATCCTAAGCAGGTCACACTGTCAAGTGCCATAATCTTTAAAAACAATCAAGCAACAAGCAAACAAACATGACTGGATCGATTCTAACAAGACAAACACCTCAGCACCATGGTTGCTAAAGGGACCTGCCACACACAAGGGAAAGGAGCTCTCTCTTCTCTGCAAATTCAATCCACAGCTAGTGAAATCTGACCTCCAGGCAGATACAAAGATACAGAGATTGTTCTGTGGGCCCCAAGCACCTATAAGAATCTCATTCAGAAGGAAAATCATGCAGAACATTTTGGAAAGAAATATGACTTTCAATGTTCTATTCAAATTATTGATGTTTATAATGCTAAAGATTCAGCTATTTCCCATATCTTCACAGGTAAACCTTAAAAGTGGTCCTGTATCTTCAGCACATTTACACCTTGGCAGAATGACTACTTTTTGAAAACTCAGTACTCTGAATCTTGTATGTGACCATCAATAGCAGAATTGGAATAAGCTTAAATTCTTCACCTGAGTTCTCTAAATACAACTGTTCAAACAGTTAAGATTATAATTCTAAGACAGCTGGAAATACTGTGAAGTTAAGTACTACAGTTGGTTCCAGGTGAGCACTCAGACTGTTAAGTGTCTGAAGAAGCAGCATTCTTAGTGCAAAGAGGAGTCAGAATCAAGACAATCAATTATGAAGATCAGTCAGTTTCAAATAAAGAAAGGGGAAAACATCTATTAAAATCCCAGCAACTAAGGAGACTGAGGCAGGAGGATCACACACTCGAGACCAGCTTCAGCAGTTTAGTGAGACTCCCTCTCAAAACAAAAACAGAAAGGAGTGACGATGTAGTTCAGTACTGAGTTCAACACCCAGCACCAGAAATATTTCTAAAAAGGAAGAAAGAGGCAAACAGACTAATAAATAGAACAAAGTTTAAGAAATACATTCCAAGTAATTCTTTGATATAAGAAGAATTTAAGATAAAAGAATAACTCATGGGAGGAGTTGTTAAATACTGGGATAGATTAATGGGAGAGATCTTTAAAAAAGAGGAGAGTCTTGCCTCTTGGGATAAATTTTAAGCTAAGTGAAAGAAAGGATTTAGACTAAATGACCTCTCAAGTTAGGCCATAAGCCTAGGATTTGATAAAGTAGGGAGGAATCTTTCTCTGTACTTTGATTTCCCCAGAAACTGCTTAAAATTTAAAACCAGTAAATAATTAGAACCTTCTGCTTTATAAGAACAGTAATTTAATCCAGAATTACCCAGAGAACGTATACGTAGCAGCGATGTAGATGAAATTTTCATAATAAAGCTGTCGGTTATCCTGGAAGTCATTCATGTTGCAGCTGATCTCCGAGGAGCCAGCCCCCTTCACAGTCAGCATGATGAATGGCGGCAGGGTGGGCTCGTCCCAGGCATAGTCCAATGAGGTCATGGGCTTCACTTCAGTTCGGAGCCTGGGCTCAGCTACGCCATGCTGCGTGAAGACAACGGGGACCTAGAGCAATGAACACAGAGTACAAGAGGAACTGCAGTCAGAGCAGTGTGACTGGAAAGGAAGGTCGTGCTTCACAGGGTTCAGCTCCAGGTCCTTCCCAGTGACCTGCTCACAGGAACAAGCCTAGAGAGGCCTGTCATCTCATCTCCTCCAACGCTTTCCTAATCACCTCAAAAACTAAAAAGGTGCACGACTGACAGACCAGGGCTACAGTCCACTGGATGGAGAGCTTTAAGAAGCTTTGCCAAGCCAGCCTCAGTGGCACATGCCAGTATTCCCAATGTCAGGAGGTTGAGGCAGGAGGATTGTGAGTTCAAAGCCAGCCTCAGCAACTCAATGAGGCCCTAAACAACTCAGTGAGACCCTGTCTTTAAATAAAATACAAAAAAGGGTTGGGGATATGGCTCAGCGGACAGGCAGCCCTGGATTCAATCCTCGGTACCCCAGCTAATAAAGAAGCAATTCTATCCTTTCGAGGGTTTTTTTTCCCTCCCCACTCCCCTGTGATATATACACAAGGGAATAAGAATCTAGGAATGTGGTTATAGAAAGTCACATATATATTATAAGACACTTATTCACAGGAGCAATCTAAAATAGAAACTACTGATTTTCATTTGGGCTTTGCTTGTAAGAGTTATAAAAATGTCCCATAACTAAGCAGCAGAAGAAGTGCCCATTCCACTATTGCTGGCCATCTGGTTCCTTTCTCTGCCTGGATAGAGTATCTATATAGCACGTCACAACAAGCAAATGCTCTAACCAAAATAAGTATGGGGGGTTAAAAGGTTACTTCTGCATGGACAAGGCTGCTCAGCAGTCCAAATGACCAGCAGACACCACCTCCTAGTGCTAAGGACTCCTAGGGCTGAGGAGCCGCGGGGAGCCACCTGCACAGCTGGTGGGTAGTGTGCTGGGCCACTGTCTTAAAGGTAGTGTACACTCCACCCCCGGCACGAGAAGAGTCCATCGGCTCTCTACCCCACTTGGTACCTTAGAAAAGTTATCAATTCGGAAAGGAGGGGGTAACTGATCTGTGTCACTGAAGGAGATCCTATATGTGGCTCCTCGGAGGGTGATCTCCACTCGTAGGAAGAAGCATTTCCCCAGGGTATCCCTGCAAGAAGGAAACACAAGAAGCTCAATAAAAGAGACAAGCTGCAGTCACTTTCCTCTCACGCTGTGCCTTCAAAACTACTGGCCCCACGGCAGGCTCCCCGGTCATACCGAAGAAGCCGGGACTGATAAGAGGCGCAAAGTGGGGACTGTCTAGTGCTCTCCCTTCTTCAGCATCTATTAAGGGATATCCTCTGTAAAGAAGGGCTGAGAAGAGCATGTACACAATGCATGTGTGTGTGTCTGTGTGACACTCACACTCAGACACATCACTGGAAGGTGTGGAAAAGACATCCTTACCTAAGGCATCAACTGACAAATGAAGAAATGAGAAAATTAGGAAAAAAAAATCACCATTTTATAAGCACCAATGTAATAATTGACTTAGGTAAGAACCATCAAATATTTCAATGAAAGGTTCTTGGGAAATGGGATATTCAGTCTTGTATGATCCCTGGAAAATACTCTCCTTTTCAAAAAAGAAAAGGTAACTATGACAGAGACCTGGCAGACACAAGCTTAACCAAGCAGTGATCAAGCTTAATAATACCTATAATAGGACCACGTGTCCTGGGCCTGCCGAGGGGGTGTGATGGAAACACCTCACACAGGTAGTGCTATCACTCAAAATGTTGGGCCCAAATGTACATATAGAAAACAGGAGATTCTACAAGGAATCTTCAAAGATGTCAACATCAATAAAGACAAAAAGGGAAAAGCGGGGCTACTCCAGATTAAAGAACACAAAAGAATATGTCAGCCAAGCAAGAAAAATGACCACAGACTACAGCCGACATGGGAGAGGGGCTGCTGTAAGGACACTGCAGCAGCTTTTTCAGCCTACAGAGACTGATCAGAAAATGTCCTATCAACATTAAATTTCTTCTGTATGTAACATCAGTAATATTCAGAAAAAATGTCCTTGCTTATAGGTAGTAAGTGCTGGAGTTTTTATGGGTGAACTGGACACAATGACTTCAATTCACTTTCAAGTGGTTCAGAAATGAAAAATGTGCACTCACACAGTGGCGCACGGGCAGCCAGAGAGAGGCAGGCAGGGGTGGGACAGAACAAAAGGTTGAAAAATCAGTAAATCTAGGTAAGATCTGAGGAAGTTCATTGTTCTACTTTTATAAATTGTTTCCAAATGAAAAATTGAGGAAAGTAAAAGAAACAGATGGCACAGGCCTATTCTCAGTAGTTTAGAACTACACTCGCTAAAACTATTTTTAAAGGATTAACAAAAGATACACAAGTCATCTCTCCTCCCTCCCCTTTTTCTGAGCAACTATGAGTAACTTCGCTATTTGATCTAGACTGGCCTCCCGTTCTCCCATGACAGGTCTGGACTGCCTCCAGCTGGGCAGGATGCAGACGATAATGGCTGTAGCTTCAGAATCACCTACCTTTTTTCACCCCTTCCCCAAATGAAATCTCCTTTGGAACACCTCATACCAACAAAGTTCTGGCGAAGTACAACTGAGGGCACATGAGCCCTACACTCGCGGCTCCCCCTCAAGTAACCGCCGCACACCCAGGAGCTCCAGGAGCCCAGCTGGACAAGCACAGTCCCCGGATGCAATCCTCACTGGAAAGGGCCCGGGCAGTGTGACTGGGAACGGCCTGCCACTGAGCACACACAGCATTCATAAGTCACATCACAAATACTTTTATTCTGAATAAATACTTTTATTCTATTGTTGAATTATTCATATTTCTGTTTCTTCACAGTGGTGTTCTCTGTACAGTACTAATCAGAAAGCTTAAAAGATTGAATTTTGCTTCTAAATGTAAATAGCACTGATTTCATATTTTTAGCTTCAAAAGTATTAATGAAATAAATTAAGACACAAATAAATGGAACAACACTGAGTTCGTGAATGGGAACCATATTGTTAGGGTGTCAATATTACCCAATACAGTCTAGGCTGCACACAATCCCTGTGAACATCCCAATGGCGTTTTTTTGTTTTGTTTTGTTTTTTTACGACAAGAGAGCTCTGGAAATCATAAAATTTATATGCATCTCAAGGGATTCTGAATAGAAAAACAATCTTGAAGCACAAGATTTTCTAACTTTTTTGCACTGCTGGGGATGGAACCCAGTGACAAGACCCTTCTGGGTGTAAATGGAATCTCCACACACCACATAAGGTGAGAGCTAAGCAACTCAGTGAGACCCTGTCTTTATATAAAATACAAAATAGAGATTGGGATGTGGCTCAGTGGTTGAGTGCCCCTGAGTTCAATCCTCACCTTACCATGCACAAACGTCACTCTAATCGGATCAAAGACCGAAAGGCAAGAGCTGAAACTTTAAAACTCCTGGGAAAATGAAGGGGCAAAGCTTTGCGACAATGGGTACGACAACGATTTCTTGGACATAATAACAAAAGTATAAATAGATAAACTGGCTACATCAAAAGTCAACACCACTTCTATCATCACAGAACCCAATCAAAATTGGAAAGGGCCACAAATAGAATAGGAGAAAATATTTGCAGATCACCTATCTGACGAGGAGTTAATATCCAGAACAGAGAATTCCTACATATCAACATGTAACAAATAGTCCAATTCAAAACTGGGCACGGGGCTTGAATAGATGTTTCTCCAAAGACACACAAATGGCCAACAGGTACATGGAAAGATGTTCAACGTCAGACTCATTAGAGAAAAGTGAATTAAAAATACAACGAGGGCTGGAGCTCAGCTCAGTAGAAGAGTGTGTGGTTAGCATGGATGAGCCTGGGGTTCACTTCCCAGGACCACAAAGACAAAACGACACACTATCTCACCCCAAACAGAATGGATACTACCCAAAACCCAGGATAAAGTAACATGTTGGTGAGATTGTGGAGAAACCAGAAGCCAGCACGCTGTTGGCAGGAGAATAAAATGCTACGATCATTACACAACACAGCATGATGGTTCCTCAAAAAATTAAACTAGAATGACTGTGTGCTCCAGCAATTCTATGTCTGTGTCTATACCCATGAGAACTGAAGCAGGGTCTTAAACAGATATTTGCTTTTTTCCTCACTTTTTCTTTTTTTCAGTGCTGAGGATCAAGCCCAGGACCTCACACCTGGGCTTGATTTAGCACTCTGCCACTGAACTAAATCCCCCACCTCAAAATATACGCGACTTTTGTGTAGCATGTGTGCGTGGTACTGGGGACTGAACCAGGGTACTCTGCCACAGCTACATCCTCAGTACACTTGCTTGTTTTGTTTTGTGAGACATGGTGTTTCATTAAGTTGCCCAAGACTGGCCTTGAACTTTCAATTTTGTGCCTCAGCCTACCAAATGGCCAGGATCATAGGTATGCAACACAGCGCCCAGCTATTGCACAGGTATTTGCATATCCACATTCATAATAGCCAAAAGGTGAAAGCAACTCAAATGTCCATCAAGGGATGAATGAATGACAAAATGTAGGAAAGATATACAAGCCTGAAATTATTCAGCCTGAAAATTAAAGAAAATTCTGACACATGCAACATATTGATGAACCTTGAGGGTGTTATGATAAAAGAAATAAGCCAGTCACAAACAAGAGAAATAAGGAGCCAGGCATGGTGGCACACACCTGGAATCCCAATAGCTTAGGGGGCTGAGGCAGGAGGATCATGAGCTCAAAGCCAGCCTCAGTGAAGGCGAGAGCTAAGCAACTCAGTGAGACCCTGTCTCTAAATAAAATACAAAATAGAGATTGGGATGTGCTCAGTGGTTGAGTGTCCCTGAGTTCAATCCCCGGTATCCCCCACACTCCCCCAAAAAAGAGAAATAAGGTATAATTCTACTTATATAAAGTACCCTGAGTGGTCACAGTCCTAGAGACACAAAATAGAATGGAGTTTGCCAGGGGCTGGGGGCAAAGGGAAAGGCTTGAAGAATTGCTTAACTGACATGGCTTCAGTTTTGCAAGATGAAGAGAGCTCTGGAAATCACACAATGTAAATGCACTTACAATTGTGAACTGCACACATGAAAATGCTTGAGATGGTAAATTTTACGTTATGTATTTTTTATGGCAATTATACTTTGTTTTATTTGGGTAATGTGGTGTGCATCTGCAGTCCTAGCCGCTTGGGAGGCTTCAACAGGATTGCTTGAGCCTAGGAGTTTGAGGCCAAGTTGGATAACACAGCAAGATCTCCTGTCCCAAGGGGAAAAAAATTAATAATTAAAAAAAAAAAAAGCATTTGGGGCTGGGGTTGTGGCTCAGAGGTAGAGCACTTGCCTAGCATGGTGAGACACCAGGTTCTATCCTCAGAACCACATAAAAAGAAATAAATAAGACAAAGGTATTGTATCCATCTACATTTTTAAAAAATAATAATAATTTAAAAGAAAACAGCATTTGTTTGGATCAGGCAGAGAGGTTAAGTCACTGTAGGCTACTCAAGGATACATCTAGTTGATTTCTCTCAAAGAGGAGCTGAGGATCACTTGGTTTGGAGAGATGTACAAATGTGTAAGAACAGACAAAAACCTTTATAATCAATGTAACCATCTAAATGCAGACAGAATTTTCAGAGGAACCATTCTCTGGGCTCAGAGCTGTCCCGTGGCTCATAACCACAGCACTCTCCATGATGGGCTCATCCCATCAAATGCTCCTGCATAGCTCCCACAGCTCTGGGAACTCTGTCGGATCCAGGAACACATGTGCCCATTTCACTAAGAGCAGCATGGGCTGACTACATTATTGCATCTCAAACAAGTCTACACTTTGTCTTTGAAAGCTCAAACTTACCTCATATTGATATGAAAGGAATTATTCTTGTTGACCTCAAAGCCTCCAGACCAAATACAATTGGGAACGTCCATCAACCTCACACACAAGAGCTGATCATAGTCATTGCGAGGCCAGTGGAACACCACACTGGAGCCAGGAAGGGTGGAGATATAACCTTCGGGATTGGCTGTTCCCTAAGACACAGAAGACCACTGGCTTGAGTTAACAGTTCAATTCAGCCCAATATGTTACCAGTAATACACAAATGTTTACTGAGTGGCCAGGTACTCTGAGCCTCACCCTCTACCAAGAGCCATTTGGATTATTCACATCACAGAGCTTAGTCTTTTTTTTTTTTTAAACTGAGAATTGATCCAAGGGTGTTCTACCACTGAGCTACATCCTCAGTCCTTTTTATTGAGGGTTTCACTGAGTTGCTAAGGCTGGCCTCAAACTTGTGATCTTCCTACCTCAGCCTCCCAAGTCACTAGAATTACAGGAATGTGCCACTGCACCCCACCAGAACATACCATTGTGATGGGAGATAAGCATGATATTAAAACTCACCATGATTTTTTTTTTTTTAATACTAGGTATTGAACCCAAGGACGCTTAACTACTGAGCCATATCCGTCCCCAGCCTTTTTTAATATTTTATTTTGAGACAGGGTCTCATTAAGTTGCTTACAGCCTCTCTCAGTTGCCAAAGCTGGCTTTGAACTTGCAATCCTTCTGCCTCAGCCACCCCTTGTCCCTGACCCCACTCACCAGGATTACAGGAGTGTACTCATCATGCCTGGCTCACTATGCTAACCAATAAGCACTGGTCATTCTCCAAAAGCAAATTGCTTACCTGTCCCCTGGCAAATTCCCTTTGTGCAAATGCAAGCTTGTGAGATGATTTATTGTCTAACAGGTAACGGGGGGCAAAGATGACCATACAGGTGTCAATATATCGACCTCGGCCTTTCTTGACATCAATACCTACAAATAACAAAAACCATTTTCATAAATTAATCAAAAAACAGAAAATTCTTGGTCTGACAAAAAAAAAAATCATCAGTCTTCACAATTACTCAGTTTCTCTGAGAAAACAACTATGTCACTGGGGGGACATCAAGCCTTTCAAGGGCAGAGTGAAATCAGCAACTGCATGCAAAGCGCCAGGGCAACATCAATAGCCCCACAACTCCCGATTTCTTCAGGAAGTGTGTGCCCTGTGACAGCAACTGAAACACACAGGTGTCCAGTCCCACACCGCAGGCTTCCGTTTATGAAACTGACTACCAAGTTTCACGTGATACCTTTCCACACACACACGCAGGCATGGAACTTCCCTGGAGAACCTGCCCCTCTTAGAGGACACAGTACAATGTCCAGAGCTCTTAGCTGGATCTAAGAGCTCTGTGCTGCCTGAACTCAGTCGACTCTTGTCAACCTCCTTTTTGTTCACTGTCCAAGAATCCAGCTCAAACCCAATGTTAAGTGTTATAGAATTCATTTTTCTCAAAATAAGTAGGTTCTCAGCACCTACTACATACTGGAAAAACAACAGAAGTCAGTCAGAAGAAAATCTTAAAACAAGAAGTTCCAAATAAAGAATTACCTTTAAAAAAAAATCTGATAACAATATTTAAAACTAGAACACTCAGTGAGATGAATCATTCATTCAGACCATAAATACGGGATCTATATTCCAAGTACGAAGCTGGGCTCTGACTGTACAATAATAAAAAATATTTATGGTAGAAATAATAAAAATAACACTTACTGACCTCTTCATATACACTAGGTCCTCCTCTAAAGGCTTTCCATTTAATCCTCACAATAGCCTTATCAGGTATTTTAATTATTTCCATTTTTACACATGAGGAAACTATGGTATGGAAAGCTAAGTAAGTGGCTCCAGGTAGCATAGCTAGCAGAGGGCACGGCCAGGCTTCAAATGCAGACAGTCTGCACCCAGGGTGCCTCGCCCCTGTGGCCTGCTCAACCCGGGGGGCAATGTGCATAAGGACCCAAGGAAGCACTCCACATGTATGGACAGAACCTTGAAAATGGAAGACTCCACCTTCTGATATGACAATCAGGTGTCCTAGACTCTAACACAATCCTAGAGTGTACATCTTCTAATCCGTTAACTATCTAATGCACTGGCTTGAAAATTCTGATGCTCCTTTAATGTAAGCCTTGAAAATGACTGAATGACTAAGTGAATCACAAGAATAAGTGTATCTGAGACTCCACCTAAGGAATGCCACATAATACTGGGACAGGGAGGTAAGCCTACTGCTTTTCCTTCTGTAATAAACAGAAGAGCTTCGGTTATCAAGAGTTAGCTGATCAACTAATACAAAGTCTGTCTACAAAAGATACATTTAATTTGGTATTACAAAAAGAATCTAAAGCTCAGACACTTCAATATTTGGAAAAAGGTGAGGGTTTTTTGTTTCTCTTTTCAATTTCGGTCGCCTTGGCACACCCCCTAAAAGTCAAGAGCTGAGATCAAAATGCACAAAATCCTTCTTTCGGGAGGTACACATAAGGCTAACTAGCAAAGTTCTCCCTGGCTTTTCAGCTTGGGATAGTTCTTTACATATTGCTGATCCAAGTCCTCAAAATATTCAAGCAGGAGATTCCACAAATTCCGTCAATAACACATGCCGAAATCTCATAAACATAAGAGTTATAAAGTCCTATCTAAACCAATCTTCCTTCCTTGGTGGAGTGACAAAATTCCAATCACAGTCCTGCCCCTGAATGCACATGCCATGAGCTCAGTGAATGCTCCTCGCGTGGCGGTTCCTGTGAACAGTCACTGTATATTTCTGGTTTGGTCAACTCAAAGGAGCATGTTCCATTCCTCTCTGAGGCCTTCCCACAGATGTCCTGACAGCGGCTTCCAGACAGCGATTGGAAAGCCAGCATGAAGCAGCCTTTGCCTACTCAAGTGGTGGAGCAAACAAATGTCAGAAAATGTGAGGAACATTATCTTTAACTGGAGGATCGAATAAAGTTTATTTCTTTTAGAAATCTTAATGTCAACTGTAAGGAGATGGCTTGCATGTCAAGAAAGCATGAATATAAATTCAAGTTTAAAAAATCTGAAAAGGAAACTATACTTGTGAGATTCTTTTACCAAGAAATCCTCACACCCTTAAACATGCCCAACTGAGCCCAGGATCCAGGGTAAATATGTAAACTCCACCATTACCTCAGATCTTCCTTCTACAACATCACTCTTTTTATCTTTATTGTCCAATACTGCAGCCATTAGCCAAATGTCGCTATTTAAATTTAAGATTCTTAAAACTGAAGAGTAAAAGTTCCACTCCTCCGTCACAGATCGCCACGTTTCTCAAGAACGTACTGTCAGCTGCTCAGCAGCCACACATGGCTAATGGCTGCCACATCAGACAACATGAAACAGGACATTTCCATCCTCACAAGGGGTCCTACTGGACAAGGCAGGTCTAGGTGGTGTGCAATGTCAACACCACACATGGCTGTGAGGTCCTTGGAATCAGACACTCTCACAGGGACACACTGTAACTGATCGCAACCCTTAGGACACTCCCTCAAGTATGCCCCAGTAGCTCTAAAACACAGGGTACTGCATCCTCCCCTGCCCTTCCTGCCTCCAGAAGCTAAGCAAGTCTGGAGGCTGCTAATGACTAAGCCACCAAGTGTCTTTTATTATATTTTCTGCCTCAAATTCACACACCCCCATTCTAATCCTACTTCTGACCCAGACTTCCCCTTTGCCTCTAGGCAAGTCACTTAACCTCTCTGCTTTAGTTTCAGAGAGAACAATGCTTCTTACCCTCTTAGGGTTTGCAAATTTTAATGAATGCGTGGGAATTCTTGAAGGATAAAAAGCATTCTGAGTGTTCCTATTATTCCCCTGAAAAACAAGGATTCAAGACAAACTGATACTTTCCTGACACAGGTGAGCCTGAAATTAAACAGCCATAGACCTCAAAAGGGCAGTGTTTAGGTGGCTCCTCAGATCCCTAGGAGAATAGATCTGCGTTGATATCAATATTGCATTCAGAGAGTAGGTATCTGACCCACTGTCAAATGAGAAAATCAGCACTTGTAGCCAGGCCAAAATGCACTGCCAGCTAATTCCTCTAAGCCTAAAGTCACTAGCCAAAGATTCTGATCCTCCCATTGCCCAAACGTAACCCACCAATGTTATAGATCAGCCCTGGGCGGTTTCCTTGCTGGATGACTTTCAAAGCTCGGACACCACTACCACCATCCAGGGAGAAGCCCTGACACCAGCCCGGCATGCCTTCAGGATGAATCCCCCTTCCGATTCTCATCGTGCAGCTGTGGGGCAGAAAAGCAAAGATGTATATATTCATCCACAAGCAAGTCTTATCTAACTCATCTAATCAGGAAATGCTAGTGTGGCTAGCACCCAGTTAGGCCTCTAACACTGACTTTGTCCTCACTCTCATGTGAATCCCCAGGAGTGAGAAAATTAATCAGTGATCAAACCCTCATCTTAAGATGTAGCCGCGTTACAACAGTATATGAAATACTTGCACATCTACAAATGAACACTTTAGGAGAGAGCACAGGATTCTATGAGAATAAAACATGACGAATATGCTACAATTTCTACTATTCCCCTGAAAATCAAGGAGTCAAGAAAAAAGCTGAGAACAGTATGTAAGAAGGTGCGGCTGACAGCACGTCACCTCCAGGAACTGAGACCCTCATATCGGCAAAGCACCGTCCAGTTGGCTGGTGTCCAGTCAGATCCTGGAAATATAACTCCTAAGTGTGTGCTCCAGGTCCACCACGAACAAGCGATGCAGCCCTGGGCACAGGGCACGCTGGCCATGAGCCTCAGTCTCCTCATCTTAAAATATAACTATCTCCTGAGTCACTGGCATGCTGGGGAGAATCCAACAAGATGATCTAGATGGAAACACTCTGGAAACTGTGAATCCTGTGGATAAAGTCAACCATGACAAATGCTCAGCCCTAGATCTAAAACTGTCAAAATCTTTGATGAACAGAAGGAGACGGGGCTTGCTGAATGTGTCAAGAGGCTGGCTGTGTCTCCGACAAGAGCCGGAACTCTGACTCCAACACTAATCTAGATTCCAGTCTCCCTGGAAAACACATCTGTATCCACTGAGTGCAGTACTCCGGAAACCTTCCTGTTAAGCTTTCTGCCAAATTCTATAGATGATGGCGTGTGCCATTTTAGCAGTATAAGATACATCCATTTATCTCTGGATTAGGGCTATAAAATTAGAAGACTCTTATAAAAAGCAGAATGTCAAAACCAAGAACAATAGTGAATTAACATTCCTACCATACATTAAAAGGACATGTTATCTAATCCTCACAGTTGTTATTTTTCCCAGCTGTGAAACATGCAATGAGTGTTTAAGACCATGAGAAGGCACATTTTGGAGCTCAAAACCTTCCACTAACAGCCCTGATTGAGCCAATAGGGCCAAAGGGCCACTCCATCTGCTCTCTGATGCCCACTCCTTTGCCAAGGCTACAGGAAAAGAGAAACTGCAGAGAAGAGAAGGGACATACAGGTTTCTCTTCATCAGCCCAGTTATAAATAGGAGAACTCCTTCAATAACATGTAAAATAAAACTAGCTTTCATTATAAACCAACAAATGGTTTATTTTCAGGATCAAATAACACAGAAATTAGATCCGAAAAAATCACATTAGGTCATGGTTCTAGTCCTCTGCCAAGTCAGGACTGTTATCTACAGTATAGTTCCACTTACTCGGATATATTATAGCCTTTGCTAATTTTTACCCTTCCCTAGGAGCTTATTTCCCCTTCTCATAAATAACTGTACTCACAGGTTTGGCTGTTCTTTGTCAGCATAGCAGAATAAGAGAGGGCTCAGGCTCCGGGCCAACTCGTGTTCCTCAAACTGGCCTGCAGCATCTGTCTTTGCATTGTCCTGTCTGAAGATCAGTGGTAACCCTTTAGGAAGGATGGAAAAAGTTTATATCAAACAATCCCACCCAGTCTACCCATCAAAGATGCAAACAGTAAACGGGGGGATGCAGAATCGGCAAAGGGGAAAATAGTGAAAACTGAGTTTTGTGGGCTCAATCTGTTATCTAAGGACGGTTTTGACTATGATTAAGCACATGGAATCAGGAAAGTCTCCGCAGCTTAGACTGTTGAAGTCATCTATTTGCATTGGCTCCATTTAGATAGCTGAGCAAATATGTCTGAATTCCCATGACCAACCCCAAGGCTTATTGGAAAAGCCTATTTACATACCTGTTTTGTTAATGAGCCAATATGGAGCGGAAATGAAGATCTTTAAGGACCCTTCTGCTCGACATACAATCCGGATGGTGAGGTTCAGCTGCCGGCGGTTGATGTCATAGAGTCGCATTCTTACCATATAGTTTTGGGTCCCAGGTGGAATGAGCAATTCTTTACAGAGGGGAAAGTTCTCCAATGACACCCCTAAAGAAGGTACAGCTATTGTCTTTCTGGATTCTCACTACTAGAGTTTGTCAAAATAGTTCACAGCAAAATTAAATTGGATTCCTTTTTGGAAAAATCACTAATGACCTCAAAGGCCATTTTCCTCTAGCTGGGATAAGAACAAAAGGAACAGATCAGATGGCCCGGAAGTCAAACTAGGAAGCTACACTGCAAATGAGATGAATCAGAGTTCCAAAAAGCTACCAACAATGATTATCAGAGGAGTTATAAGTCAGACCCTGTGCTGGAACCTTCCTTCCAATCCCCAGTCTGGCCTTATTATTTGCATGATATGGAGCAAGTTATTGAACTTCTCTAGGTCTCATCTGCAAAAGGTGGTAGTAACAGGATCTACCCGGCAGAACTGTGAGTAGCACGTAACGTAACGCTGAACACAAGGGGCACTGGTGGGAGGACAGGCCCGCGTTACACAAGGCCTTGTTCAACATGTGAAGAAATATAGAAAACTCACTACTTAAATGCCAAATTTTTTTCTATTTATTTTTATCTATTTTTCTCTAGAATGAATGACTAGAGGCCAAGGGTACAGCCCAGTGGTAAAGGGCTGGCCTACAGGAGTAACTACCATTGCACTGTTTTCCTTTTCTAAATGAAGTTCAAGGGTCTATCCGGTTGCAGAAACATAATCTTGTCATTGTAGCACATACTGCCGAAGGTCAGTGAGTTTCAAGTGGTTGAGCTCAAAAATGGAGATAACACCTGTCTGATACAGAAATGTGTACTCCTGGGCAGATCAAGTGAGATAATGTAGTAAATGAGCTTTCAAAACTGTATACAGAGAAATATCAACATTGTTATGACCTGAACATGTCTGTGGCAGTCTTAAAGAAATATATTTTCTGCCAAAACAACAGATGTACCCCTTTAAGTGCTGCAAATGTGATTCTCTACCCTGACTTGCTCACCCCTACAACTGAAAATTACTTGTTGCACTGAACATTTTAACCTCCATTTCTTCATCAGTGAAGTGGGACAAATCACTATTGCTGTCAGGATGACAGGAGATCACATGTGAGAAAGAGCCCAGGTGATGCTGGGGACACAGGAGCTCAGCCACATTCACCCCTTCCCTAAAAACAGCTCATTCTGCAGCTAAGAAAAGCCGGGCTAAAGACACAGAGTGACTGAATACCATGTGAGCATGTCCTCTGCAAACCTCATTTTTTCCTCGCTGCACACCTGCTCTGAGCCAGCTTACTGAGACATGACAGGTGCCACGCAATTTCTCCAAGATGTTTACTGAGTAGTCTAAATGCTCAATGATCTCTTCCCAGGATTGCTACAAATGACCCAAAAGCAACAGCCTTACCCAGCTCGATGTTCTGGGACGTATCAGCAGTGTGGAGGGCCACCTCTCTTCCAGGTTTCAGGGTTCCATTAATTGGCATTCCTTTGACGTAGAAGTCAAGTTCACAAGGCAGCAGATTACAGATCACCACAGTTGGCAGAAGATATATGGTATGCCCTGGCTGTCTGAAAATCTGTTTTGCACTGTCAGAAAATATGTTTGAGGGCATGTAATCTGGATAATTCTCTTTCTTTATAGCCACACAAAACCTATGAAGACAAAATGGTGTGAAAATCATCAGCCTGAATGAAGAACTCAATTTTTTTTCCTTCTTAATTAAATAATATCAACATAACTCAATAAGTAAGATATTTGCATTTTTTAATACAAATACATCTACTGAAATCTAATACAAATTGCGTGGATCTTAAATATTCAATTTGATGAGTTTGGGCAATTATATACTCCTCTATAACCATCACTCAAGAACAAGTCACAGACCATTTTCTCACCCCAGAAAACTCCCTCCTGTCCCTTTCCAACCAATAATCTCTCCCTGTCATCCAAGTAACCACTCTCTGGAACTCGCTGCTATGGATCAGGCCCATCTGTTCCTGAGCTACGCGTAACGGCAACAGGCAGGGCACTGCTCCATGCCCTCCCTCTTCCTGCTTCCTGTGAAGTTTCACCAGGGTCAGTCGTGCCCACCATACCTGACTCTCTTTCCTTGCCTGGTGGTCTGTCCGGCTGAATTATCACTGGTTCTTTACTCACCATCCTGTTGATATCCACCTGGGCTGTTCCCAGCTTAGGGCTAGACGAGCCTTCTGATGCAAGCATCTTTGTGGACACAGGCCTTCGTGTCTTTTAGGTAAACAAAACGGACTTGCTGGGTCCTTTGCTTTTTTAAGAAACTGTCACACATTTTTCCAAAGCAGCTGTATCATTTCACATTCTCACTATCTCTTCATGAGAGTTTCCCACACCTTTACCAACATTTGGTGTTGTCAATACTTTTTATTTTATTCGTCCTAGTGAGAGTACAGGGTCACTGTGGTTCAGAGCTGCATTTCCCAAATCATCACTGATGATGACCAACTTTTCATTTTTCTATTGGCAATTTGTACGTTATCTTCTGTAAACTATCAGTTCAAGTCTTTCTTTTGACTATTCTTGTTAGGTTATTTTTAAATTTTTATTTCAAGAAGTTCTTTATGTATTCTATTAAAAATTGTCAGATATATATTTTTCCCCAAATTTGTGATTTATCTGTTTCTTTTCTTATTGATGCCTCCTGCTAAACCAAAAACTTTTTAAAAAGACCAATGTTTCTAATTTTTCCTTGGTATTTAGAGCTTTCTGTGTAATAAATCTTCTATTCCATTGATCTACATTCCTGTCTTAATGAAATAAAACTGACTTCATTACTGTGACTCTACACTGTTTTTTTTTTTAGAGAGAGAGAGAGAGAATTTTAATATTTATTTTTTTCTTAGTTTTCGGCGGACACAACATCTCTGTTTGTATGTGGTGCTGAGGATTGAACCCGGGCCGCACGCATGCCAGGCGAGCGCACTATCGCTTGAGCCATATCCCCAGCCCTACACTGAGTTTTGAAAACAGGTTTTGTAAGTCCTCCAACTTTTTGTTATTGTTATTTTTAAAGATGACATTGAATATTCTAGATTTCTTGCATTTCTGTATAAATGTAAGATTAGCTCCCCTATTTCTTCAAAGCAACCATCTTTAGATCTATTTATTGAGAATGGACATCTTAATGATACCGAGTCTTCCAATCCATTAACATGGAATATTTTTTCACTTAATATTTTTAAAATTTCTCTTAGAAAGGTTTTATAATTTCTCAAGTAGAAGACTTGTACATCATTTGTTAGACTGAGTCCTGGGTATCTAATTTTTTTAGAGTTATTATAAGTGGCATTTTTCTAAAATCACATTTTCTAATTGTTTATTTATGGCTAGAATATAAGCATACAATTAATTTCTACTGATTGACCTTGAACCCTCAGATCTTAGCCAATTAGGTCTATGCTATTTTCTACATATCTAATTAGGTCATTTGCAAATAACAATAATTTTATTTCTTTTCATATTTTCATGCTTTTTCAATTTTTTTTTTTAAGTTGTCAATGGAACTTTATTTTATTTATTTATATGCAGTGCTGAGAATAGAACCTAGTGCCTCACACATACTAGGCAAACAGTCTACCACTGAACCACAACCCCAGCCCCACTTTTTTGATTTCTTATTTATGATTTACTTGCCTTACTGCAATGGCTAGGACTGCTACTACTATGTTAAGTAGAATGCTGGTTCCTGATCTTGAGGGAAAAGGGTTTAATGTTTCACTGTCAAGTATTATGTTAGCTGGGCATGGTGGTGCATGCCTGTAATCCCAGTGGCTCAGGAGGCTAAGACAGGAGGATCATGAGTTCAAGCCAGCCTCACAGCTTAGCAAGGACCTAAGCAACCTAAGTGAGACCCTGTCTCTAAATAAAAAAGGGATAGGAATGGGGCTCAGTAGTTAAGGGTCCCTGGGTTAAATCCCCAGCACACACACACAAAAAGTACGATGTTAATTGTAGATTTATCACATATGCCCTTGAGAAGGGAACTTTTTCAAGTTCCTAGTTTACTGGCTATGAAGAACTGAACGTTTGTGTTGCCCAAAAATTCATATGTTGAAGCCCTAACACTCAATGTGATGGTATTTGGAGGTGATTAAGTTTATCATAAAGTCACAGAGGTGGGATGGACCCCATGATGAAATTAACACACTCATAAGAGAAAGAGGAGAGGCGAGAGCCTGGCTTTCCTCTCCACCTTGTAAGGACATGGTAAGAAGGCAGTCATCAGCAAGCCAGAAAGAAGGCATTCTCTAGAACCAAATTTCTACCTTGATCTTGTACTTTCCAGCCTCCAGAACTGTGAGGAACAAATGTCTGCTGTTTAAGCCTCTTGGTCTACAGTGTATTGTTATAGCAGCCTCAGCTAAGACACTGGGCATCACCGCGAATGGGTACTGAATTCCATCAAACGCTATTTTTCTTTGCATGTACCAAGATGATCTGATGTTTTTCTCTTTAGTCTCTTAAAATGGTGAATTACTTTTTATTGATTTTCAAATGTTAAACTGATCTTGCATTTCTGGAATAAACCCCACTTGCTGAATTATACTTGGTAATATTTTATTGAAGACATTTGCAGCTCTTTAGAGGGGGCCACTAGTACTTAGTTTCCTTATAGTATCTATATAGGTTTTGATGTCAGGAACATGCTGGCCTCATAAAATGAGCCAAGAATGTTATGGTTTAGATATTAGGTATCCCCCAAAAGCTCATGTGTGAAATAGTGCAAGAAAGTTTTAGAGAAGAAATGATCAGATTATTAGAATGTTGACTTAATCAATGTGTTAGTCCCGATAGGGGCTAATTGGGGGTAACTGTAGGCAGGTAGGCTATGGCTGGAGGAGGTGTGGGCAGGGCATGCTTTGCAGGTGTATATTTTGTCCTTGTTGAGAGGAGCGCCCTCTCTGCTTCCTGGTGCCATGTTCCCAGCAGCTTTCCTCTGCCATGCACTTCTGCCCTGATGTCGGCCTCATCTAGGATCCAAGGAATGGAAATGACCATCTGAAACCATGAGCCACAAAATAAATTTTCCTCCTCTAATTGTTCTTGTCAGGTCTTTTGATCACAGCAACGAAAAAGCTGACTGAAACAAGAACTGTTTGCTCCTCTTCTATTTTCTGAAAAATCTTGTTTAGAACTGGTATTATTTCCTTCTTAAATGTCTGTAGAATTAACTAGTAGAGTCATATGGGCTTTGGAGTATTCTTTGTGGGAAAGCTTTTTTATAAATTAAATTTTTAATCTAGGTGTGGGTGGTGTACACCTATGATTCCAGGAACCTGGGAGGCTGAGGCAGGAGGATCACCAAGCCTAAGGCCAGTCTCAGCAACTCAGTAAGACCCTGTTTCAATATAAAAAAAATAGTGATGGACAGGTAGCTCAGTGGTAGAGCACCCCTGGGTTCAATCCTTAGTGGCAAAAAAAAAAAAAAAAAAATTTAAATAGATATCAGTATCTTTGTATTTTCTTTTTTTAAATATTTTTATTAGTTGTTGATGAAATTTTTAATTTTATTTATTTGTATGTGGTGCTGAGAATCGAACCCAGTGCCTCATGCATGCTAGGCAAGCGCTACCCCTAAACCAATGTCCCAGCCCTATCTTTGGATTTTCTATTTCTTCTTTCTGTTAGTTCTGACAATTTGTGCTTGCAAGAAGGTATTATTTAAGTATGGAATTTAATGATATAAAATTGTTCTTATCTCTTTTTTATCCTTTTAATGCCTATAGGATCTGTAATAATATCTCCTTTAATTCCTAACATTGATCATTTTAACTCCTTATATTGGCAACTTCTGTTTTCTCTTTTCTTCTTCTTGGTTACTCTTGTTAGAAGATTAACAGATTTGAGGTTTTGGGTTTTTGGTTTTTTTTTTTTTTTTTGGTAAAGACAATTTTGACATTGTTGACTTTTTTTTTAGCTCACTGGTTTCCACCTATTTTTGCTTCCTTTTTCTACCTGTTTTTAATTTGCTCTTTTTTTTGTATCTTCTTAATAAAGAAGATTAAATTAGTAGTTTTTGTGTCTTCCTCATTTGCTAATAGACCCATTAAAAACTGTAACTTCTAGGAAGTTCTTTTTGTTGCATCCCTCATATTTTAACATGTCTGGCTTTTTCATTATTGTTCAATTTAAAATATTTTCTAATGTCTTTTTGTGATTTCTTCTTTGACCCATGGGGGTCCTTTGGAAATACACTGTATAATTTCTGAACATTTGGGGATTTTCTGGGGATCTTATTGTTGTGGATTTCCAGTTTAATTCTACCATGATCAGAAAGCAGTCTGTATGATTTAATTCTTTAATATTTATCAATCCTTGTTTCATGACCCAGCAGATGGTTATCTCTTAACAAATGTTCCACACATTCTTGAAAAGAAGGTACCATCTGGAATTGTTGGACAAAATATTCTATGAATGTCAACTGGAACAAACTGGTTGATGGCACTGTCCAAATGTTTTTTGCTTAGTTTTTTTTTTTCTATAAATTTCTAAAAGTAAAGTATTAAAAAGAACGACTATGGATATACATTTATCTATTTCTCCCTTCAGTCTATTAAAAACTAGGAAGTCTGGAAAAAGGATATACTGGAATTCTTTACTATTCTGGCACTCCCCCTAAATGTTTGTTTTGGGGGGTTTGGGGTTTTTTGTTTTTTTTTTTGGTGATACTGGGAATTGAACGGGAACAGGCCTTGAGTACGCTAAGCAAATGCTAAACCACTGAATTATGAACACCTGTCTTCACTGTAAACTAAACAAAAGTTAACAATCTCTCATCTAGATGAGTTGAAAGACCAAGTTCATAAAGGTCTCATGATAGACAGCAATCCAGTGTCTTCCACCATTGAATCTAATAACATATTACTTATACCCTGTATGATACGAAAACAATGAGTTTAAATGGCTATGCAATCTCATAAAAATGTTCCAGAAAGTCAGTATTAGGTACATGAATCTTTATCTAAAATATTTAAAAATTTTTCATTCAAAAAATCTCCCACCCCAGGATTTTGCTTCCTAATTTATACAGGTGTGGGTTAACCTGAAGCTTTTTTCGTTCCCTCCCTAAGGATGTGTCCGCACCTTATGCTCCAGCATACCTACAATACTCTGTCTTATCTGGGAGAACAGTGTGTGCCAGTTGGTTGGCCGTAAATGATAAGTGATCCCATGCCACACCAGGGGTAAGCCTGGAGTTCCCATGGACTTGAGCTCAAGAGTAATTTCAGGTTCTAGATAAACACAACTGAGTGCTGAGAGAACCAATGCCAGAAGAGCCAGCCTGCAGGAGGGAAGCCAAGGCCACCTGCACAGCAGGGCAGTATGACACACACCTGAAGAAGCGGCTCTTCTCCGTGTCCATGGAGTGGCACTCTCGCTTGCTGCTGCTCACCTCTGCAGTCTTCACCACATTGGTCCAGTGAATAGGAGCCTTACAGAAAAAGACGCCCAATCCTTTGGGCCGCGCCTGCAGCCGCCATGAGGTGAGGTGCAAAGGCACAGCGAAGGAGTCCCCGGGCATGATGGCGGGCAGCACCACCGGCTCTGCCACAGAAACAGTAATGTATTAGCACCTCGGTGGTGATCCTCCTTGAGAGACTGACTGTGGCAGACAGGAAGCAGGCAGACCGTGCATGCTAGCTGCCTGGGGACAGTCTCACTGGGGAGACAGTGGGGACAACAACCAACAATTGTTCACAGAGCATTCACTACGTTCTAGACAAGCAGCACATACTGTCGGGGGCCGATGGGCTGTCCAGCCGCAGTTCCATTGGTGTCTCAAGTCTATTCCTCACGATGAGGGCAGAACGCACCGTGATGACCTTCCGAGCACTGCCTTCCATGGTCACAGCAAAGACCACCCTGACGGGTGGGAGCGAAGAGAACTACAGGAGAGACAGACACAAAATAGCCGTGCCGCTAAAAACCCAGGAAGTACAAGAGCAGAACCAGAAGGTCTGCGTGGGGCGCTGTGTGTGCGCGTGGTCCTGGGGACTGAACCCAAGTGCTCTACCTCAGAGCTACGTCCCCAGCCCTTGCTGTTTTTATTTTGAGACAGGGTCTTGCTAAGTTGTACAGACTGGCCTCAAACCTTTCATTCTCCTGCCTCAGCCTCCCAAATCCTAGGATTACAGGAGTGTGCCACTGTACCTGGCTTAAAAGTATTATAATTATCACAGCTCTCAGTGAAATTATCATCAAACCCTAAAGCATTTGGCTGAAAAGGAAGTGAAAGTGCTATAAACACATACTATTAAAAACAGCCAATTCCAAAAACATCTACAAAAATAAATAACATACTGATGTGATATCACGAAGTGTGCCACAAAGAAAATACTCCAAGGCCTCCAGACACATTATAAAGAACCCCCACTAAGACTGTGGCAATGACCCCCATTTTCCAAACTTCCCGCAATATGCCCTTGGGTTCCTACATGTCAAACTTTATATGGAAACTGTGGAGGAGACTGCAGGGGATTAAATTGACACTGCTTGTCTAGAACGTAGTGAAGATCATCACAGCAGCTAAAATAGAAACACTAAAGAAGGACTCTGCAAGACAGTGCATGATTTACTTCCTGTGGCACTTTCCTCTCAGATTAACAAGAGATTGAGGGCTGGGGATGTGGCTCAAGCGGAAGCGCGCTCACCTGGCGTGCGGCCCGGGTTCGATCCTCAACACCACATACAAAAACAAAAGATGTTGTGTCCGCCGAAAACTAAAAAATAAATATTAAAATTTCTCTCTCCTCTATCTCTCTCTCTCTCTCTTAAAAAAAAAAACAAGAGATTGAGGAAATGTTTCTTGAACACTAACAATGTGCATTTGGGTGTTGCCCAAAACAGAAAGATGCCTCCAAGAGTCCAGCCTGTCGCCATAGACCCCGGGGTGCTGAGCAGGGTGGCCTGCGCTGGCTCCTTCACAGGCACAGACGCTGCCTGTCTCTAAGAGCCACTCCACTTGCCCTCTAGGCTCTGTGCTATTCGTTGACATTCCTACAGAAAAACCAATGTTTATACTTCAAAGAACTTTAAAAACAAACTTGTCTTTCTTCGCCATCCTCCTCCAGGCTCTGTGTAGTGCTCAGTCTTTTATAAACAAGATGCTGAGGTTCAGAAACAATGTCTTTTCAGCCGTGGGTGGCAGCTACTGCGTCCTGGTGCCGTGTGTTCACTCACACCTTCAACAGACATTCTGGGCTACTACCATGTGCCTTTTTTTTTTAATGCACAAAGTAATACCCTGGGCACACAAAAGAGAAGGTTTCTGATAGTGCTGCTCTTGGAAAGAGACAATGCTTTTCACGGGAGAAACAAAAGACACCACATTCCAGTGTCTTATTCTGCAGTTTTTTTATTAAAGTAAACAGTATGTAAAAATCCACCTAATAAATAAGAAAGCAAAGCTCTCTGTTTTCAACCGAGTCTTCTGGGAAGTCCAAATGAAAAAGAAAAATAATTTTCTGGAGTGTTTTCAGAGGGACACAATCCTAGGCACAAATCATCATCCAAGTTCAGGCCTCCCTGGCCCAGCCCCAGGTAGGCCTGGATAAAGTCAAGGCCAACCAACAGCAATCTCCATGCTCTGCTTACAGGCCTGCCTGAACGTTCACATTTCAAAACTTACTCAGGGAAAAGACATTTTTAGGCAAAAGCCTAAAAAGGGTTTTTAATGTCACTTCTGCCTGATGCAAAACACTGAAGAAGGACTCCACAAGACAGTACATGATTTACTTCCAAAGCTAAATGGGGGGTGAGTGAGGATCTTACAATTTTTCCTTCTTTCTTACTTTCATGACCTTTGGATTCCAGCAAATGAAATACAGAGTATAGTGTACTTCTATTTTAACTTAGAAATAAAAGGAAACCTTGCACTAAAACATCTGCCTGCTCTCCTTCCCTGGAATTCTCAGTCACAAAAACAAAATTAGGGACAAACATTTTCTTGGAAGTTCCTGAAAGAGGAAGGTAACTATTCATACACAAGGGCAGAGATAATCTCAATCACATACACGTCACAAAGTCCTCTGATCATCAAGAGACATACATCTACATGTGGTCCAGCACAGTGTACATACTCAAAAACCACAATGACAGGGCTGGAGTTGTGGCTCAGTGGTAGAGCACTTGTCTTGCATGCATGAGGCCCTAGGTTCGATCCCCAGTACCACCTAAAAATAAAAATATTGTGTCCATCTACAACTAAAAAAAATATTAAAAAAAAAAAACCCACAATGATAGCAGGAAAATTATACTTACATAAACCTGGGGATGTATAATATTTGTTCTGCTGCTCGGGCTGCCAATCTAAGAAAGATCCGTAAATCAGATTCAGCACAGGCCTAAGGTGTTAGCATCATTAAATTCAATGACAATATTCAAAGAGTGGTATTTGAGAATATTTTTCAGGTAAAATATGATTACTATGAAGGTAAAACATCTCTTGAAAATTTTGGACAAAACAATATTCTTTCTACACCATCCTGTGTGTGCAAAATCTCTTCAGGACACATCCATCTGGTTCTTTTGTTACCAGACATGAATTTAGGCAAAGAAGTAATCCGGGAAATAAAAGTGGTTTCTCATTTATTAGCTTTTTCCCTAAGATAGTTGAGACACCAGAGAACACCATGAAAATGAACACTTATTAAACAGTATTCTCCAAAAATAGGCTGATCACATGACAGTGGATGGCTCTCTTGGTAGTAGAGAAGAATTTAGGGACAGAGCTAAAATGATCAAGGAGCAATATTATAAGAAACATTAGAAAGATAGTACGCACTTAGGGAGCTTAACACCAGGGCACACCATCAGAGAAGCTGTCCCCCCATGCACAGGTTCTGCGTGCGGGTTCAACCAATAGCGAATCCCATGGTGTGCAGCTGGGCCTACATTGCTTTGCACCTCCACTGAGCGTGTGCAAACTCTGCTTTTCTAGTTTTTATTTCCTTAACGGCACAGTATAGCAACCACTTGTGCTGCACTGACACTTTCTCAGGTAGAAGTAGTAACCTAGAGATGACTTAAGCGCCGGGAGAATACAGGGAGGTGACATGAAGACATTCTGCCACTTCACACAGTGGGTGTAAGCATGAGGATTTTGGTGTGGGGGTTGTCAGAATTCCTGGAACTGACCCCCCATGGATGCCAAGGGATGACTATACTCGTGGTTGGCAGACTAATAAATAGCCCAGCAGATCCACTGAGTTTATAAAGGAAATTTGCCCAGGTGAGATAATATGTGCCTGCCAATTTAAAATCTCATCTTCTACTGAAATCAACCTGCCTGGCTGATGTACAGCGATGACCCAAGCCTATGACTGGGCCCACAGAATCGGAAACAGCCTCCCTATGACGAGGAGAAGTAAAAAACAAGAAAATGTCACTAGGGCAAAGTTATTATAAGCTTAAGCATTTGGAGCCTGGTTCTGAGGGGCTGTGGCCATGGCACAAGGACACCACTCACCGTGGAGGAAGATGAATTTTTATCTGGTGCAGCATATCGGAAAAAAGTTCCAACTTTGTCCACAGACACGGGGCTCACCTGCTCCCAGCCGTTCACTCTCACTTGCAGTTGGTGAATCCGTAGGTCGTGGGTGTGTCTATGAGGAAGAACAGGGAAGGGAACAGGAACACAATCTCAGAAGGCAAGAAAAATGGAGGCAAAGACTCCAATCTGACCTGCTGTGTAACCACACAGACGCCCACTGGCTAGGCCTCTGGGGGATTCCCTAAGGAAGGGGAAATCAGGAGCTGGTTTAACTGGGTTTTATGAGAACAGCACAAACTGCAATTTCTGGCAGCCTGAGCAAGAGGGGCACTCACTCTCCCCTTCCATGAAATCTCGCACTAACCAGGTCTCTCCCCCGCAGTCCCCACCCCAACCCCTCACCAAACAATGTGAAAATCACTTTAGTGGGGCAGGAAAAACGTACTAGTGACTGAATCACATAACCAGCCTCTTGGAAAGGCACAGAAACTTTTTCCTTCTTGGTGCTTTTGTTGACTATCCCACTTCTCTCAAAACCACACGCAGTCGGTGGGCTCCAGCTCCACGCGACTGCTAGTGGGCAATCAGAGTCTCGGGCCCAAGCACTTAGATGAAACCGGAGCAGAAGGTAGTGGGCAGAACGGGAGGAACGGAGGAAATTGCACATTTAATTCTATTTTAGATTTTGTCTAATTTAAGCCAGAAGCCTGAAGCGGGGAGCTGAATTTGAGGCTAACAGGAAGCAGGGAGGGAGGCTCGGGGTGGGGTACCACGTGCCAAAGGGGGAAATGCCAGAAAAGGCATTTATTTTGATGAATTCAGGCAGAACAGCAGGACTGGAAAAGGGTCACAAAACATGGAAACTAAAACGGAAATGACAAAGAGGTCAAGCCCTGGCTTAGATAAGAGGCAGTGATTATTCAGAGATGCTATCCAGTCCTATGGCTTCTCTGAGAACCTCATGGAAGGACAGGACAATGACTTGACCCTTGTCCCTGGAAACTACAGTGGCTTCCAGGGACACGTGACCAGCACAGGGACTTTATTTTACTTCTTTTTTTTCCCCCGGGAATACATGGGTCTCTCTCTCTCTCTCTCTCTCTTCCAGAGGCTCATATATACACAACCCTTCTCAGGTAGGTGTAATGTTCATGGGCATAAAACCATCAAATGCACCAGGCACAGGAGATGTGGGCACATGGACTTCAGCATCATGAGACACAAAGGCCTGCAGAAGGATGAAGCCAACCCCTTCCATGTCCACTCAGCTTAAGAACCATCTGAGGCTCAAAACCTAAGACCTTCACCTGTCCAGATACTAAGTCTTAACTACCCATGCCCCTTGGATAGCCCTTCCATTTAAAAATGTTTGCAAATAATGGGACACTTCCTTGGATATTTTACCATCTCTCAATAGCCAGATATAAAGCTCTCTTCCCCTCCTCCTGAGCCTTCAGCTTGCTACCTCAGGAGGGCATCTGTCAGCAGTTGCCCAGATAGGTTTCATGCACGTCTTACCCTCCCTGGCTCCGCTTCCTCAAACTAGCTGCCCGCTAAAAATGCTATGTGGAACATACATACGCTATAGGTGAGATCAATGTGCTTTGAGAACCTTTTCAGAATAGCATGTCACCACTGCATCATGGAAACCAGGCCAACATGCAATGAACTTGAGCATTATAATGTCCATGCTTAGACAAACTTATGAGAGACACATAGGTTATCTCCCCATCTGTTGAGTAAATGGATGGTCAATGGAAAGAGATGTATTTCCAAGATGGCAAGACAGCCCACATTTATAAAAGGAAACAATGATTTTCAAAATATCTCTTAAAAATATAATATTAAAATCAGGAATAAGTGAAAAAACAAAACATTAGGGACAATCATTTATATTCACTTTTCTATTCATTTATTTTTTAAAGGAAAAGAAGAAACAAGCATACTTTACCTGTGTCTCAACTTTCCTCTGGCTTCAAATTCAAAGGGAATCTCTTCACCCGTAAGGACTTCTCGCCACTCACTGACCTTGTGAGCATCATCTAGAAATGCTCCGTTCCCTTCTGGGACCACACCTGGACTCCCACTGTGGGACAATGCCGCCCTAGAAGCAATCAGAAGAACCCACTGTCCCTGATCTCCACCATTCCCTCCTCAGGGCTCTGGGCTGAGGAGAAGCCCTCTCAGGACAGCCCGCAGCAGTAAGGTAGGAGCCCACCACAGAGGAGGACCTCAAAGCCCAGTGACTATGGTGATCCCATGCTCAGTCACAGCTTACCCGAACTCTCAGGAATAGCTGAATTATCACTACCTAGTCACTTAGCTCCAGCAGCAGAGTCTGGCAGGTATACAGTAAGGTAAGATTTTTAAAGGAACATGTAAGTGCGTGGCTAGAATTTAACAGACCTAAACTGCTAAACAGAAGAACCTCCCTTCCAGGGCATTATACTCAGTGGGGGCAGGGGAAATGCAGTTTCGAATCAGTTGATTCTGTTATCCATTCTGTGTACTTCATGGCCTATGCTACAAAGTCACCAGGTACATAGAATAGGACACAAGATCTAAACAGGCCAAGAGTTGTCAAAAAAGTTCTCACTCAGCTTAGGGAAACTTATTTGTCCTCCAAACTCCAGCCAAGCTCATCTGTGCTGAAGCAGGTCTCAGATAACCCTCCCGGGGCTGGGGAGGCTGGAGGACATTTTTGAAGCAGTGTGGGAAGCAAAATGAGTATATTTTAATAAGCAAGCAATGCTTCCGTAAGGAGAGGGAAGGGCATGGTAACCGTGAAGAGGAGTGTGGCTTTTCTTGCAGACCTCCTACGCACACCCTTAACCTGTGTGCCTTTGCCTTTAAACATAACACACGCAGGATGGAGAACACAGTTTTGACCACTGCAGACTCAGGATCAACTTCTCTACCTGCAGACTCTGGAATCAGAGCCTCCCCCATCCATCTCAGGAGGACAGAAGTTACTTGTGGGAGGCCGCCATGTCATGTGACCAGCGTTTTTCCCCTCCTGATCAGTTGAGGCACTGTCGGTCATATTCCCCCCCACCCCCAATGATCTGGCTATTCTTAAGTTGTTGAAGTCCTGATCTTGAGGGTAGAAATAATGTAACCAAATGTGTCTTCCTGCATAGGCATGCCTTCCTGCAGCCCCATGGATCCAGTTACACTCACTTGTTCCTTTGTGATATTACCCCTTGCCCTGTTTGGGATAGAATGTTCCATGGAAACTCCCTTTTTGTGTCCCCTTCTCTTACTCTGCCCTTGGGTGTGGCCTTCCTAGATGTCAGTCAACCTGCTGACAGTGGACATCATGAAGCTAGACTCAGCCCCCTGAAACCTGAACCCTGGCCTCATTTGAATGGCTTCTCCTCAATAAAAGGGGTCAGCACGTGCTCGCTCTCCCTCTCTTTCTGCAGACTCTTAAGAGGAGCCGTCACAGCACCCCCAAAGAAAAAGGTATTTCTGTCTCTTGTGTGGTTATTTCACACAGCCCAGTTAGCCCAGTTCCCCTGGAGTGACCCCTGAGCATTTTAGTCGCAAGCAACGCGGCAGTTACCGATTCAGATGTAAACCCAGGGCTCTCAAGAAGGGCTCTGCTGTGCTGCTGCAAGGGGGACTGGGGGACAAAGAAGGCTCCAGGGAACCGGCTGCCTGCACCTTACCTGGTGGGTGTCGTGGTCAGAGTGGCAAACCACAAAGTGCACCCCGTGTGGTTCCTCAGAGCAAAGGGGACAAATGGCTGCCGGCGTTTGGGAGTTTTCACCTCTGCTGCGACCAAATGAGAAAAGGCTGTTAACACACACCTCACCTGCAAGGTGAGACGCCCGCCCTGCCCCCAAACTGCCTCCTGCGTGAAGGGGCTGAAGGCCAGGTAGGAGAGAAGGTTCTATCTATCAACAAGGTCAGCTAGTGGGGCAAATAGAAACTCAGGTGTGGGCTGGCTGCATGCCATGTTTTGCCTCCAGCACCCCAACTCCCAAACCTCCCCCAACTCTAACAGGCCTATCACTCAGAAGGCCTATCACATCAGAACCTGCCTCAACTGGAATCAGGAGCGACCACCAGTCCCAAATAATACCTTCTAAACAGGTCACCCAGGTTATACCACGAGTAATTGTTGAAGCCTGGTCCACAAGGACTTCACTTAAAGAAGCTTTCCTTCATATAAAAGTTCAAACTTAAGCCACAGTACAGAAAACAAAAATACCTTTTGCCAATCTCTTATTATGATAGTTATTATTTTCTCCCTGGAAAACCAGGGCTATACGATCCCAAAGCTATGAAAATGAAATTTCTAGCTCATTTGTTAACACAGACATCACCGCCAACTCCTGTGAGGTGGCCACTGTGGAGGCTACAAAAGAAACGGGAAACAGGCTTCACTGCACAAGAGCCTCTACCAGGAAACCGCAGAGAACAACAGTCAATACAAAACTGTATGGAACCAGATCCTAGGGGAAGTGACCTGCCTACAAACACTGTGAGGACCCCAAGTGCATGAAGGGCGGCCTCCAGGAGCCTCTGAGGCCCCTCTGGCCCAGGGCCTATGTGACCTCCACTGGCCATACAAACTAAGAGGGAGGTGGCAGCAGGATCCCCAGGCAGTGGCAATGACAACCCAATGTGGGCAACTCCTGGATGACACACATAAGGGGACCACAGGCCCCATCCAGCCTGAAATCACAAAGACAGCACAGAAAGACGGTGACCTGAATGGTCTGCAGTAGGGGAGAAAATGGCACCTACACAGAGCAGCAAGCACCGACAGCAGAGAGCACGGGCCAAAGCCCAGCCTATCCACAGGGCCTCGGCTTCCTACTGACAAAAATCAAGGCAGCAAACCACAACCTGTCCTGCTGCTACCCCTGCCAGGAGGAGGCCTGGGCGGCCTCCCATTGCCAGTGATTAGCACCATCTTTTAAAAAGCAAACGCTCGGGCTGGGGATGTGGCTCAAGCGGTAGCGCGCTCGCCTGGCAAGCGTGCGGCCCGGGTTCGATCCTCAGAACCACATACATAGATAGATGTTGTGTCCGCCGAAAACTAAACAAAAATAAATATTGAAAAATTCTCTCTCTCTCTTAAAAAAAAAAAAAAAAAAAAAGGCAATCGCTTCATTTTTCCCTTTGTATCCTTTATAGTTTCCAGAAGTTACTGCCATGAACACTGCCAGACGAGAAATTTCAGAGTGAGGCAAGTTGTACTCTGATAACAACAGTGGCTCGGCGAGTCTACGGCACAACAATCCACTAAGACGATGAGCAGGCTCCAGCATGTTCCCACAATTTGTGGCCAGTTATCTAAAGACACCCAAGTACTTGTCAAAGGTGGGCTTCAGTGAGGAACATGCCTAGTTTTTATTCCTGTAGCTCCATTTGGTTCTCCAGGTCTGCCTTAAAAAAACAGTGCTCATCAAGTAGAAAATGGAGGAGTAGCTGCGAGGCTGCTGCACGAGCAGAGGGGGCGCAGGGGAAGCAGCATTTGCTGCGGGCTCTGGAGATGACTCCCTCCCAGAGCAAAGAGCTGCTTTTATTACGGCAGATAAAGGGCCACGAGGAAAAGGAGCCAGATGTGCTTTCCCGTCCCACCATGAGCCAGACTGGAAGTTTCCACTTGCAAATTCGATTTAAAAAGAACAGGTGGCAGATGGCTTTGATCACACTGCAATGCAGAATAAGCACGAGGAATCCACACAGAGAGATCCACAAGCATACCACCTTGGCACTAACTACCAAGGGCAGGAACACTGCTGAAGTCCCCAAGACCAAACAGCAGACTTCAGCCACCACTTCTCAGAGTAACACAAATCCAAACCCAACACCAGGGAACAGCTCTGACATCTCTTGCACCAGGATCCAAATAAACTATGTACTTGCCTTTGGAACGGTATCAGAGGAAAAATTCCCAAATCCTTCAAAGAGCACATTACTCCCTGACGGCCTCAAAAATCTGCCTCTAGTGACCAAATCTAATTCTTCATGGGTTGAGATAACCCAAAGCTCCTCACATCCAAGTTCAGCCTCAAATGGCTCCCACTAAGGAAATTTTCAGCCCCTGGACTTTTTGCAGAGTGATCTGGCCACTACGAACAACACAGGTTTCCTGCTATACAGCAGCTCAGGCTATCAGAAGGACCCGGGTCGTAAACTGCAATAAATAGATTAAAGCAGCAGGTCTGCTGCTAACTAGTCACACTGAATGAAAGCAAATGAAGCCATCATCTGAGTCTTGCTATCCTTGTCAGCTTCATGGAAACAATGCTTGGCTTTGCGAGGCTGATAAGTAACATACAGAAAGCTCAGAGGCATCCATTCATGAATAAGTAAAGACTCAGCCATAAGCTTGCTCTGTGAACAGAATTAATCAAAAGCAAAACCTTCCAGAAAGGTAATAAACCCATATCCACCTCCCCACATATCAGTATCCCTGTTCTGTGCTCCTGGTAGAGGGAGTTCAAATGCCTTTTTTAATAAAATATGTCACAACCCATAATCTGGAATCAGCTGTGTGCAAACAAACCACTCAGATTAAATCACACTCCTTAAAACAAAGGAAGAAACGCACATCCTGGGCTCCGATTATTCAGTGTGTTTTTGATTTGATTATTCAGTCAAATTCTCAAGGAACTTTTAAGGGTCAGAGATAAAAATAAAGAAAATTTTCTTTTCCATCTCCTAAGCACATAAATTCATAACTAAAAAAGTTAAAGTTTGTGCACAAGTAATTATTTACTGTGCAATTTTTTCTTCACTCTATTCGTTATTATGAAGCTCCTATTTCATAGAGCCCACCCACATTCCCACAAGAATAAATGTCCACTGATTGTTTTAGAGTCCTGAGCCCTGCTTGGTAGAGGACAGGGCTCTTGCATTGGCGTGCTTTTGGTTGTGACAAACCCCGTGCTTGGCACTGACATGTCTGCATTCCATGCCGAGGAGTTTACTGACAAGGAAGACTCAGCTCATCACTTACTTCAGATACAAAGTGCAATTCTGCTCCTTAGTTAAAAATGTTCTTCCTGTTACTGAAGCAAAGTACTCACAACACCCCCCATTCCACTCCCATTCACAAAAACATTCAATGTACAAGGTAGTTCTTGGTATAGGACAAGGAAACAAGCCCTCGCTGGCCGTACTGTACCTCCAGCATAGGTCTGGTGCTCTAGGTTAGTCAGGCTGGCTGTACTCCTAGTTCTAAGGTAGACAAGGGGGAGGCCTGGCAGACAGGAGAGACAAAGTTAGAGGGTAAGAATAAATGCAGCAAGTGAGAATGGTCACCCCCACACAGCAAGTAGGCACAGAGAACAGTAACACGCAATCGCAGGACCGCCCTCCTGCAGCGATTGAGCCAGGAATGTCCTAGACAAAGCAAACCCATTTTCATGCTGGCCGGGCTGTGGAGGCCATTGTCCCAGCAGCCTACTCCTCTTTCCTAATTAGGGGAAGAAAAATGCACTCAAGGTTCTCTTCACTCCATGAGGACTTTTAATTTAAAGCATGTGATTTCTTGAAAGTGGCCCAGAAAAGTTCCAGAAACCAATCGGCACAGATTTTTAGTGGTTGCTCCATTCCAATTGGAGAACCAAGTGGCAGTAGAAAGGAGGCCCCTGGCAGCCTCAGACATTTGAAGGAAGACTCAGTCTGGGCCCAAATTTAAGCAATCTCTTCTAAGGAGCTATCTTATAGTGCTACTTGAATTCTAAATTGGAAATGCAAGTTTTCAGAACATTTATACTTGATATTGTCTTAAAACAAGCCTGGAATACAATACTAATAAATTCAGGGAGGTGCCAGTCCATCCAGGATTCACCTGAAGCCTTACTGAACAAAGCCCACGATTACATCAAAATGAAGCCAATATTTTCTTTTCCCTGTTAAAGAAACAATGAGAAATCAGCATGCTATATCCCTGGGCTGCATTTCACAGTCAGGGCTATTCCAAAGGCTCATTTTAAGGCTGGCCTGAATAAAAAGCACAACCTTGGGGGAATACGTTAAATATTCTCAAGACCTGAAAGTTGTTTTTTTTAATTTACCTTTTAGTTGCAGTTGGACACAATACCTTTATTTTGTTTACTTATTTTTATGGGATGCTGAGAATTGAACCCAGGGCCTCACACATGCTAGGCGAGCACACTACCGCTGAGCCCCAGCCCCAGCCCAAGACCTGAAAGTTTATGATCAGTTCAACAAGGTTGAAATCTACTGCCATCAAAAAAAAAAAAAAAAAGGCCGACAATGATACAATGATTTCGTAGGCCTATTAAAGAACACAACCCTGGCCCACAGAAAGAACACCATCTTTTTTTTTTCAATAAAAAAAGACATTTGGAAATTCAGGTATTTTTAATTCTGTGATTAAAAATACATCTTACCTCTATCAGCTTACATAACCACAAAAATCTACATAAATAAAAACTGAGCTTTGACTTAGCATTGGCATTTAGCATAAATAAAGCAGCTTATTAACTGGAAAAAGGAGGAAAGAGAGGGGGAGAGAGTGGAGAGCAGGAGAGAGGGAAAGAGGGGGCTAGAGAGGGGGGTCGGGGAAGAGACAGACCCTTCATCCACTTCCTGAACATCAGGCCTTCCTAGTATTTGCAGTGATCGGATTAAAAAAAACTCCCAGTACAAAGATGACTTTCAGAGAAACACTCTTGGACATATCACATATTACAGAGATTACCAAAGTCTTCCGGGTAGAATAGATTATGTTTCCTTGACACATAAATCGGGAAGGCTGGAGGAGGAGAGAATTGAAGCTGACACCATCTGAACAGCCCAGGCTCCTAAGCAATGGCCTTGGAACCCAGAGCCTGGGAACTGGGAGGACAAGCACAACTGACAATGGTTTTGTCTCTCCTTCTAGAAGCACAGGCAGCAGAAAGTCCGCTTTATGCAGTCTGAGGAGAGATGAACCAGCACAAATACTTCATACACTAAGCAGTCACCCTCCCATGACTGTCTGCAGACCAGGCGGAATATTTAAGTATTCAGGAGTTATGTGAAGCCCAGCCAAGACTCTTGGGGAAACCACACAGAAAGACTTGGGGCTGAGTTCAATTTGGATGACAATGGCTTGTGGAACAACCAAGACCAGGCCTTCCATCACAATCTCCCCAGCTCTGAGGAATGCTCCATGGTGAGGCATTAAGTAAGGGAAGAAAACATGGTCAACAAAGAACAAACAGACTCCTCTCCCCCCAGGCGCCTGGGTATGCAATTCTTTTGTTCCCTAAGAACAATACAGGGCCCCCTCTTAAAATCGCTCACCACATGGGATCCACTCTCCCTCTATTCAAGGATACATGTGCAAACCTTCTAGCACTAGCTTCAGATCTTAGAAGAGATGTTTTTAAAAATCCCAATAAAAAATACCCATATACTGGAAACCAACATTTTGCCAAGTAAAACAGAAACCAAGCAGCAGCTGAACCAGACACGGTCTCAGGCTTACCCGTTCATTCACAATGTTACCAGAAATTAGGAATTATATGTCGCAGATCCTTTCTCCCTTGCATAGGTGGATTTAGAGGTCACCTAAAAGTTCAGTAATTTGTGCCAGAAAACTGTCTCTTGCAAAAACTAAAACAGAACAACAGAAGGTGGCCAGGGTTTCCCATAGGCTTCTCCATGAAGAATGACAGGTCTATTGAATTTCTTAGTAAAGTACAGCAATTCAGACGGACACCTGCAGATACGAATCTTACTTTGTCCGAAGCACGGAGGGTCCACTGAAGAGCCCATCCAGTCTTCTGATTGGGTTGACTCTATTTCCTTGTCTTCTTTACAGTAATCTGCCATCCATGATTCCTTGGTACTTACATACTGATCTAAAAAAAAAAAAAAGAATCCCCAAAAGATATTAAGAAGAGCAGCAGCAGAAAGGATGGAGAGTTCACATTGAAGAGTTTCAATTAAGCAAAAGAAGCTTTTATAAAGTGCCTCCCTAGATGCTAGGCCTCTGCTGGATGCTGGGAAAGTCTGGGCCTGGAGAACCTAAGCTCCAGGAAAGGAACGAATGTGCACAAAATGCCCACCATGAAGCCACACCACATGTGAAAAGTGAAAACACAAAGATAAATAAAACACCAAGGGGCCCAGGGAAAACATATTCTGCTTGGCAGAAGTGCTGGTGTGCACACCAAAGTCCTTCTTCAGTGAGGCAGGGACCTTTGTTCTGGGTCTTGAGAAACAATCAGCCTAGGATTTACCAACAGGCTGGGAACAGGTGCTTTCCAGGCAGAAGGCAGAGCACACACAGGGACTCCAAGACAGGAAAGCCAGGGCACACTCAGGGAACAGAGTGCTCTGTCAGAACAGCACAGCACACTAGGAACATAGCCAAGCAGTCTCGAGAAGGACCTAGTTGGTGAAGAACATGGTCAGGGAGAGACCGGCTCAGGAGGCTGAAATCCAGCAAGAATCTTCCTGGAGTAGCTTCCTTTTTTGGAGATAAGAACTACAGTGGGAATAGCAGGTTAACAAAATAACTACCACATGCTACACCAAAGTGAAGATCTTTTACACTAAGAGATTACACTTTCTGGAACAAGGATTACTGGTTTCTGGTTTTCAATTCCAACTCTTGGCTATTTAAAATCTGAGAGGTCCAAACAATGTTTCTGGGTTTCATAACACTATTGAAATAAGGAATTGGAAGTGAAAAAAAAATTCACCACTAATAAGGAAATGTTTTAGAAGATATTTTTAAATACATAGAAGCTCATCATAAATATAACAAAGGACCTTTTGAGGCAAATTCGTGTTTACTGGAGCTTTTCAAAGAAGTACTGTATAACCTAGTTTAGCATATAATGTGAAAAACACAAAGGTGAAATAATACAGTTTAGGAGGATTACAAGTTAACTTACTACTACATTGGTATACTGAATATCCAAGAAAATTGATGAAGGGAATTTGATCATTTAAAATGGGGGTTTTGCCAGATATAGTGGCAGACACCTGTAATCACAGTGGCTCAGGAGGCTGAGGCAGGAGGATTGAGAGTTCAAGGGCAGCCTCAGCAATTTAGCGAGGCCCTAAACAACTCAGTGAGACCCTGTCTCTAAATAAAATATAAAAAGGGGCTGGGGATGTGGCTCAGAGGTCAAGCATTCCTAAGTTCAATCGATGGTATCAAAAAAAGGGGGCAGGGATTAAGTTGGGGGGTCAAAAACATGGTCTCATTTCACCACACACTCTCCACTGCCCCTGACAGGGCAAGGTGATGTCTACTCTAACAGTCTCACCAGACATACACACTGCAGAAAGTCACCATTTGCAAACTTACATGACGTCGCTCAGAGAGAACTGCAGAATTATCAAAATCTGATCACACAGACTAAGAAATCAAGCAGTGAACGTGAATTTTCATAGCAAATGTAAAAAATGCCTGATGATATGAAGATGCTACTCTAATTTTAGATGACAGAAATACAAATGATAGAGTGGTTCTCCTTCACCACGTCAAATCTACAAGTGTACATTTCAGGGTTACCAAAAATCTTTCAGAGCACACACCATCAGCGTGGAACCCTGTGAGCAAGTTGGGTCAGCACAGAATCTGATCCGGAAACAACAAGGGCAACTGCCTCTGCTATGAAGACCAGGTCCAACCATACCTTCAAGTAAAATTATTTTTTGAATAACCTGAAAAAATATATTTATATTCATTTCCAGGACATTTAATAAACCCTGGTGGCCAAACATTATGAGGAGAAAGTTCAGCAGGGTCTCTACGTATCCCAAGAAGTCTAAAACTCTTGCGATCACTTTTCTGGCAAAGTCCAGTGAGGTGGCACCCACCTACAGCCCCAGTTACTTGGGAGACTTGGGAGGATCACTTGAGCCTATGAGTTCTAGACAATTTGGGCAACATAGTGAGACCCCCATCTCAAAAGAAAACTAAACTGTAAGCATCAACATGGGACACCGACTCTGGAGAAGTAGGTTGAGAAGACTCCTGAGGCCATGTTAGGTCTGCCAGAAAAGCAGCCTCGTAAGTAAGTGACGTCGGACATGGCCGGCATCACCCCTTACCGGTAAGCCACTAATGAATGTACAACGGGGGGTGAACAGTCTTCCAGGGACTCGCATAGAGCAAGGTACCAACCTGCAACAGGCAACTGCCCACTCACCAATTAGTACAGAAGTGATGTTGATATCCAGACGGGGTTTGGCCTTGGCCTCCAGCTTTAGTCGAGGAGGATGCAGACGACTAGCTGCCTGCTGTTGCCAGGATACAGAGCATGGCCATGGCTCAATGAATGGCTCCCAGCCTAAGAGAACACAGGAAGTGAGACATCTGCTCAGCAGACACCAACAGTTTACAGGGGAACACCGTTCACAAACGCTTAGCAAGGACAGATGAGAGCCTAAGAGCTCAGTTCAGTTTCACAGTGAAAGCACCAGCTCTGGCTATAGGTCACCCGCAGCTGTGTGTGCAGCACAGAGGATCCTGTGGAAGAGCAGACACCCAAACCATGGTCTTCCAGAGGTGGCAGGAAGCAGGGCAGGAGTACACGTGCCCTGTTCCACAACAGAGCAGGCAGGACCTGTTCTGGAGCCGCTCAAGGAGTGTCTGGTCAGAAAATAAATACAGTGGCTTCAATGACCATTACCTTTCATGCTCCTGGTTACGTGAACAAGCCACTAGCTAGACAAACAGATACACTTAGAGGCTCATTAACTTAACTTGCTCAAAATTTTTCTCATTTTTTATGTCATACATACAAAAAGAATTTAAACAACGTACACGGACAGCTTAAAGAAAATACTATCACACCCATATACCCACCATTCCAGAAACAGAAAATCACAAGTTCCTTTGAAGCACCAAGCGCCACGCCCACCATCTCCTTCCCAGCAGCCACCTCCCACCCAACTCCAGGCAATGATTTGCAGGAGCTTTTGATCATTTCCTTGCTCTTTATAATTTCACCACACATGTATGCATTCCTCAAGATCACACACTAATCAGTCTTCCTGTATACAGCTTCCTGGGACTGGAACCCAGTCTCTTTCAGTTTCTCCTTTTGCTCAACAACATGTCTTTGGGCATCTCATTACACCAGATGGACAAGGGTCACTGGGTACATTTGTTTTCACCCCTTAACGTAAGCCACTAATGAATGTACAACTCATTTATTCATTCTGCTTCTGAAAGACTTTTTTTTTGGTACTGGGGATCGAACTCAGGGGCATTCAACCACTGAGCCACATCCCCAGCCCCGTTTTGTGTTTTATTTAGAGACAGGGTCTCACAGAGTTGCTTAGCACCTCGCTAAGTTGCTGAAGCTGGCTTTGAACTTGCAATCCTCCTGCCTCAGCATCCTGAGCCAATGGGATTACCGGCATGCACCATGGCACCCGGCTGAAAGACATTCATTTAACTCTAACTTCACTGCTGCAAGGAAGAACACTACTACAAGTGGTGTCATCCGTGTTTCCTAGTTCTCATGCCTGGAGAGCAACATGGAGCTGCATTGCTAAGCATGTTCACACTCAGCGTCACCAGGTCATGCTGATCTGTTTTCCAAAGTGGTGGTGTCAATTTATGAACTTAACACCAGCACCAGAGCACGAATCTGCACAGATATGTAGGAGCATCACAGTTTTTGCCAGTCTGTCAGGTGTGAAAAGTAGGGTCTCTTTATGATTTAGAAAGTACTTTTCCAAGCCAGTTAACTTTTAAGATTTTTAAATATACTTATTCAATCAGACACAGTGTGAATCCAATCCAATCCAATCCAATACAATACACAGGATGGATACATTAGTACTTATTCCATTTGGCACTTACTGATGTGAACATGTTCATAACATCTTTAAAAGTAAGCAATATTTGGACTAGGAAAATAAATGATTCTCAGAAAAATAACTACCATATGCCCCACAAGAGCTTCTCTCAATTAGGAAGACTGAGCCCTTACTCTAAAGTCAAACATTCTGAACAACGAGGAAACAAGAGTGTCACTCTTAAGTGAATCCAGAGCAGAGGAAAATGTGGTCTGCTCTCTAGAACAATCAGCAGCAGCTGTTAAGTGGGGGCTTAAGATAAGGACAGCAGTGACCACCTGCGGCCTTAGCAGGCCCTGCACAGCAGTCCTCACTGGCTCTGTCCACACTGGGAGCTGATGGGAGCTTCTTCAAACTCTCTTAAGGTAAAAAAGTTCATTGTAAAACCACTTGGCCCTAATAGAGGATGGCTTCTGAATCTCAACCTGCTTAAGCCTTGCTATGGTTTAGGTGTGGTCTGTCCCCAGAGATGCATGTGTGGGAGGCTGCATCCCTAGTGCAGAGTATGGGAGGTAGTGGGACCTTTTAAGAATGGGAATTCACTGGGGGCGTGCCCTCATGTGGCTTAAGTGATGGCGCGCTCGCCAAGTTCGACTCTCAGCACCACATAGAGATAAAATAAAGATATTGGGTCCACCTAAAGCTAAAAAATAAATATTAAAAAAAAAAAAAAAAGACTAACCCAGTCTTCATGGAAGTCCTGAGCTGGTTCCTGCTATGAAAGCTGGAGCCTGAGCCTACATTGCTCTTGACCTCCTGGCAGGTGCTCTCGCATGCCCTGGCATTCTGCCACATGGCCCTCCACCACTGGGACCCCACTAGAGGCCAAACCAATGGGACCACCTGATTTTGGTTTGTTCAGCCTCCAAATCTATAAGCTAAATAAACCTCTTTTCTTTTTTTTCTTAGTCTCATGTTTGAGAGCTTAATTGAACACATATTAAGCACCTATTACATATGAGATACAGGGATACATAGAGATAGAGATGGACAAGCAATTCTGCCATCAGGTAGCAAGTGTCCTGGTGCAGAGAACAATCCATCGTGGTGAGCAGAGAGGAGAAGCACTTTCCCTGTCATTCATCTGCAGACCTGATTTCTCTATGGCTAGCGGTTCCTCAAATAGGATGGAGGAAAGGGGAGCTTCACAGCAGCCACTAGGACAGATCAGATAAATCACTGTCCCAAAGGGCTTGTCCTGGGCTTGGTTGTATTTTAAAAAAAAAAGAAAAAAAAAAAAAAAACACCAGCACCTGAGAAGACCCTGAGGTTTTACAGAATAACCAAGATCAACATAAGCAATATCACCACGAGATGCCGAGGACACCTCAGCCACAGCCTGCAGCAGGTATTTGCTATAGTAATGAAATCAAGACTAGCATGGGTCCTTTCCTTGGCCTTTCCAATGGGAAGGAAGCAATTGTGCAGTAAAATCTAGGCATGTACTGGAAAATCAGCTCACCCTGACCTGCCCTGTTTTATCTAGGGGGTGGGTGGGCAAAATGCACATTATCACTGACTCAGTACACTTCTCACCAAACAAACAGGTCCAGTAAGCAATTAGGAGACCTGAGGGTTAAAATGCTACAGACATAAATCTCCCTTGAAATTGAACTATTATCAGGGCCGAACAAATGATCCTTCACTACTACAAATTCCAAAATCAGAAAGATCTTATAATTATGCCAGACACAGTGACATGTGCTTATAATCCCAGTGACAGAGGCTGCGACAAGAGAACAGCCTCAATGATTTAGTGAAACTCTGTCTCAAAATTTTAAAAAATAAATAAAAAGAACTAGGGACGTAGCTCAATGGTAAAGAGTGCATTGAGTCCTCAGTAAATCCTCTCCTACCAAGAAAAAAAGAAAGGCCTAACTAGGAAAACTTCTTTTTAAATAATCAGTAGCAACATGTCAGATATGTTTTGAGTGAAACAGGAAATCTCCATCTTCTGGCTAATTCGGTCACTCACTTTTAATCTTTCCCTGTCCTGCCCCCACACCCACCCTTTCCCACATGTAAAATTTATGTAGCAATGAGTTCAGGCAAACATTTAAATTTACTTTTTAAATCCCATAATAATATACACCTTATACTGACCTGACAAAGCACGGTTATAATAATCTCCAGAAAGGGTGAAGTGGGCGTAGCCTTCAGGGCTGGTTCTCACATGCTGGAGAAAATTCAGACCTGCAAGGAAAGCAGATCTCACTGGCTAGCAGGGCAGGGCAGGGCAGGGCAGGGCAGGGCAGGGCAGGGCAGAGCAGGGCAAGCAAGGTGGCCCTGGCTTACAGACCCCACTAGAGAGATCCTGACTGCAGCTGACTCTCATGGCCACCGCAGAGCACGCAGAGTGTTCTGTTCATCATGTATCTGTTGTCATCCATGTTGATTTTTAAAAACATTGAATTAAAATACTATTTATCTTGATTGCTGCATTCTGGGCACACCTCTAAATGTTATGCTGGAGGTAAGGGCCTCATCTGCCTTCCTCCATCCCCACCCTGGCACATAGGTGTATCCTGTTGCAACATAAGATACTTCTACCTGAATATACGAAAAGAGGGCAATAATAAGAACAAGTATGTCGATGAATGTTGTTCAAGATTTTAAGATTACAGCTGGGCACGGTGGCACATGTCTGTAATCCCAGTAACTCAGGAGGCTGAGGGAAGAGGATTGCAAATTTGAGACCAGGCTCAGCAATTTAGTAAGGCCCTAGGCAACTTTCAAGACCCAGTCTGAAAATAAAAAATAAAAAGGTTTGGGGATGTAGCTCAGTGGTAAAGTGCTCCTGAGTTTAATTCCTAGCAAAAAATAAATAAATAAATAAGATCATCATAGAAAAATAGGAAATCATCTAATTATTCCCTACACAAAAGATGTCCATAGCAATGGTCAAAACTCTAATTGTTACTTTTTTCAAAAAAATGTTTTTCTAGTTGTTAATAGACCTTTATTTTATTTTATTTCTTTATATGTGGTGCTGAGAATCAAACCCAGTGCCTCACACATGCTAGGCAAGTGTGCTACTGCTGAGCCCTAGCCTCAGCCCCTAGTTGTTACTTTTAATAAGTGTCCCTGGGAATGCCTGGAAGCACAGGGCAAAGAATAATTTCTATGAGATGCAAAAGGCCAGAATAAAGCCCTAGAAAAGAAGCTGGCAAGACACAAACACAGAGAAATTAAGTGAACCAGCGTGAATTCCCATCTACCCTCCTCAAAAGCTTCCTCCCATCTGCCTGCAAAGAAGCACTGCAGGACACAGTATTCCTGCCCTGGACCCCTTGCTACCATAGGACACAGGCACACATCCACCACGTAGGAGGCCTCCGGAAGGAGACATCAAACTGAGCTTTCTAATGAGATTCTGATTTCATGTTTTTTTATTCTCAAGAGAGAAACAAGGTAGAAGCATTATTTTCTCAGCTTATCTTTAACTGCCTTGGTAACAATATTCACTGCAATATTAGGAAACATAAAGATAAACAAGCTGCAAGCAATGACGCACACCTGTAATCCTAGCAACCTGGGAGGCTAAGGCAGGAGGATTGAAAGTTGGAGGTCAACCTCAGCAACTTAGCTAGACTCTATCTCAAAATGAAAAATAAAAAGGGCTAGAATACGGCTCAGTGACAGAGAGACCCAGGTTCAAACCTTAGTACGGGATAGGGGGGACAAACCCTCATAAGCAAAATGGAGAAACCAGGAATTATTTAGCTAGAGTTGTTAATGTAATGGAAGTTTTATCAATGACAATTTCTATTATTCCTAAGTTATAGGCTGAAGGCCACATATGGCAAATAAATACAAATTTCTATAAAATACACATAATGAAAACCATGTGTAAAGACATTATTTAAATCTCACCCATACCCAAGTATAGGAAAGCCAGAATAATTTAGCCACCTCTGAAAACACCAGAGAGGAACCCGAATGTGAGGATGGCACTCACGGGAGAAGGTGATCTCGGCAAGGGGGACGTCGCAGTCCATGCAGTCATCGATGAAGCAGATGCACACACTCTCAGCCTTGATCTCCACTCCAGAGATCCTCGGGGCAGGCACAGCCCCAGGACCCTCACGGCTACTGGGGGCCAGGGAAAGTGACCTCAGAGGCTCTGCGTTCTTGAACAACCAACTTGCTGCCTTTTTCAGTTGGCCTTTAGAGAAATTAAAAGGTGATCAGTCCCACCAGTTCCCATAGTGACCCTGGCAACTCAGAGGAAACAGAGGAACATGTTTTTTAGGGACCTATAGGTGGCGCGAGAGCGCCTTGGCCCCACAGGCATTCTTAGACTCAGAGTTGTGGGGCGGGGGGTGTGCTAGCAGAGTAAGAGGAATTCTGCCTTCAAGGAACAGAGCACCTTCCACTTGTGTCCACCATACCTCCAATGACTGCCCTCTTCTCTCGTGACATCTGTTGGGAGGATAGGAGAGAGAGATGGAATCCCACACTCAGGCCCATAGGCCCCAGCACAGAGGCCTCAGTGGTCGAGGGCCCAGCTCCAGATGCTGTTCTGCACTAGCTTGCCACGGGACCTCGAGCAGGTTACTTGATCTTTCTGTGCCCTATAACCTATTAGAAGCCTGACTCAAAGAGGAAATAAATGGGCACAGGTCAACCTCCCAGAGCAGAGCCTGGCACATAATATAGGCTCTTTAAACAGTTTTTATTATCACCTTTATTACTGAAAAGAACTAGTGAATAAATAGCTTTATTTAGTAAAGAAAGAAAAACAAGGAAGTCCAAAAGGCTCTTAGAACTTTAAAAAAAAAAATGTCTCTCTGTCTTCTGATGGTCATGTGAGCTGCTTCCTCCTGTCACACTCTACTGCCATGATGTCCTGCCTCACCTTCTGCCACACTCTACTGCCATGATGTCCTGCCTCACCTCCAGTCCCTAGGAATAGAGCCTGATGTCTCTTGAGACCTTGAAACCATGAGCCCCCAAGTAAACTTTTCCTCCTCCACAGTTATTCTGGTTGGTCTTTCAGTCACAGCAGGGAGAAAGCTGACTGAAACAGCAACATACTAGTCTCTACTTATTCATGGATTTCCCAAGATCCCTAGTGGATGCCTGAAACCACAGACAGAACCAAACCCTATAATTTAATGCCTTTTCCATCTTAACTAAGCACTTACTGTGGGCATAACTTTTGCAACTTGAGATTTAACAGTAAAACTAGCAGACTTCTTTTTCCTTCTTCACAATTCCATGGAAAGATTCATCCCTAATGTATATCTTAGCAACCTTAGCATATGATTTTTTTTTCCCTTTCTCTACTAAGTCAAGGACTTTCACCTTTTCACTTAAAGGAAATACAGCACTTTACAGCTTCTCTTTGGCATATCTGAATTGCCATCATTACCCCTGTGCTTTGGGCTATTAAGTTAAATAAGGGTTATTTAATACAAACACAGTGATATCATGACAGATCTGATAACTGAGCCAGCTACTAAGTGATTACTGAGCAGGTAGCATATACAGCATGAATACACTAATTAAAGGGATGATTCATGTCCTGGGTAGGAGACAACAAGGTTTTACCACACTACTCAGAACAATGTGCAATTAAAAACTTATGAATTGTTTATTTCTACAAATTTCCATTTAATATTATCAGACTAAGATTGAGCACAGGTAACCAAAAACACAGATCATGAAACAACAGGTAAAGGAGGACTACTATATGATCTTATCAAGATGAGAGAGAGAGAGAGAGAGAGAGAGAGAGAGAAGAGAAAGAAGAGAGAAGAGAGAGAGAAAGAATATGCATGGATATACATAGTACCTAAAGAAATAGAGAGAAAGTATGCACACAAATATAAGGACTTCTCTCTCTTAAAGGGGAACCCAGAAGAAAGTATAAGGTAACACAGTGGAAACAACATGGGTTTCAGAGTCAGGAAGACCTTACTTTAAATCTATTTTAGTCCTGTACAATAGGTGACCTCAGACAAATTTACTTAACTTGTCTGAGCTGGTTTCCTCATTTGAAGAAGGGATTAAAAAGGATACTTCTAAAGACCTACAGTGAACTCCACAAGAAAACACAGAGAAAGGCAAATAGAAGCTCAGAGGAAGTGAGGGGAAAGGGAAAAAAAAAAAAACAAGGGAGAGAAATGAATTACAGTAGATGGGGTAGAGAGAGAAGATGGGAGGGGAGGGGAGGGGAGGGGAGGGGAGGGGGGATAGTAGAGGATAGGAAAGGCAGCAGAATACAACAGTCACTAGTATGGCACTATGTAAAAACGTGGATGTGTAACCAATGTGATTCTGCAATCTGTATACGGGGTAAAATAAATAAATAAATAAATAAATGGATCACGTGAATTAAAAAAAAAAACATTCATGAGTGGCAGAATCCCCACCATGACCACCACGTAACAGTGTCTTACATTTACAGAGCACTTCCCACATGCCAGGCTCTTCCCCCAGTGAGGGCCTCTTATCCTCATTTCACAGATAAGGAAGCTGTGGGACTAAGCTAAGCAACTTGCCCAGAATCACTAATAAGTAACTGATAAGGGTCAGAGGCAGAATCTGACCAACGCAGTCAGCTCCACAGCCCACACTTTTATCCACAGAAAATCCTGCAGCTCACACTGAGCTCTGACCAGGATCAGATTGCATTCAGCCCCCAGGAGACACTCCAAGGATCATCTAAATACACTGGCCGCTTCACCTTGTGGGAGCAGAGGAAATGGAAAGAAAGGACATTGTCAAGATAAACAATGGATAAGGGCACCCCATTCAAATTACCTTGACACACCAGAAGAGCTTTTCGACAATCATCCATGCTGAAGCCCAGCTCCTGCAGTCTAGCCAGTTGCAGCTCTAGGAAATAATAATATGTAAATTAATCTACAGTGGGGCTGGGGATGTGGCTCAAGCGGTAACGTGCTCTCCTGGCATGTGTATGGCCCGGGTTCGATCCTCAGCACCACATACAAACAAAGATGTTGTGTCCACCGAAAACTAAAAAATAAATATTAAAAAAAAAATTCTCTCACAATAAAACAAAAAAATTAATCTATAGTGCAATTTAAGAAAAACATAAGCTGTGCGGCCATGGCAAAGACCTGTCACCACAGCAACTCGGGAGGCTGAGGCAGGAGGATCACAAGTTCAAAGCCAGCCTCAGTGACTTAGCAAGACCCTGTCTCAAAATAAAAAAGGGGGCTGGGGCTGGGGCTCAGTGGTAGAGCGCTCACCTGGAATGCGTGAGGTACTGGGTTTGATCCTCAGCACCACATAAAAATAAAATAAAGGTATTATGTCCATCTAGAATAAAAATTACACACACACACACACACATATATATATATATATATATACAAAAAAAAAAAACAAAGAAAGAAAGAAAATGAAAGAAATTCAGAAATGGTGACTAAAACATTTCATTTCTCTAGGCAAAAAATGAGCTAATACAGACCTCTATCAAACATACCTTGAAATGTTGTCTTTTTCTTATGCTTATTATGTTTTTAGAAGCTTAAAACTAAAATTTAGTATTATGTCTATAACTTCAGAGGAAAACTCTCAAAGTTTAAACTTGAGCACTGGCCATAAATTTCAGAAGGGATCGTGACACAAAAAGGTCTGGGAGTTTTTTTAATTTAAAAGAAAATTAGAGTCATTCTTATGAGTTACAGTTATACTTAATGACGGATAATTCGACTCTGAACAATTGAACTCTGCAAAAGAAAAATTTTCCAGTTAAAAAGAAGGAGAGTTATTAGGAACACTGAGTGGGTTTACAGTTCAACACCTACCCAAGACAGGATCTAAGGTACGTCTCATCCCTTCTCTGGTTTCCTCTCCAACACGCCATGCACCTGGAAGGTGACTGCCAATGGATTCTGCCTCCACCGCCACTGAGTCTGGCACCGCAGCACTGGCTTGTTCTGGGATGGATTTTGCAATGGCAAGAAACAGCTGGACATCATTATAGGAGAGCCTGATGTCCAGGGCTTGTAACTGAATCTAACAAAATTTAAAAGGCAGCAATTTGTTAAAGTTACATTTGGTTTTTGCATTCATAATCTTAAAGATGTAATTTCCATTTCAAGTTCTAAAAGTACAACAAAACTAGAATAAATTTCTCATTTAAAAGACTGCAATGATCTTGAAAATAAGTACTAAAAACCCTGAGGCAGGATACCTCAGTTATAAGGTCAAATGGTCACAAAACTGTATCAAATCAAACATATTAACCTATGATAATCCTTCAGCAGGATGATTTTCCTCTACAAATAATTAGAGCACAGCTTTGGGGATCAGAGAACGGCTGTGGAGGAGATAGGACCACCTATCAGCTGATGGACCCATTTAATTTTTTTAATGGTTTTTTAGTTGTAGATGGACACAATATTTTTATTTTATTTATTTTATTTTTACATGGTGCTGAGGATTGAACCCAGTGCCTCACACGTGCAAGGAAATTGCTCTACCACTGAGCCACAACTCCAGCCCCCATGTAAGTTTTTAAATCTCTCAAACAAACTAACTGATCAAAACAATTTCTCTCTCTTGGAGCTGAGGATATAGTTCAGTAGTAGGGCACTTGCCCAGCACGTGTGGGGCTCTGGGTTCATTTCCAAGCAGAGGGGGGGAAAAAAAAAGTATAAAATAACTTATCTCTTCTTCATTCAAACATAACCTCACATGAGTCAAGTTTAACAACATTATTTCTTCACCAGAGATCAGCAATGTGGCTGCCACTGGTGAAGGCAGCAGACCACTGTGAGACAGGCAACTCTGGAGGCCATGTGAGTGTCCAGGTGTGAACCTTTTCTGACACATTTTTTGTCTCCCCCACCCACCCCGCAATCCCATGAGATTCCACTAAAACTGAAAATCAATGTGGTTTTCTCTTGTAATCTCCTATGATTCAAACAAATGATTAATTACTCCCTCCACCAAAGACATACGACACCATCTTCTCCAGCGTCCCTTGCCTGGCTTCACCTCCAGGCCTCCTCACCTCCCTGTACCACTCTGGCCCCGGCAGCCCTTCCTCTGCTCCCAGCCAGGCCTGCCTTCCTGATGTGGATGCTCTGCCCCTCCTCTCCACAGTTCACACCCTGCCCTTCCTCCTGCCCCCACCAACCCTGACTGAACTCCACCTACAACCAGGTGCCTGCTGCTCCTGCCCACGTTGTGCTCTCCTTCCTGTGAACTTCCACAGAACCTCAAGATGATACCAGACAATTAAAAGGTCTTTTACCCTTCCTAAGACTGCAAGATCATCAGGGTCAGAGACACATCACATTTACTTTGTATGTACTGAAGTAACTACAATGCTGCTGGGCTCACAGCAGGCAGGAGAGCCAGCAGAGGACCAAGTCAGGGGCACATCAGTGCGTTACGGAGGCTCTTGATAGTTACCTCTAGGACAGGTGGAAAGTCTTCACTATTGAATGCATCCATCAGTCCAGAACTATTCTGGTAAGAAGAATTCCCCACCAGCTCCACTTGAATTTGTACTGGGTCAACAATAGAAAGAGCTGTCTCCTGCTCGTTCCCCAGCCGGCACGAAAACACCTAGAGAACAAGAGGCAAGGATTACCGTCCACCTTAGGAAGGCTCTACCCTTCCGCCCCAGGAGGCCAGCTGAGGGGCGATCGGTCCTGGGTTATCGCAAGACCCATGACTACTGCTGGAATAAACTCCACCAAGAGCAAGACCGACACTCTTGCCCACGGCCAAGAGCACACCCAGCAGCCCACCCATAGGAAAAGGCAGCTTAGCAGTTCACCCACAGGCTTAATGATCTCATGTTCTGTAACCCAATAACATTGCTTCTCTCCAGGAACTAGTCCAATAAAACAATGTAAAATATAGAAAATGTCACTCAATCTTTTTTAATAGTTAAGAACTGTTAAGAACAACCAAGGTTATATCACATCTGCTCAAGAGAACACTCTGCAGCCATTTAAAAATGACAGCTAAAAAGATCATACAGAATGTAGGAAGCGAGTTGCAATTAATTATAGGTTATGGAAAACAAAGCCCAATCAAAATAGAACCACAGCAGCAGGATTTTCTTTTAAAGAAACACACCAAATTATCAGTAGAAAATACAGATACATAGATAGGTGATTCTCTCTCCCCTTGGATTTTCTTAATTAAAAATACATTAATTATTGATGCTGGATGACAGGTACACAGGGCTTCATTGCATTATTCTGTTTATTTTGCATATGTTTTAAGTGTTCTAGAATAAAATGACAAAAAATAAATATGTGGAGAGACAGAAGGAAGTGAAGGTGTGTTCCCATTTTAGGACCAAGTTCCTTCAAGTATTCAAGAAGAGCCCAAGAAAAAGAAGAAAATGTTTCTCTTGTCTCCTCTGTATCCTACCTGGTCATGGGGTATTTCCTAGCACTACCAAAACACATGTGACACCAAGGTCCCATGCCATAGTTGAAAATAACTCAGTACACTCTATAAATTCTCCCCCAATTATAATCAAAAAGCGCTTGGAATTCAGATGGAGTCGCGCTGCCTAAAGAACAAGACTAAGAGGAGTTTCCAGGAACCTCAAATATTTTGCCAAGCGTTTTTCTAAGACTTTGTTTTTTGGAGCAGAAAAGTTTCGTCTTCTTTTTTTTTTTTCTGAAGAAGCTTCAGCTTCACAGAACCCAAATGTACCTGACAGTTCATTAATCAATCATCAGGGTTTTCCAACCAAAGCTGGCACCGCAGGGGCCTGCAAACCAGGGGAATCCAATTCCGTGCTTGACTCACCCCAGCACACAGCCCCTTGGCTCAAGCTTTATGTTACATAAACGACTGGTCAAGAAGGGAAACCTTCATGTTTTATTCAGCTATATTTGATCCCCAAAAAAAGTATGCTGCTCATACTGCTGATGGTAAAAATGAGTTTTACTCATTCATCCCATGAGCAATAGCACTGGGAAAAGTAAGGCACAAAAAGTTCAATGCTAGGCGGAACAGAATCCTGACTAAATATTCTAACATTGCAAAGAGGAACGTCAGCTGAGACAGTGAATTAAGAACAGGCAAACACATCTGCCCTGCTGCCTCCACAACCCACGGCTCAAAATGAACCACAAGAGCTTTTGCATAATAAAATTCTTAGGCTACAAAGGCCACTCTGGAGCAAATCATCTCCTTCACAAGATGGAACTGGAGCCAACGGCACCACTGTTAGAGACAAGGTCCTCTTTTATATCTAAGATATTTCTGAAGGGATGGCACATAAAATCCCTGACCCCTTTCCTCAGCAGGTCTCCACTGCCTCAAAGCCCTGGCCACAGGACAGTGCTCAATGTGGGGCAAAGGGGACACAAGCAAAATGAGGACTGCTGCCTCACCTGCAGGACAAGAGGACTTATCAAGGTGCCTCACCAGGGATAGGGACCAGAAGAGCGCAGGAGGGTGTGAGAGGAAAAGGCCCTCTGCATGTAGTCGGAAAGAAAGAGAAATGGAGAGGGCAAGGTCCTCCAATTCCACAGGTCATTTCTTCTCATGAAAGTTCAGGAGGCAAAGCCTTTTCTGGGTGCTTCTCTCTGCCCAGTGTGCAGGGCTGTAACCAACACAGACTTCTTACCTCGATGCCAAACAAACTTCCTGAAAAGGGGCGATCAACAAAGCGGGGCTTATAGGTGAGCACCGTAGTGCCTTTCAGAATAATGGCATTGGTGTCGAAGCAGGACACATCTTCAACGACCACAAACTCCGTGCCTGGGGAAGAAAGTATCGTGAGTCAGGGCACAGCCAGGAAGCTAGAGAACACTGACCAGCGACCTTCTGCTTCACTGTCATCCTGAACAAACTCTCTGGCCTGGCCACACAGAGCTGAGCCAGCAGAGCACCGACCAGACAAAAAAGGCTGCGGTGTGGTTTCTCCCTTGAGCATCTGTCTTTAGACTACGGAAACTGCGTCCCAGGGTTCTTGGGAGGCCTGACACCTACTCAGAGAAACATCATGTGTCTAATGATGGCCTCATTTAAAGCCCCAGGAAGTCGATTCAGACAGTGATGCTGCTCAGGCAGCACAAAGCACCACGACTGCATCCATGAAGCTGTTCGCACCATCTATAAAGACCGCAGATCACCAAGGTCAAGACTTTTAAAATCAGCAGGTATGGAGTTCACTACTCATTTGTATAGAGTAAACTTACTCCACTCCACACTGACTCCATCAAGAACCACGTATGGGGGGAGGTGCTGGGAATGAGATTGATCAAACTAGGCTATATGCACGCACAAATGCGGCATTAGAAATCCCGCTATTGGGGCTGGGGCTGTAGCTCAGTGGTAAAGCGTTTGCCTCGCATGTGTGAGGCACTGGGTTCAATACTCAGCACCACATAAAAATTAATAAAGATACTGTGTGTTCATCTATAACTAAATATCAAAAAAAAAGAAATCCAGCTATTATGTATAATTTTAATGCACCAATAAAATATTTTTAAACCATGTGTAGAACAAGCTTTTAATATACATTGTATAAGCCAATTTCATCAAAACCACTGAGAAGTCAGGTATACACAACACATACAAATGTACTTGAAGAACCCACTAGTCAATAAAAGCCTCAGTAAACCCATCTGTAAAGGAAAATATTCTTTCATTCATATATATGTATATAAATATATATATGAATGAAAGAATATATATATATTCACACACACACATATATATATATACCTTTATTTTATTCATTTATTTATATGCAGTGCTGAGAATCGAACCCAGTATCTCACACATGCCAGGCAAGTGCTCTACCATTGAGCCATAACCCCCGCCCAGGAAAATATTCTTTTTGTAAAGAAAATAACAACCCTCTCACTTATTTACCTTTAAAAACTGAGATTTCCACATACCAAATTTGCCTAGACTCAGTAAGGCACAACTGTTGGGACCCCACAGATGTAACAAAAAATTAAAGCCAGATTTCAAATTAGCAAAATAGACCTCTGCCCAGGCAGGTGCTCAGCCGGGGTACATGCACTAGGGGGCAGAGGAGTGAGACAAGAGACCCCACAGCTTCAGTGGGACCAGGCAGCTCACACCTGAAAACGGGTCAAGAACCTAACACTTGTTCTGTAAGAGATTCAGATATGAACGTGCTCAAGTCTAAAAACGAGAGCCAACAGAGAAATCATCCTGTAGAACGGGTGCCGAGCGAACATCCAATTAAGAACAGATGAATCACACCTCGAGGTAGTTACCTGTTACATTGATCTTGACCTCCAGGTGCCTTTCATTGGACACAGGAAGAGAAGACCGCTTGGTCACTACTCCACTCTTCACAGTCTTAGGGACCACTGCAGATTCACTGCTGGAGTTTCGGTGGTGAGAAGGAGTAATATTTTGTTTTTTAATATCACTGGGAGTGTGGAGAAAATCATGGACCAATAACAGCCAGTCAAATATGAGAAACACACGGAGATTGTTGAGAACTACTGTAAAACAGGAGGAATCTTTTGTAGACCTACAAGAAAGAAGACAGCAAACAAAAAACAGAAAAAGGAGCAGGTATTTCAATAACCTTCTAGTTCGTGTACTACCACCAAAGCAGGTGGTATTCCAGGCCTTCCTTAAGCACACACACAGCACATGCTTTAAAAAAAAAAAAAAAAATCTTCTTTTTAAAATAAGAATATGCTATGAAAAAAAGAAGTATAGCATAGCCCAGTGAGTTCAACTAATGTCTTTCCCCAGGAGACATTTGGTGCTGTCTGGAGGCATTTTTGCCTGTCCCACTGAGGGGCTGCTATTTAGGCTTCTGCTAGAGGCCAGGACTTGGCTCACCACCCTAATGCGCAGGACAGTCACATGGCTGGGAATTACCTGACTCAAAACATCAAGGCAGTGTGAACATCCCCCATCCAAATATTCAAAGTACTCCAAAATCTGAGAGCTTTTCAGATTTTATATCTTTGGATTAGGAATGTTTACCCAACAAAGTCTATACAGATATTCCAAAATTTGAAAAAAATCCAAAGTTTGAAACACTTCTGGCCCAAACATTCTAGACTGGAGATATTCAACCTGTAGGGCTGAGGCTGAGAAACTCTGGTATAATAGAAAGAGACTTAGACTTAAATCCTGTCGGGTACAATTGAGACATCCTGGATAAGTCACCCACCTTCCCTCGGCTGTTCCCTAATTTAAAAAACAAGGACTATGAACAGCATAGGAGACACAGCACAGCAGGTGTCTGAGAAACCCTGCTGCCTTCCACACAGGCAGTTTTAACATCAATTAGGCTTTCTCCTTTGATGCCTAGGAACACTTTGCCATAAACACCAAGGTGACATCTAGTACCAGGTGGTTTCTCTAGCTGACACTGACCTGAGAGTCCAAGTCTTTTAGCCTGAGAAAGAAAAAAAGTAGGGTGACATTTACCAGGGGTCTAGCCCCCAGGCTCCCAAGACAGGGTCGGGCATGAAAGTTATTTGTTCTTTTGTGCATATTTTTGTTTGTTTGTTTGGTTGGGTTTTCCTGCACTCGAGCCACACCTCTAGCCCACAACGCTTGTTTTATAGTGGCTATTACTACAAATTTTACGTTTAGGCAAATGTCTAAGGGAGGTTCTTAGTCTGCCAAGACAGGAAACCCAGGCGAGGGGCACTGCCGTAGGGTTTCTAGGTGGAACCTGGCTCTACAGCCAGGGTCCGGGCTCTGGCTACTGCCAAGGCCTGCCTGCCGCCAGCTCGACTCAGGAAAGGCTGGTTGGGGATATTTCTAAGGCTGCTTTCTGGAGTCTCATTTCTCCTAAACCTGGCTCACTGCCTCCAGTGAAAGGGCATCATGATGCACGTCTCCTTCCTACAAACACGGCATTTGTCACAGAAACACTCTGCCCTTTTGTAATAGAGAAAAAATGTTGCCCTCAGTAAAATTTTTCCACCCCATTTTGAACAGACTGTCAGAACTCTGCACTAACTGGAAAGTCACAGCGTGTCAGATCCCTTCTCTGGAAAATATTTCAAGCCTTTAAACACTGTGAAGTGATTTATATTTGACACACAAAATCCCAACAGAAGAGTAATTCTTCTTGAGACACGGAAAGCGTTCAAAGTTCCAATCAAGAGAATAGTTTATTCCTCTCCCTAACAATGGTATTTCTGTTAGCAAGAACCAAGGTAAGGCCTTATAATTTGACTATAAGAAATTATATATCTTTAGTACATGAATAGAATAATATTTCAAGGATCCTTGTATATTAAATATATGTGGGTGGAACAACTAGCTGAAAGCTTAGGGAGTCAGGTCAATAATAATAATAAAGAAAACCAAAGAGGAGTTGTCTCTGTAGACGAACCAAATACATGCAAGTAACTGTTCCAGTGAGCACCTCCCAGCAAAGGAGCTAAGAACACCACCTTATCACACAGCTGCAATGAGCTCGCGACAGGGAGCCAAGGGGCTTGAAGAGTTAGAGACACCAGTGCCAGAGTTCTGACGACCTGGCTGCTTACTTGTGTGCCTCGAGAATCACTTAGCTCTCCTCCAAGTGTGTCTTCTCCACACCTGTGAAAGTGGGGAGAAGCCACCTGCTTTGCAGACTCCTAAGGATTCAACGGACAGTAAGGTGCCCGGCTCACAGTGGGCCCATCCCAAGCATAAGCACTCCTGCCCCTGAACTCACAGAAGAACATTCCCACAAAAGTCTACGCTCTCCTCTGCTGGACTTCCCAGGGGTAGGTGGAGAGAATGGGACCTCTCCCTAGGAAAACCCTCCACTCTGAGGAATTCTAAACAGCACAGAGAAATGTCAGGCACATAAGAACACATGAATACAAGAATATCCTTTATAATTATTTTATGTGTTTGTCTAATTATGAAATTTCCCCAGTCTTTTTAATTAATTGTTCATATCATAGCACATCTGATGGCATTAAATACTAAGAGAATGAATCTGACATTGATTCCAAGGTCTCCTTCTGGATTTTCACTGACGGACTTCTTTAGATCAAACCTAGTTATTTGGGTTTTGGGTCCATACTCCTGTAGTCATAAATCTTACTAGAGTATATCATAAAACAGTACAAGGAGCATCAGTAACAACAATTACAGCAGCTACCATCTGTGCCAAGCAACATGCCACAGTTATGTTAAGTCTGACTTCTACCCAATGAAGTGGGCATACTTATTGCTTTATATTTCATAAGAGGAAGTTGAGTCACAAAGAGCACAAATCACTTATCCTAGTGCACAGTAGAAGAGGTAGGCCCCGGTTTTGAGCCGTGGTCTGACTGATTCCAAAACACGCTCTTTCCACACATGACACTGCCTCCCATGATACCACAGAGAAAAGCATACTGTGATCTGAACAAGTAAAAAAAACGTTTCTACTGGAGAATTGAGCCATCGAGACCTGGATTAACAAACTGGTATTAAAGTCAAAACCACCTTTCCTTTCATTACAGGCCAAAAGTTAAGGGTTCTTGTTTTTGGTGGTGGTGGTTGTTTTTTGTTTTGGGGGGTTTTGTTTGTTTGTTTGTTTTAAGCTTAAACTAGAGTCACTTTACAAATTAAAGCTTACCAAGAGGCTGACTTTCCAGACCTGCTCAATTCTGAAATACTTTGCTCTCCACTCACCCGAGGCAGGGCAGCACTCTGTCACCAGCCCACCAGCCCCGCCCCACTTCCTTTTTGGTAAGGCCACAGAGACACCTTTTGGCCAAGGAATTACACTGCAAGAGTGCAGGAGCAACCAGTCAACATCCAGCACACTTCACAGATGAACCACTGTTTATCTTTTTAGTGAGCCCTTAGATGTCCTAAAGTCAAAATGGACTTGACCCACAGGCCACAAAAAGAAAGATGTCCCTGAAGGAAGGCGGCATGAGGGTTTGGTTCTACTACCTGAAATGAAGTTCAATCTGAATAGATCCTTGGGGCGTGCTGCTGTTCTTGGAAGGCTGAAAAATGCAGTTGAACACATTGCTCACGCCAGGGCTGCACTTCTGCCCAGCATAGCGGGTGTCAAAAGCCATCATGGAATGGGAAACCAAGTTAATAGATTTGGTTTGGTTGGAAAAACTCTCATAGAGCAGTTTACATTTCTTGAAGTCAAATCTAAAAGGGAGAAAACAAACAAAATGCTAAAGACACTTCTACATTACAAAGTTAATTAAGTTTGAGATAACAAGAGAAAATCATCAATATATTTACATTGTGTGAAGGAAAATAACTTTCATTTTGAGATCTTGCATTGATTTTAACAGATTCTTCAAATTGCACTTAGTGGCACTTTGCCTTGGATGTTACTTTTGCAAATCCAAAGAGATGATCTTATTCATAGGAATTTTGTGAGGAGTAACAATACCACAAATTTATTATATGCTTGATTCATTATTATTCCCATTTCCCATAATATCTCTAAGAAGACTATATATTTATAACAATCCCCAACAGGTGTCAAGGGTGCCTTTAGACCTTCATCCATCGACTTCTCGCTTTCCTGTAGGTATCTCGCTCTAGAGTCTGCAAAAATCTCTGTATAAGATCACTGAGGTTACTGGGAACAACCACAACACATACTACTCTACACACAGAGCAATAACTCAATTAATCCAAGAATGGGAAACGTATTAGGAACTGAATTTTTTTTAATCACAAGAGAAAGCTACAATGGGAAATTCGTACTCAGTACTACTGTAGCAATATATACAGAACTGTTCCATACTAAGGAGAACTAAGGGCACAGCCAGGCACCAGGAAAACTGCTGGCTCTCAGAGAGTTGCCACATGAGAGTAGGACCCCAGGTTCACTACAGCATGCTCCCTCGGCTGAGTCAGGGAGGCACAGGCTGCCAACAGAAAGACAAGCTAGGAGACAGAGTGCCTCAGCAGGGACATTGCCAGCCCTGACACCCTCTTCTCAACTGCGGAACCACTTTCCCAGCCACACAACCTTATTCTAGTCTGAAATCCTATCTGGAAAAGAGGAGTAATGGTGCTTAGCCTTATGGGGCTGTGAAAGGGATCAAAACAAGAAGTTACCAAGTGTGAACGCAATCCTGAAGTTTCCCAAACTCCTACATCTACTCAGACCGAGCACATGACAAAGTTGGTGAACTGCTAGGTGAGCACATGGGACAGTTGTCCCTACAAGGGACAGTTGCTACTCAGCTTTCAGATGCTTCCAAGCAAGGACTTTGGCCTAATATTGCTAAGCTTCTGTTTTGTTCTGTTTTTCCTAGAAGAATCTGAAATCCAAGATTTTTGGATTTGAAATCCCCCAATTTCTGAAAAGTTAAGCAGTGGGGTAGTCACTAGTGCCATCCATCTGTGCAGACACATGCAGGATGGCCCTCCGCACTCCTTCAGGTCCTGGCTCTGAGTATACCTGAGCATTCCACTACCATTTGAGACCGTCTGTCCCAGGTCTCTTAGTTCTCTCTCTGGTACATTAAAAACTCTGTAGGCTGAGAAAGAAGGTGCATACCTGTGGTCCCAGCTACCTGAGAGGCTGAGAGGCAGGAGGGTCACTTGAGCCCAGGAGTTCAAGGCCAGTCTGGGCAACATAGTGAGGCCCACCTCAAACAAACAAAAATCCCAACAGTCTGTCACCCTGAGTGACTAAATAACAGCAGGCTACCACTCACAATGGTCATCTACCTTGAGAAGAAACACACATTTTCACAGTTTCAGATCACTGGTATTTGGGGCTGCTACAACAGCGTAACCTAACCTATCCTGGCAGAAGTACTCTGTAAATAGGCTTCACCCAACTGTGGACCACCTTGCTGTACCCTCTCCTCTCCACTAGTACAAAATCAGTGCATTGCTTACATTACTGCTACCTTGGCCTAATATTGCTAAGCTTCTGTTTTGTTCTGTTTTTCCTAGAAGAATCTGAAATACAAGGTTTTGGGATTTGAAATCCCCCCAATTTCTGAAAGTTGGGGTGAAATCAAAGAAGTCACATACCTGGCGAGGGACCCAGCACTCTCTTTTCCTTTTGGGTCTTTAAGCTCCAGGCTTACATTTACCATGTCAATGAGGAAGCACATGCAAGTGTACACCTCTCCACTCAGAACAGTCTGTAAAAGAAAAGTGCAGATCAACTCAGAGCTAATGATGCCAACCTAAAAATGTGCTCCTGGGTCAAGAAATTAACTTCTTGTTATTCCATCTTCTTTCTCCAGGTGAGTTTGAGGAATATACACACAGGGTGACATCAGTCAAGACTACCAGAGTTCCATAAGAACATGAGGTCTCACTCACGTGAATTCTTGGGTCTTGTAAATCATACGGCCGCATAAATTCCTCTATGGGTTCTCCAAGGTTGTTCTCTAATAAGCCTCGGATCAGCTTGTATCTATACAAATCTAGTGAGCAGTGGACTGAGGAGAGACTGCCATGGATAGATATGTCGGGCACAGTATGACTTATTTCTCTACAAAAAAGAAAAACCACCTTCACAAAGAGTTCACTAACTCCACCCTGACCCACTCCCAGAAACAAGCGCCCCCCGCATTAACAGCCTGGTAACTAACACCCGTGGCAAGAACCTCGTGTAACTCCAACAGAAGCAAGTCACATGCCAACTACAAAAAAGAAAACCCTTTTCTCCCCAAATATAATTTTGTAAAATTCTCAAATCTAAGCTGAGCTAAATGGGCTATGGGTGTAGCTCAGTGGTAGAGTTTTTGCAGAGACGCAAAAGGCTGTGATTCCATCCCCAAAACCACCACTGGAAGAAAAAAAAAAAACTGTGGGTGTCTGTGAGTGGTGGTGAGGTGAACTAACTAGCCTATTAATGTGGAAAACTTCATTAGAGTCAGAAATCACTTAAACATTATAGTTGTAAAAGCAATAAAAAAGAAAAACCTCAACTTTTACTTAACTCTTCAGATTTAGTGGTAACTAAAAGAATAAACCAGGCTGGGTACTGTGACACAAGCCTGTAATCCAGCATTACGGCGGGCTGAAGCAGGAGGATGGCGAGTTCAAAGCCAGCCTCAGCAATGGTGAGGCGCTTAGCAACTCAATGAGACCCTGTCTCTAAATAAAATACAAAACAGGGCTGGGGATATGGCTCAGTGGCTGAGTACCCTTGAGTTCAATCCCCAGTACCAAAAATAAATAAGTAAAATAGGGGGCTGGGGTTGCAGCTCATTGGTAAAGTGCTTGCTTTGCATGCATGAGGCATTGAGTTCTATCCTCAACATCACATAGATTGATAGATAGACAGATAGATAGATAGATAGATAGATAGATAGATAGATAGATAGATAAAATGAACCAGTGCTTCCTACAGAGCCCAGATGGGGCATGAATTAGGATAAAATGTGACAGGTGACTCGTCTCAGAAGGGATGGGCAGAGTGAAGCTGAAGATGTCCAGGACTAGGGAAACAACCAACTTCGTCCCAACACGAGCGAGCTTTCGTGGGTGGAGTAAGCAGGGATCCTACAGACCCTGTACTCTGAGCACGGAAGGACAGGATTAGGATTTGAAGTGGAAGAGGAACATAAATAGATCATTTCAGGCTATAGACATGGCTCAGTGGTAGAGCACTTGTCTCACGTGTGATAAGGCTATGTGTTTGATTCCCAGCACTGGGAAAAGGGGGGGAAATTGCCTACAGAGAAAAATCTACAGATAATAGTTTAAGATGACCAATGATGTAATCAATTAAGCAAATGGAAAGGATTACCAGGTGCCACTTGGCCCCTGTCTCTGTGAACCACACCTGTGTTCAGCAGCACCTTCTACCTGGGCTAACAAGAATATAATTCTGCACATATGATGAGAATGGGTAAAGTTTAGGTAAGAACAGCAAAACACTTTTTTGGGGGGGAAAGCACTTCTCAAAAAGAAAACAAAGTATTCAATTTCTAAATAATGAAGCTGCTCTTAAGACTGCTAAACCAGTAAAACCAAATATAGCCCAGGCCAACCATAACTGAACACCAGCCAGGGAGCATGTGACTAACATGTCAGAGAGACACAAACACACAGTGACAGCGTCTGAACTCAAAACTTATTCAGAAAAGAGTGGCATGAAATGACTCCCCCTGGAAGGGAGAGGTCAGAGGGGAATCAGAATTACTTTCCACACAAGTAACAACGGTGCTTTTTGAAATGCTACTAATGAAATCTCTTTCACTGACACAGCAACGCTTCCTCTGTCCCTGGAGTTCACATGCAAAATGCTATTTTCCCCAAAATCAATGCCCCACACTGAATGATATCACACACTGTGATCCAGGTTCTAGGCCCCGAGGACTGGTGGCCCTGACAGTCAAATGCTGCTGGTCTTAGGTAGATCTAGGAATGTTCATTTCCCAGGAAGATAAGGAACTAATGACAACTCAAGCAAGGTCTCAACTATAGAAATAAAGCATCCTGTGTCTGAGGCCAGATACATGGTCAATCTGGGTCAGCTCCCTACTCTTCCTGAAGTAGTTTCAAGGGCAAATCTGCATCTGAACAGCTAAGGGAATTACATGGAGTTCCAGGGTGAACAGCAATGGCAGGTCCAGAATCTACCACATTTGGAATGTCCACCTCTTCCAGAATACTTCGCCTGCCCTCACCACCAAATCCAAGCTAAATTTGGGTCCCTTCCTCATGGTTTCCAAGGCACTTGTACAATCTTGGAACACAGTTTATGTCACTGAATCAAACACTCAATTAGAATCACCTACTTGCCTTCCTTATTCCACAACGTAAGCTCCTAGAGGGCAGAAGTTTTCTCTTTCATCACAGCAGCCTTCATGTCCAACACACAGCAGGGATTCAATTAGCATTTGGTAAATAGGCAAATAAAATGAGTACCTGTGCTCTTCCTGATTTACCATAATCGCACTGACTTCCAGTTATTAAGGTTCTACTTACACAGCTATCCAGAGAAGACACTCACTTGTCCAGATTTCTTTCCACCTGCAATTTCAGCCTACAGGGCTCTGTTAAGAGGCTCCCTCCAGTCTGTCGCACAAAATAGGAGGGGAAGATCAGATCCCCACTGCTGTCCTCCGAGGTCACGGGGTACTCTCGCGGATGTCGTTCTGCAGCAAAGAGGTCCATGTCCTGCAGATCCACGACGACACAATCCAGCAGGCAGACATGGTCTTCTACCAGGAACAGGAAAGAGAGAGAATGAAGAGAAAGAATCCAAAAACAAAATTAAAAAGTCAAAATAAAGTTCATCCTGTCTTTGGAAAATATTTAGAACTGCCGGCTTCCCCTCACCCTCCACTACTCAGAAATCTGTCTGTCTTCTGCAGAAGTCTCCACCAGGGCCCCACAATCTCCCTAGGGGAAGCTCCGTGTGCCCACACATTTACCTGCCTATCCTTCTGCCAGGCACACCATGCCACACCTGCCATCAGTATTCCTTGCCTGTCCTGAGACGACAACTGAGGGTACAGAGTGTGTGACTAAAAATGGCTTCATGCGCAATGCCCCCGTAGGGACAACACTAACCAAAGGTTTACAAACTTCCCAGCAGCAGAATTCTTTTTAAACGCTGTATTTAACCATTTCTACTACCACTGTTCAAATCCAAGCTGCCCTTGTTCTTGCCTACACCACCACAAGCTCTCCTCCAACACACCTACAGAATTCCATCATGGCCCTTGCAAACCCACTCTCTCCTCAAAATACCTGAGTAATCCTTAAAAATAAATAGACCACCACATTCCCTTCCTTTATCCTCTTTATTGGCTCTGTTTAATTCAAATGCACTTTTTAAAGTCATTCAAATTCCTACAACCTCCTGCTTAAACCCACAGCCTACTTTCCCAGCCTCATCTCTAGCCATTCTCCAATGGCTCACTAGGCCTCCAGGCTCACAGGCCTTTGCCTCCCCCCAAATGCCATGCTTCCTGGACAAGCTGTCCCAGTGGTGTGACCTTCCCCCTTCAATCTAAACTGTTCCTCTGCATTTGTCTTGTCTTTTCCATAATATTTATTACAGCTATCAACATTGTCATTTTATTTAATGTCTTTCTCATTAATTCAAAAGTACTGGAACCACGTCTAACCATGTTCATATACTGGAGAACAAAATACTACAACACCCGGCATTAAGCAGGAATTTGATCAATACAGTTCTTGATTGGCTGATTACACTAACAAATACATGAGACAGATCAAAGAGGAGCTGATCTGGTAGAAGAGGGAAAGAAATGAGAATGAGTAAGCTTCAGAGACTCCCTAGGGTACTGTCCAGAATCTAGGAGTATAGGATATGTGAAAATCACCACCTTCATCCATAGCACTGTGTCACTACTAAGGGAATTTCAGGGGAAAACTCAACAAATCAGCAGAAGAAATAATGTTAGTAATGAGATCTTCTTCCCATAAAACACTCCAAATCACTCTTACAAGTATCCACTATATGTGAGGCCACCTGTGAAGATGGCAAGTTCAAAGCCAGCCTCAGCTACTGAGTGAGGCTATAACTCAGAGACACCACGTCTCTAAAATATAAAATAGGGCTAGAGATGTGGTGACTTGGTTAAGCATACAGGGTTCAATCCCCAACACCAAAACAAACAAACAAACAAACAAAACCATCAGGTTCTGAAGTCATACTGCCAAAAATGCACAGCCCATGCCTACCATTCACCATCAGCATGACTGCAGACAGGTCGAGTCACTTAATCTCTCTAAGCCTTTGTCTCTTCATCCGTAAAATGGGGGATAGAAAATAAGACCTGACAAGGATGTCATGAAGATGGAAAGTGCCACCACATCTGGCAAACAGGAATTGTTTTAGGATAACTTTGAAAATAGTGATGAAGACGTCTCGCTCTGTCAAATGGCTAAGAGCCACTTCGCTGTCACCTCTAGGAATACGAGGCACTGTAGGTCTTTGGTCTACTGAATGAAAGGCAGAGCTCCTCAGCTGGCCCTTCCTCTCTCAAGTCTGACACTGACCTGATCCTTGAGGCTCATCATACTCTGCCTCCCTCGACAGCTCCTGAGAGCAACCCCTCACTTACCCAAAATACTTTCCACAACATGCTGGACAACTCAAATGCCAAAATGAGGCCCTAACTTCAATGGCTGGTTCTTACATTCTAGAAAAGTACCAATAGCTGGACGATTCATGTCTTTTCAAATTTTTGTCTACAGTGTTTCTGTTGTTATCAAATTCACACTAGTATTCTTTAGAGGGGTCTTTTTTCATATTTTAGAACTAAATAGTGACTTGAAAGGATGGTGCCTGGGTGGTGGCTTACAAGGACGCAGGAGTTGGTCTATTTATGCAATCACCACCCGGCAGCAACTAACTTGAACTAGGGAAAAAACGCCTAGTTGGGCATGGTGACACACACCTGTAATCCCAGTGACTCTGGGAGGCTAAGGAAGGAGGATAGCAAGTTGAAGGGCAGCCTGGGCCACTTAGCACAACCCTGTCTCAAAATAAAAAATAAAAAGGGCTGGGAATATGTATCAGTGGTAGAGCACCCCTGGCTTCAATCACCAGTACCACAAAAAAATATTTTTTTTTAGTTAAAAATGTGTGTGGTGGGGAGGAAAATGCCTTAATAGATAATCCACACACAAAAAAAAAAAAAAAAATTTAAATTAAAATGTGTGTGGTGGGGAAGAAAATGTCCTAATAGATAATCTCAAATCTCTTTATTTACATTGTATCTTGCTAATTTAGTCCTACTGTAGAAGTCACCCAATGCTAAATCTATACACCTAAGATGCTTACACTTCTAAAGCACTAGGCAGCAGTTTTCTCCTCTTTTACCTGGACTACTGGAACCGTGGCGGACAGACGGTGTGGCTTGCTGCCCTCGCTGCTTGGTGGGGACACTGGGCACACACTCATTCTTCAGGCTGCCTAGGACCATTTCAGCAGGAGGCATTGTGAGCAGCCCCTGGGAATAGGACCCCCTGGGGTCCTCAGTGCTGGTCGTCTTCCTTGTGCTGTGTCTGGGAGTGCCCACTGGGGAGGCAGGGGAGGCTACAGGCACTGACTCCTGGAAGGAACAAAATAAAACTGGAAGGTAGAAGTGGCTGGGGTGGGGGTGGGGGTGGGGGTAGGGCAGAGACCTTCCCTACTCAGGCTCTCTGATCTTCAAAGCTCTGTGGTGCTGGTGCTTCCCTCAACCTAACAGATTCTGTCAACTGGAGAGCATCGGGGTCATGACACTTCCTGCCACAGATAAGTATCTGCAGAGATGTTGCAGATAATTCAATACTTGCTGAAAACTACCCCAATATTGCAAGAAGATACCATCTTTTAGCTCAAGAGCAAATGTCAAGATGTGAAAAGCTTCAGGAGGTTTAACCTAGGTTAAATTCAACAAAAGTGGGGATGGGGCTGGGGCTCAGGGGTAGTGCACTTGCCTGGCATGTATGAGGCACTGGGTTCGATTCTCAGCATGGCATATAAATAAATAAAATAAAAGTCTATCGACAACTAAAAAAATATTTTAAAAAAAGAGAAAACTCATTAAAAAGAAAAATTCAAAAGTAAATCTCTTGGCAAAACGATATATTGTTGCTGGGTGGGGGAGCAGTTATTGCTATAAGAAAATGTATCTACTGGCAATGTGACTCCAGTGGAATTAGGCAATGGCAATGTGCCTCTACTTTCTAGAACTCTCCCCACATGGGTTTGCATTTCTCATCTACGTAACTATGGAAATGAAAACAAAATGGAAAACAAGAAAGGTTAGCCATCCCTCTTATGTTTCCACTCAAGGGCATAAAAACTAAGAAGTCCAATACAGAACAAAACAAATTCTGTAGTTGTATTGAAAAAAGTATACTCTTACAGACTTAGTGCTTTTAGTTAACTGCTAATAGGGAAAATTCTCTCTCACCAGAATTAGTCGATAAATGGCTTTTAAACTTCCAGGGCTCCCTCACCCCAGCCTCAGAACTGAATCCATGTGGCTCCTGCATCATCAGACTGTTCCCAGCTAGCCACTGTCACATGCAGATTGGGAGGACAGGAAGAATGGTCTTTCTTCTAGTACTACCTAAGATGTTTACTCATCTTAGCCTCTCAGCTTTGGAAAAGGAGAGGAAAACACTGCGTTCTCTCATAGTTATCTTAAGTAGAAATTACAAGTAAAAGAAACCATTTCTTACTTCCTACATTTTTTTTTTTTACAAAGCAGATTACTAGGTAAATGCTGTTATTTAAGTACTTTAACATTAAAACCTTCCTTCTCGCTTAGTTTATTTAAACTCTGGAGCATGTTTGTTGCTCTTTCATTTGATTGCTCTATATCTTCTCTACAGTTGGTTTAAATAAATCAGTGGCTTGAGGAGATTAACCCAACGCTTTTGAAAGACTCTGACTTAGATATTATGGTTTAAACACAAGCCATGGTTGAGAAAAATGAAAGGCAAGCATATGTAAAAAAATTCAAACCCATACTCATTAAGACATGGATTTATGTAAAACAATTCCAGACACACACGAGTCATGAAACTGAGGGCAAATAACCTCTCTGTAAGGTTTGATGTCAGGAGTATTTCTTGTTCTTTAACCACTGAAATGCATATTAGACAAAGCTCACATGCAAGTACATTAAAGGGCAGTGTAAATGCACGGTGACCTTTGGTGAAGACGGTAACTATTCACTTCACATAGACCCTGATCAATTAAATTTGAGTGTATATGTGGAGAGGTAAACTTCTCAAAACAAGTTTATCTGACTACAAATACTTAAACAAATGACACTCCACGCAGCCCTTATGGAATTCTGCAGAACCACCACTGGTATGTAACAATAGCTTTTCTAGGTTTAAGGATAAGGAAGTACTACACACAGCTTAGCAAAAGGAATTCATTTTAATGGGCCTTAAGAAGGATTTCTCTATATAGCAGGTAGTAGGTAAATAATTTATTTAAAAAAAAAAAAGTTATAAGCAGATCCAGGCATGGTGGTACACACCTACAATCCCTGTACCTCAGGAGGCTGAGGCAGGAGGATTGCAAATTTGAGGCCAAACTCAGCAACTTAGCAAGACCCTGTCTCAAAACAAAAAACAAAAAGGGCTGAGGGGCTGGGGTTGTGGCTCAGTGGCAGAACACTTGCCTTGCACTTTTGAGGCACTGGGTTCAATCTTCAGCACCATACTAAAATAAATAAACAAAATGAAGATATATTTTGTCCGTATATAACTAAAAAAAGAGGTTGGGGGGGGGGGGGCTAAGAATATAGATCAAGGGTAGAGTACCCCTGGGTTCAATCTCCACTACTCCCAAAAAAGAAAAAAAAAAAAAGGTAATAAGCAAGCTTTCCCAAGAAATAAAATATTTTATTTTACAAGGTTAGTTTTTTCATTTGCTTTAAGTAGATGAATGTGAATTGACTGCTGAACCCCATAAGGTTTTTCAAAGTAACAAGGAGACAAACACACATTATACCTTGAAGAAAAAGCGATCCTTGTACGCACTGCCACTTAAAATCAAATCCTCAAAAACAAATACAGGGAAATATTTTCATTAAAATGCTTCAAATTATGTGCTATTATTTGGCTTAACAAAGCAGAAACCCTTCTACAGGTATGTCTTGAAATATTTTGGCAATTCTTCTTCCAAGGCTAACTTCAGAGTACCCTTGTGATCCCACACACAGATGTATCTGGTATCGGAAAATACTCCATTACCCGTTTTTTTCCTCTCTTGGAGATAATGGAATTGAATCCAGGTCCTCACACTTGCTAAGCAAGCACTGTACCACTGAGCTTCTTCCCCAATCCTAGCCTTTTTAGGAAGGTTAGCAAAACAAACAGTATTACCAAACTTGCTCATCCATTCTGACTATAATTGAGCTCTTCCTAAAAAAGTCTGGCTTCAGAATAAAAATTTATCACAAACAAATATACTCCAAAGAACTTCTTACTATGCAACCTGAACTCTCCATTACATTCCCTAGACATCTAGGGAGGGGAAAGGAATATGAAGTTATCACCTACGGCCAATGACGTAATCAATCACACCCACACAATGGGACCTCCATGAAAAACCCTAGATGATGGGGTTCAGACAGCTATCAGATTAGTGAACCTGACACCGTGGGTCCAGGGCAGTATATACACTCCAACACACAAGGGATACAAGTGCCTATGCTCAGGGACCCATAGGCCTGGTCTCTACAACTACTCATCTGGCTGCTCATCTGTAGCCTTTCTCTTTTATAATAAGCCAGTGAATGTGCTTCCCCTGAGCTCTACAAGCCATTATAGCAAATTACTAAACATGAGGAAGGAGGGCAGGAGCCCCTAATTTGTAGCTGGTTGATGAGAAGTAATGGAGAGCTGAACTTGTGCCTGGAGTCTGAAGTGGGAGGAATGAGCTCCCAAACCTGCCGGCCTATGCTAACTCAGGATAATCAGTGCCATACCTGAACTGGAGGACACCTGGTGGGTATTTGGAGCGCCAGAAAATGGTTGGTATAGGGAAAACCCCATACCACTGCTGTCAGAAGTGTTGTAAACAGAGGAAACAGGGGGTTGCTTTTAATATCTAAAGAGCTTAGCAATGATTGATATATAACAAGCATTCAACAAATATATGACAGGGATGGTGGCACACGCCTGTAATCTCAACAACTCATGAGACTGAGGCAGGACGATTATAAGTTTGAGATCAGGCTCAGCAATTTAGCAAAATTCTGTCTCAAAAAATTTTTTAATGTACTGAGGCTATAACTCAGAGGTAAAGCGCCCCTGGGTTCAATCTGCAGTAAAAATACACACACACACACACACACACACACACACACACTCCAGCTGTTTATGGCTGTTTTTGTCAGTCTTATGATCTTATCATCAAATCTTAGGTACATTTTCTCAAAGGCTCTCTCTCTCCATTTTATTAACTATTAGACCAAAAACAGGCATAACTAGCTGGGAATTTCATTAAGTGCTTTTCTGGCACACTAAAATGAGTTTGTACTGAATGGGCAGAGACTGAAAAGCTTCTCTGGAAGCCTGCAAGGAATGATGAAAACACACCAAGAATGACCTCTCTATCTCCAAAAATACCACTTGGTCTCCTCAAATGCAGAAATGGGTGAAGGGCGCTAATTAGAAAGTCTCCAAAGTCTTCTCAACTGTGATTTACTAAGTGTTTCCACTGGTATTGTTTATCCTCTTTGTGTCCTCATTTCCCCAATTGTAAAATGAAAATGACAGCAATCCCCATCCTGATTACCTCCAAGAATATTTTAAGAAATAAGTAATTGGGGCTGGGGTTGTGGCTCGGAGGTAGAGCGCTCGCCTAGCATGCGTGAGACACTGGGTTCGATCCTCAGCACCACATAAAAATAAAATAAAGATATTATGTCCACCTATAACTAAAAAATAAATTTAAAAAATTTAAAAATAAAGAAATAAGTAATTGCCAGCCAGGTGCACTGGCAGAAGCCTGTAATCCCACAGACTCAGGAGGCTGAGATGGGAGGGTTGCAAATTCGAGGGCAGCCTCTGCAACTAAATGAGACCCTGTCTCAAAATAAAATAAAAAGAGCTAAGGATGCGGCTCAGTGGTAAAGTGCCCTGAATTCAACCCCAATACCAAAAGAAAAAAAAAAAAAGTAACTGCCAAAGTAATTTAAACCTACAATGCAAGACACTATGTAAGATTTTTTTCATTAAGACATTTTTAAAAGGTTTCATGGGCCAAATCACATGCTCTGAAAAAAGTCACACAGTATAAAGCATTATCACAGAAGGAATGTTTTCCTATAAAGAAAGTACTACACAAAGATGGAGGCTTGGTTCCCTTGGTGTGTTTGCTAAAACAAGTTACTACATGCAGTTAGTAAGGGTTATAACTTGTACTATTTTAATTTAAAAGGTTTACTGAAATGTCAATAAAATGTCAAGAAATGTTCTATAAGACACATATCCTACAAAACCAGGAACTTGTTGAGCTGAAAAGGGAACGGATATTAACTGCTGACCTTATCTTGTAAGGAAAAGGTCCCAGGAAAACCGGCAAAGAGAAACTTGTTCTTGACTTTCAACTTCCCCAAATTTGCTACAATCAATTTATTTGATCTGGAACTTTCTGGGATGAGAAGAACAGGAGCACCAGCCTCAATATCCAGAAGAATCCGAGAACAGCGCTGGGCTTGATCTCTCACCTGAAAAAGGAAGAAAAATTACTTCAAGGCTCAATTAATTCCCTAATTTTATAATCAAATAACCTCAGTTTCTTCAAAGTGTCATGCATTTATAAAACAATTAAAGACCCCACAGAGCACATTTTGTGGCCATCATAGAGTTAAGTTAGAAGTCAGTATCAAGCCAGGCACAGTGGTGTGTGCCTATAATCTCAGCAGCTTGGAAGACAAGGCAGGAGGATCATAAGTTCAAGATCAGCCTCAGCAAATTAGTAGCAAGGCCCTGTTTCAAAAGAAAAAATAAAAAGGGCTAGGGATGTGGCTGACTGATTAAGCGCTCCTGAGTTCAATCCCTGGTACCAAAAACAAAAGTCTATAACAAGATGATAATGGAAAATCCCCAAATATCTTGAAATTAAACTACACACTTCTAAATAATATATACACCAAACAAGAAACCACAAGGGAAATCGAAAAATATTTTTACCAAAATGCAAAGAAGATATAACATTAAAGTTCACAGCACACACTTAAAAAGAAAAGTAAAACTTGCCTTTGTGGATAACCTAACCATCCGTGTAGAAAATCCTATAGAATTTAAAGGAACTAGAAGTAACAAAGGAGTTTGTCAGGATGATTGCAGAATGCAAGGTCAATAGGTCAATATACCAAAGCCAGTAATAGTTCTTATACTTTCAACAAACAAATTAATCATTGAAATTTTCATTATTATAAACAAGCATCATTTATAATAACATCAAAAATTGGGAATATCTAGGGATAAATTTAACAGAAAAGGTGTAAGACTGGTGCACCCCAAACTACAAAACACTACTGCTAAGAGAAATACCACACTCAAGGATCCAAAGACTTAGTATTAAGACGTCGATTCTCTGCAAAATGATCTGTAGATTCAATGTGATCCCAGCCAAAATTGTAGCAGACTTGAGCTGATGGGGTGACTCTAAAATTCATATAGCAATGCAAAGGACCTGGAATAGCTAGAAGAATTTGAAGCCACTTTCCCATACCATGCAATTCACAGTCGCCACATGACTCAGCAATTCCTTTCCCAGTTTTTCACTCAAGAGAAATGAAATCGTGCATCCATACAGACTTGGACATGAATGCTCCTAGCAGTATTATTTTTAATAACCCCAAATTGAAAACTACGCAAATGATCATCAGGTGGGCAAATGGATAGACAGATTGCATTGTATTCCAACAATGGAATACTGCTCAGCAATGAGAAGAGATGGACGGCTGGTGCCTGCACCCACACGGATGGGTCTCGAAAGCATTCTGCCAAGTGAAGAAAGCCACACACAAATGACTATGTCCTGCATGATTTCATTTATACAGAATTCTTTTAAAAAGGCAAAATTATTGTGAAAGATCTGGGCTGCCAGGGTGCAGGGGTTAGGGCACACGGGCATGAGGAAACTTTTTAAGGGAATAGAAATGTTATAAATCTTGGCTGTGCTTGTAGCTACAAGATTGCAAACAACTTGTTCAATTGCAAACAACTAACTGAACTGTACACTTTAGATTGGTTAAGTTTATTGTATGTAAATTATACACAATAAAATTGACAAAAGTATAAGCTCAAAAGCATTCAAAGTGTTTGCTATTTAATGACTTGGAAATAGTTCTTCATGTGTTATACTGACCAGTGGAAAAATATATATTAAAAAGTCACTAAAATGTATATTTAAAAAAAGTAGAGGGCAGGGGTTGTGTGCGGCTCAGCAGTTGAGTGCTTGCCTAGTATATGCGAGGCACTAGGTTCGACCCTCAGCACGACATAAAAACAAATTTAAAAAAAAAAAGGGATTGTGTCCAACTACAACTGAAAAAATAATTTAAAAAAAAAAAGTAAAGCTGGGTGTGGTGTCACACACCTGTAATCCCATTGGCTTGGGAGGCTGAGGCAGGAAGATCACAGGTTCAAAGCCAGCCTCAGCAACTTAGTGAGAACCTGTTTAAAATAAGAAATAAAAAGGGCTGGGGATGTGACTCAGCAGTTAAACATCCCTGGGTTCAATCCCCAGTACCAAAAACAAATAATAATAATAAGACAGATACCAAAACTGAAATTACCATAATCTCCCTTCTCCAGAGATAAATGTTGCTGCCATTTTGGCAGGTTCGCATAGGAATCAAAGGTGTGAACTCATACACTGACTACCTGACACTGAATCCCCACTATGGCCATTTTTTATAATTTTAGTTGTAGATGGACACAATCCCTTTATTTTATTCATTTATGTGGTGCTGAGGATTGAACTCAATGTCCCATGCATGGGAAGCATGTACTCTACCTCTAAGCCACAATCCCAGCCCATTCTGGCCATTTATTTATTGGTTATTGATCTTAGTTAAGTTGTTAAGATCTCTTTGCCTCAGGTTCCTTGTCTGCAAAATGGGAATAATAAGCCTACCTGAAAGAGCTGTTGATTAAATGAGAATTAAATGAGACAACACCCTAACTCAGCAGTAGATACATAGTAGCTATTATTATACACCATATCCTTTCAGTCAATTTTTCCTAGCATACAACAATATTTTTTTAAGTTCTATATATTAACTTATAGATTTAAAAACAATAAACTGGATATTCCTTTACATTCTGGATGGCTCTTAATTTTTGAACATGACTTCATAGTTACATGTTAATGCAAAAATACAACCATGCCAAGCACACTCAAGCAGCTCGAGAGGTTGAGGCGGGAGGACTGCAAGTTCAAGGTCAGTCTCAGCAATTTAGTGAGACCCTCAGCCACTTAGTAAGACCCTGTTCTCACTATTTAAAAAATAAAAAGGACTGGGGTATTTTTATTTAAAAAATAAAAAGTGGTAAATTACCCCCAAACAATTGATACCCCCAAACCACACTGAACTATAAACTCACACAATCAGAGTTATAATGCTTCCTCACTTTAAAAGTGGCAGTAACTGCCCATACTACCTCGTCAGGTGACATTATTTTTTGTTCTTAATCTCCTCCCTCTCAAATATACTGTGAGGGCAATGACCTTGTCTTCCTTATTTCTACTACATTCCTGGCACTCCCAGATAGCATGACACATCATTCCTGAATAACTGAATAAACAAACAAGATTATTGTAAGGATCAAACAAGATAATCCACAAAAGCACTTTAAACTCCAAAGTTTTATTCATATAAATAATTATCACAGAGAGCACAGCACACTTATTTTCGCTATCTCCATCCTCCTCCTACAACTGAGTAAACAGAAGAGCAAGAAGAAAAACACCTCCCAGTCTCATCACTCAGCTTGTAGGGGTGCAAAACTCAGACTTTTTGTCCCAAGTTCTCTAAACTGCAACATCACTTCTTAGCTCCATCAAAAATCTGTACTCCTTGTTGCTCAGTGAATAAAGAAGTTTAATAAATACAAGAGAGAGAAAATAGAAGACAAAAGAAATCTGTATCATACTTCTGGGATGAACTATAAAGGAAATAGCTTCTATTTGGTCAAATCAAGTACAATAGATATTCTTATCATTTCAAATATCAAAATTAAAAAGAAATATAAAGCCCCATTGAGCCATTATTTATAAACATTAGAAAATGCAGGAATAAAAATCCAACTATTAGGGGCAGGGTGTAGCTCAGTGAAGAGCAAGCCCAAGGCCTGAGTTCAATCCCAGCACCAAAAAGAAAAGAAGTTGCTATAAATCAAATACACCTGCCACCAATTCAATATTAGGAGAAAGGAATTTAAAGTTCAAACAAAATAGCCTCTTAATCTTATCAGCAAATGAAAGTAGGTCTTTAGCTCTTTCTGTGAAACTCAGTAATTCAAATAGCTAGGATTAAAGATTCTTGAGAAGATCAGCTTTTCCTGAAAGCCCACATACTTAACAATGTTCTAAATAGAAGACATTTCTTGGCCTTCTACTTGTCTTACATAATTTGAAAGATAAATGTAAAAGACTTATCTTCAAATTCTGCCTACCTCAGGAAGTTAAGCCCAATTACTCAGTGACGCACAAGTGACTCACTTCCTCACCCAAAGGATTTATCACAATAAGATTTACTACTGTTTAAACCACACATACAAAAATAATTGTTTTAAATGTACATAATTCTACCATAAAATCTAACAGACCTGTACTGAAAGTTGCAAAAATATCCATTGCTTTGATCAAATAATACCATTTGTACGAATTAATCCTATGAAAGTAATCCAAAAGAAAAAAAAATTTTGCAAAGATAATCATGAATCATTATTCATAAGAATGAGAAAGTGGAAGCAATTTAAGTATTAAAATTAGGGAAATGGTTAAATGAACTCCCTTGATGTATTACACACTTATTACACAGATGACAAATAACATGAAGACAAGACAAAAAATATTATTAAAAAAGGCTAACTGGACTCCAAAAGCGTATGCACAAAATCAGCACACTTTATGCACTTTGCTGTATGCTATTGTAAGGGTCAAAATAAAAAGTCTGATGATACAATATCAGTCAGAATATAAATTAAAAAGAATTCTCATACATTGCTGATGGAAAAGAAAATAACTGAAACAGCCAATTAAGAAAACAATCTGGGGCTGGGGTTGTGGCTCAGTGGTGGAGCGCTTATTGCCTCACATGTGTGAGTCACTGGGTTCGATTCTCAGCATCTCATATAAATAAATGAATAAAATAAAGGTCTATTAACAACTAAAAAAAATATATTAAAAAGAAAAAAGAAAAGAATCTGGCATTATCTTGTTTAAAAAAAAAAAAAAAACACATACCACCCCTGTTGCCAGCTCACAGCAGCACACACCATGTACAACCCAAATGTTCAAAAGGAAAACCAATGGTTCCTTTGTTTTACACACTGTGAAAGGCAGCAGAATGAAATGCAATCATCTGTCATGTACGAATCTCATTCATATACCAAATGAAAAAAAAAAAATAGAGTCACGGAACTTAAAGTAATGTTTAATACCATTTTTATAGCACGCAAAACAAAAGATATTGTTTAGGAGCTTTTTCAATAGACTCAGAGTGATTACGGGAGTTGAGATGGAGAAGGAACCGACATGTGTCTTACCAGAGTTTGAATTTGTAGTTTGTCGGTTCATAGAAATTTATTTTATCATCATACTCTGTAACTCATATCCACGCTGTTATATGTTTCAAATAACTAAATTTTTTAAAAGTTTTGAAAGGGAGAAAAAGATTATATATTTCATGATTTTTAAAAATATTTAATTTTTACTTGGATTTGGACACAATACCTTAATTTTATTTATTTATTTTTATGTGGTGCTGAAGATCAAACCCAGAGTCTCACCCGTGCTAGGTGAGGACTCTACTGCTGAGCCACAACCCCAGCCCCATGTTTCACAATTTTTAACCATAGGAAGAAAAGAAAAATTGATTAAAATATAGCCATGGCACCTGGTGAGGTGGCACACACCGGTAATCCAGTGACTAGGGAGGATGAGGCACAGGGATCTCAAGTTCAAGACCAGCCTGGTCATCTTGGCAAGACTGTCTCAAAAAATAAAAAGGGCTGGGGATGTAGCTCAGTGGGAGAATATCCCTGGATTTATTCCCCAACATTGCAAAAATTAAACATTACTGTTTTTTTGTGGCTCCCAAACTATACAGGACACCACAGGAGGCTGAAGTACACTCATGGGGCAGTGCATTTTATGTTTTGAGGGAAAATTTGATCAGATGCTACAGAAACCACTAGGTTGAGGTAAATCACATTCAATATTAGGTCATTCTACATTCCTTTCAAAGAGTTCTCATCTTTACAAAACTGGGTCTTTAGCAGCTGCTCTGACAAAAAAAAAAAAAAAAAGTACCCTGAGAAAATAAATGCAGAACAAGAAATAAGGGTTGTGGCATTCAGCTTGAGAAGCTGTGTAATAAACACCTAAGAGGCAAACACATTCTACCAGTGTGTAACTGTGGTTGTTCGAGAATGAGATAAAAATACTATTCTTTCAGTCTGGGTTGCAGCTACGATGTGCAAGATCCTATGTTATCAACCCCCAGTACCAAAAAATAAATAAATAAATATTTATGTATATGTGTGTGTGTGCACACACACATATATATATATATACACACACGTGTGTATATATTTAATTATTTCAATTTATATATGATTATTTTCTCAAATAGCAACTAAGTTAGGACATATGTATTTAAGTTGCTTAGACTTAATGACTTTGTAAATGGAAATACTATTAGATATTTGTTTTGGCCTAGGATAAACCATGAAAAACGACCAAGTCTCCAAGCATAGTGGCTCACGCCTATAATCCCAGTGGCTTGGGAGGCTGAGGCAGGAGGATCCAGGTTCAAAGCCAGCCTCAGCAATAGTGAGGTCCTAGCAATTCAGTGAGACCCTGTCTCTAAATAAACATACAAAATAGGGCTGAGGATGTGGCTCAGTAGTTGAGTGCCCCTGAGTTCAATGCCTGATACTAAAAAAAAAGAAAAAAATGACCAAGTCATTAAAGGTACCAAACTGAAAAAAAGAAAAACCTACCACTTTCCAAGAGAAGTATCCCCACTAAAGTCCTAAAAGTCCAGAAGTCTTAAGTATTATTTATAAATTTCCTTTATTGTTTTTACAGCAAAGTGAAGCTAAACTTTAAAAGCAATTAAAGTATGATATAATGAAGAAGGACTAAGTCTCTCAGGTTACAGCAAGATTTCTGCAGGTAACGTGCTACATAGTATGTATACATATACATTACACTTTCTTTTTTTTTTTTTTTTTTTGCGAAATTTTCCAGATTTATCTATGGCTTAAAAGTTCTATTGATGAGTCAAACTGAAATGCAGCCACCTACCGTCTGGCCCTCCACCGCAGCGCGCTGGCGCCCTAAGACATCCTGCAGCTGCGTGAAGTGCTGAATGAAGGCCAGCACCTCGGCCTGGAAGCGCTGTGTGTGCACATACTGCACAGAGGCCATCTGCAGGCTCACACGAACATCATGCTCTCTCCGCAGCAGAGGGTCAGGCTGCCCGTATCTAGGAACAAGGACCAAACAGTGACTCAGCTAGCATCTCTGTAAAACTGGGCTGACCTAAGGGCTTTCCTAGAAAACAGCTTTAATTATTAAAATGGAAAATTGCAAAAATGAGTCCCTTTCTAAGCTTCTGCAATATGCGGAGGACGTTTAAATTAAAGTCTGGGGTGACACCTGGGGCTATAAGTAGTGGGCAGCTGCAGGTGCTGAACTCAGTCTTGACTCTAGAACTCAACCCAACGCCACAGCCCTGACCTTTCACCCATGCCTCCAAAGAAATAGGAGCATTCCAGCTGTCACCACTGCTTGCAAAGACTGCGACAATGCAGACCCCAAAGATAAGAAAAAGGCCAGGAAATAACAGGTAAAAATGGCAGGCACTGGAGCCAGTGTTTCTGGGAAAAACACCCCCTGGAAGCAGAAAGAAGTCTTCTTTTACGTGAGTGAAATGCAGCCACACTGTGGGTGGGGATATCCCAACTCAAAGTCACACCAAAAAAAATTTACAACTGTTTTGCATTTAGTGGAGCATGAAGCCTAAAAAGAAATTATCATTCAGAACACAGTCAATGGGGTAAGGAATTCACATTTGCTAAGGACCTATTTTGTGCCAAACAGAGAATTAAGAATTGTACATTGGGCTATCTCGTTTATTAAAGAATTATGTCAGTGTGGTATATAATATAAATAATTTATTCTAAAATCTAAAATTCTAAAAGCTAAACTGGAGTGGGGGGTTGTATGTGGTTCTGCAGATTGAACCTAGAAGAGCTTTAATACTGAGCCACATCCCAGCCCTTTCTATTTATAATTTTGAGACAGGGTCTTGCTAAGTTACTTAGGGCCTCGCTAAGTAGTTGAGGCTGGTCTTGAACTTGTGATCATCCTGCCTCAGTCTCTCCTGTCTCCAAGATTACAAGCAAGCACCACCACACCTAACTGGCAAAACCTAAATTCTAAAAAATATAAATTCTCAGTACAGTGTTACAACGCTTTACTGAATGAATAATAACCCTGAGAATGAAAGAAGAGGTCCTCAGACTTTTTTATTTTTTCCCCAGTTCTGGTCATCAAACCCAGGGCCTGGAGAGTATCACAGACATCTTTTAGAATTGTAACTCTCAAACTGGTTGAACACAACCATGTTAAAAAGGAAAAACAAAAGACTGATCACCACTCTACACCAATAAAATTAGAATATTTAGGGGAATAATTGAACATTAATTTTCTAACAACTCTTTAAAAGGCTGAAAATTGCCATTTGAAAATCTGTCTTCTGAGAAACCCATCCTTTATAGACATACTTGACTTCTAAAGATGACCTCTAAAGTCTAAAATAGAATTAAATATAAACTATGTCTATAAACAAAAAATACACGCTATGTGTCAGTATTCATCATCAACAACACTCTCAGACTGAAGTCATTCCAGAACTCTTAGAGCTACATGGAAACTTAGAGATGAGCTAACTCAGTGCCCTGGTTATTTATATAGAAAAACTGACGCATGAGACAAAGTGACCAGCTGCGGGCACACAAGTGGCAGCGACCCAGCACCAGAATCATCCCAACCACACCACTGAGCTCATGAGGAGCCACTACAACACTGGCTTCAACAAAAATGGATATAAATCAGGACTCCTCATAGCCCGATCTGCCCAGTTTTACCAAAGAAGGTAAAATTTTCTTAATCTTTTCTTCATTGTTTAGCCAACAAGAATTTTAAACAGCAAGTGATCACAACAAACCCTGGAGAGAGAAAGGACAGGGTGTTTACTTGAAAGCCTGGAAGATGAGGGCTTCCTCCCCACTCGTGGTGAACCGCTCCCTGTAGAGCTCGCCGTGGGAGGTGAGGTCGCTCAGAGACAGACTCCCGATGCTTCCCTGTAAGGCCAGGTCTCCCTCTAGGGATGTTAAAATGAGAAAATGTTGTCACATGCCATCTTGCTGCACATCTCCAATATGTTTGGGACAAAAACTAATGGACACATTTTAATCAAACTAAGCACAGAAGCCAATTTTCAATATCCCAAAACACCCTCCAATCTTTCAGAGTCACCATGCCAAAGGCCAAAGGGAACTGAAAGGATACAGCAACACCACACAGCGACGTGGGGAAAGAAAGCAAATGCATATACAATTCAAAAGACAAAACATTTACAAATGCCACCAGAAACACATTCTGAGATTAGACCACTTGTTAAAATTACTGACACATCAAAAGGTCTATAAATCATACTGTGAATGAAAGAAAAAAGGAAGAAGTGTCAGATATGTATTGGCTATTCAAGCAACATTCAGCAGGTTTTAGGGAGATTTAATAAAAGAACAAAATTAATGAGGTCACAGACACTGGTGACCCAGATGTGAAGCTAATCAGATGTGACAGGAGTGAAAAAGCCCCTGGAGGGTGGGATTCACACAAGTGGCTGGAATGTGACCCTGAAACGATCCTTCTTAACACTGTGCAAGAATGTTCTGAGCTGTTGCTGCCATAAAACAAAACTCATCATCACAATCACGATATCATTACCACCCACTCCAGCAAACAAGGTGGACACACCCAGCATGCCAGTCAGTTTCCGATGAAACCAAAGGCACATATTTTTATTATATTTATTTTTATAAATACATTTATATATTTTATTTTTATGTATTTTTTTATTCAGAACTCTTCTAGGAAGGTTTTCTAAAATAATCTACACCATGCTGGAAACCTCAGTTTCAGTTCTTTCCTTCCCCAAATGACATTCTTACTTTTAGCAATGTCAACATTTGAGCTTTGTGGTCTTCAGTACTGAATTACATGTTCTTTATAGAAGAAATAGTATTTTAATTCACAGTTTATAAATCCTCACCATTTAGAACGTGATATTGTTCATCATTTGTGTTCAAGGAAGACTCTCACCCCACAAAAATCCCATTACAAAGAATGCTGGCTTTACTACAATATCCTCCTGCATACAGAAGTTCCTGAATGCTAACAAGGAAACGAGTCAAACTCTGCACACTGTGATTTGAGAAGGCCACTAAGAAGGACTGGGTAGGACTTTCAGAAAAGTGAGGAGGAGAATGGCAATTACGTCAATCACTAAGCCAGGACAAGAAGAGGTTTGCAATTAAACCACACAATGAACTGTTATAAAGTTGCCATGAGTCCAAAAATATTGTATGTATGCCATTTTCATAATTGACTTATTATTCCTCTTTACTTTCTAAGAAGTAAAGTGATTTTAAAATAAACCAACAAAATTTAAAAAAAAAAAAAACAAGCACAAAAAAGAGGCCCTCTCAGTAGCTCTACTTATTTAAGACTATAAACAAATGAACATATCTCCTGGTTTCCCAGAGACAGCCCTTTTATATGTTTGTTTTCCAAGTCCAATTATTAATAATACCCCCATTTTACCCTCAAAAATTTCCCAACCTAAACAAGAAAATTACACCAGTCACTCTAGAAATTATTAAAAACACAGGTAGATGCCAAGGCCCATTCCCAACCTACAGAATCAGATTCTTGGGATGGAGATATTGGGAAAGGGAGAGAGAGGAGGTTATGCCAAACTCCTGCATTTTGTTTTTGTTTTTTTGTGGGGGTGCTGGGGATTGAACTCAGGGGCACTCAAACACTGAGCCACATTTCCAGCCCTATTTTGTATTTTATTTAGAGACAGGGTCTCACTGAGTTGCTTAGCACCTCGTTTTTGCTGAGGCTGGCTCTAAACTCGCAATCCTCCTGCCTTAGACTCCAGAGCCACTGGGATTACAGGCGTGTGCCCCCATGCCCAGCAGACACCTGCATTTTTAACAAGCTATCTAGATGACTCTGATACAAAAGCTACCAAAAGGTATGGCCAGACTAAGTCTCACAATCAAACTGCTGATCCACACCTCACTTAGCATGTGCACACAATCTGATTTGTGTTGGGATATTCAAACACTTACCAGACGTTGCAAGTTTGATTTTCCCCACTTACCAATCATTTCCAGATGTGCTACTAATTTGGACACATTGGCTTTAGCGAGCTCACTGGTGGTTTTATTCAGCACAAGAGAGAGTGAATGAACCTAGAAACATACAAGATAAAGCAAGACAAATGTTACTGGCAGAAAAGGGGGTCTTTCAGGGAAATGGCAGAATAGAATCAAGGAAGATTCAGAAAGGCTTGGGAAATATGAAGGTAAAGCTTTTCAAGGTGCCAATTTCCCTTCCGCTTTGTTAACCCCGTCCCATGATGGTCTGATGATAAAGCCAACCAGAAAGGAACTCAACCAATGGTCGGAACTCCAGGTTCTGGTGTCATTTCTGAGCTTGCCTCATCTATTCTGCTAGTGAAATGTTGCACATTATAAAACTACTTTTCCCATTTTGATATTCATTATTAATATTATGCAATTCGATAATAACTCAAACAGATCCACGAAGTGGTCTCATCTAAGATATTTGTCAGGGCAAAATGAAAATGATTTAGAATCCTGCCTAATGCCTTTGAATGTATTTTTATGGAAGACTGACCAATCAGGACTCACCTAGGAACCACAAAGACTCTGCTTTCCTAGGGACAACAACAAACTGAAGAAAAGCAAAATCCTCTGTCTTTAGAAAAGCATTATTTGTAACAAGTTCTGTAATATAATACTGTAATTATAACTACTAAAAGGACTTATGTGGCTAGGATTTATTGAGTCAGGTTCTCAACCACCTCTGTGCTCAGAGGCATTGAGTGGAGAGAAGGAATGAGAGGAGGATAAAGAGCCCATCATTCAACTATCACTCCCTCCCACTCAGCTTCCAGATGGCAGAGACCATGCTTGGTCAGCCCTGTAAGTGCAATACCTACCACAAAGTAGGTGCTCAGTGAACATCTGGTGAAAGAATGAGTGGGAGGAAAAAAAAAGATAAGAAAAGAAGGAAAATAGGAGTAGGGGAAGAAGGAAAAATAGTTACAGGTGGAGGCAGAGAAAAATGGAGCAGATTATCACAGTTGGGCAATGCCTGTCCGTGGGTATGCTCCAGTTCTGCACAGTATGATTTTTGACAGAGACTACAGAAGGATCCCAAGGCATCGAGATGAGACCATCATAGAGGGGTAAAATAAGAAAATCCCTAATTATTTAATCATCAAAGGAACACATAAATGCTCTAAAAATGCTCTGTATGGAGGAGCCAGGCCATCGCCACCTGAACCCACTGATGGCATAAATCTTTTGTGTCTAAAAGAGACTCCCTGTGGCTGTGGGCCTCCTGCCTGATATAACAGCAGACACCAGGCACCACCTCAAGGGGTTCTCCCCAGGGAGCCGAAACTGACTCTCCAGCACTAACTTTCATTTCTAAATATGGGGGATAAACAAAGTCAACCAGCAAAACCAGCAAACAGACAAACCTAGGATGCTGGACAGCCATGAGGCACTAGCCCAGATTCTCTAGCAAGTCAAGGTAGGGGCATAAGAAGGCAGTGGGGGGCTGGTTTACCTTAAGTAAAAGAGATCTGTGTTCGGGAATGGGGGGTTGTTTGTTTGTTGTTTTATGGTTTTGTTTTCATTTTTGAGACAGGTCTTGCTAAGTTGTCCAGGTTGGCTTCAAACACCCTCCTCCCATCTCAGCTTCCTGAGCTGGGACTACCGGCTCACTCCATCATACTTGGCTTACATAAAAAAAATTTAAGAAACAATGACAGAAAATGTAACATGTGAACCTTCTTGGATCCTGATTCAAAAAATTTCTATGTCATTTTATTGAACTATCCTCATTTGCAGCTGAGAAAACTTTGGCTCAGAAAGGCACAGCTTTCCACGGAATTACAGACCAAAAGAAAAGCATGATACTTCCTAAACCATTCACTCCTCTCCAGTTCACCAACACAAGGGCATTTTTGAAACAATCAGGGAACTCTGAGCATGGACTGGGAGGAATTACATAATACAAGGTATTTTTGGTAATTTAGTTCAATATGACAATGAATACTGAAGTATGTTGAGGTCAAATGGCATACTATTTGGAATTTGCTTTAAAATCCTTCAGTGAAGAAGAAGAAAAAGAACAAAGTAAATGTGATTCATTGAAGTACTGGGCATATGGTGATTCATTATACTATTTTCTCTGAGATATACTTGCCATTTTTCACAATACAAATGTTTTTCAAAAATTCTTATTTTCAAAAAGTACACTGTTAAGGGACATTTATCTAGTCCTGTTTTCTTGCAGGAACAGCCATATCAATCTCTGCAGAGCCTCCTGGGAGGAGTCCCCCACCCGGCCCCAGCCCCACACCATTCACCACTGACACCACAGGCACCACAAGAAGGAAGGGACAGGGCAAACATGAAGTTCCAACAGAAGAAAAGGCTCCACCCTTTCCATTCGTCTTGACAAATAAGCCAAGGCCCGGGACCTCAGCACTGACCATGCCGGGCAAAAGCTTCCCATCCCTGTGCGCTCCACACACACAGCAGACAGGCTAAAATTCAAATGTGGTCTATTTTAAAGTTTCAGAAAAATATCTGAGTACCAGCAGGTGCAGTGGCGCAAGCCTGTAATCCCAGCGGCTCAGGAGGCTGAGGCAGGAGGATCTCAAGTTCAAAGCTAGCTTCAGCAAGTCCCTCAGCAACTCAGTGAGACCCTGTCTCTAAATAAAACAGAAAAAAGGACTAGGGATGTGGCTCAGTGGTTAAGTGCCTGCGGGGTCAATCCCTGGTACCAAAAAAAAAAAATCTGAGTACTAAGGACAAGTCACAAGCATGACAATTCCCATGACAGTAAAGACTAGCAGCAACCATAGCAGCAACCACTCACTGAATGCCTGCTGTATGCCACGTGCCACCGAAGGCCTTACCTGTGTTTTCACTGAGTGCTCAGAGACCCTGTGACATAGGCACCACCCAACAGCCCCATTTATTGACAGAAAAACAGAGAGAAAAGGGGCTAAGTGACTTGCCCACAGCTACACAGCTGGGGGGTCACAGTGAAGTGCCAGGATTAAAGCCAAGCAGTTGACTTCCCTCACCTCATTCCTGAATAGCGGCTCTACTGTGGCCCCCGATGGAAGCAAACACCATCCTGAGAGAAGGGGGCGGGAGGTAAGGGTAAAAGATGCACTGGAAAGTTGCTGCCTGGACTAGACGCTGTGCTAAGGCCCTTGCGTACACCATGTCACTCCACTCTCGCAGATGACGGAAAAAGAGGAAACCCAGGACACAGAGCAAAGTGGTTCCCTCAATGAAAGCCCACAGGCAAGACAAGCTGTTTGAACTGCAGGTTCTCCCCGCCTCCACCTGGGACTTACAAAAACCTTTCCTGAAACACTAACATCTACCCTTTTGTACCAGACACCCAAAAGACCACATGGCTCTGCTGCCAACAAGAGCTATCTTCCAGAATAAAGGCAAATGCTCACATTTAAATAAACCCAAATTCATTTTGGAACTTCAAGGCATCGAAGGGAACTGATACCTTGAGATCCAGCTTGGTGTTCACAGGATCCTGAAGCTCGGGTGCTGTGAAGGCACTGGACTCTACCTTGACGTTCTGCAGAACATCCTCAGGCGGCAACTTCATTGCATGGTTGTCTGCAGTGGAGCCAATTCCAAAAAAATCTAAGATCACGACCCAGGTTTGCAATGTGATCAGAACATCCAAGCAATTAAAATCAACGTCAATGCTCCGGTTAACTCGATTGTAAATGGAAGAAAATTCTGGATGTTTCTTATCCACCAAGAATATATTGATGTGGACCAAGGAATCATCAAATTTACTCTTTCCTGTAACTACCTTGGGCTCATCTATGGTCGGAGAAGGAGGTGGGGTCAAGGGATAGTCCTTGTCTTGAACTTCCTTTTGTTTCTTCCTGGAGACGGAGGTGGGTCTCTGATACAACTGAAAGACGTTAGGAGCTTCCTCCATGTGGGAAGGGAGAGAGCGTGGCATATCAGGGTACTCCACATTGGATACTGAAGGGCAAGACTGGGAAAGGTACTCTTTCTGTGCTAAGCTAGATGGCTTGGGAGCACCTCGGGACACCATCAGGTTCTTGTACTTGGAATCTGGATTTTTCTCCAGTAAGTCCTCCATTAGCAGGGAACGCAGAGCAATCTGAATGGACAAGGTCTGAGGATGGTCTTTACTGAATTCCACCTCAAAGTCCTGAAACCTTAAGCTCACAAGACCTTGGGCCCCCAAAGTGAGATCTCCACTTAGCTGAACTTGAAGCTCTGATATACAAAAGTTGGCTTGAATCTGAGTGAAAGCTTTGGCTTCTCTCACAGACAAGGACTTCTGAGAGGTGCTGGAAAGACTGGAGTGGCTGAACAGCCCGTTCTCCTTCCTCTCCAGGGAAGGCTCTCCGCAGGTACTGAGGGCAGGCACAGGAGAGTTGGGGCAAGAGGAGGAGGCAACACTGTTTGGAAACTTATTCAGATCTTCACTGTACACAAGGTTGTCCAGCGTCTGTAAAACCTGCTCATATACGTGCTTGGCTAACACCACCTGCATTCAAAGGGAAAAATCAGTTACTCCCCTACTATTATTAACTGCACTCAGCTACCTATCCATGTCCACAATTTGGGGCTTCCCTTGAGGTTTTAGGTTAGTTGATAAGACTCTCACCATCATTTTTTTTTTTTGCTATCCTTAACTCTTTCTGCCCCACTTTTGTTCACAAGGCCCTTTCCAGCATCACACAGAAAAATCTGCATATTCAATAAGTGCTGACTGCATGCCCAAATCAGTAAAGTCGGATTAAAATTTAGATGATACCAAGGAACTCTCATTAATTTTGTAAGGTATGATAATACCACTACAGTTACATAAAGCACACCTAGTTTGTAGACACATTCCAAAAATACAGGAATAAAAATGGTATGAAATCAGGTCTTTGTTCATGTACATGTATGTTGAGCACGTCAAAGTTGCTGGTATTCAAATCCTTGCTCAAGATGGGCACAGTGGTGCACACCTGTAATCCCAGCAACTTGGGAGGCTGAGGCGGAAGGATCACAAGTTCAAGGACAGTCTCAGAAACTTAGGAAGACTCTATCTCAAAAAAGGGCTGTGGATATAGCTCAATGGTAAAGCACCACTGGGTTCTATCCCCAGTACCAGAAAAAAAATGAAAAAGGAAAAGAAGAGTTAGTGATATAGCTCAGCAGTTTCAGACAGGGCAAGACTAATTCTTCCTTGAAAGATCTGTCAACGGCACAGATAATCACATCATTTTATAAGCTGGGCCAAGTATGTCAAAAGTGTGACAAGAATTATATCTTCCTGGGAAGAGACTCTGATTTTTTTAAGCAAAAATTTCCCTGCTCCCGAATGGCAATGAATGAAGATTCTGCCTTCTTCCTCTGCACAACCTCCCTCTGAGCCACACAAAGAAGGCTAACAAGAATGCTGTCCAGTGATTAAACATGATAAAATTATTCCATGTTTATTGGAACAATAGCATTAATGATATTTCCTTGAAATCATATTTTCCATCTACATTTAATAAACATAAATATATAGCATTATAATCCAAGTATAATAGATTTATACTGCATAAATATAAAATAAATAGAGGCTGAGTATTTAAAATCCCAAATATCCCTGAAATCTGAAACTTTCTAAAAGCCGATAAAATGCTCAAAATGTTTCAGACTTTACAGCATTTCAGATTTCAGAGATTATGAATAGGGATGCTCAATCAATAAAAGTCTTCACAAAGGGGCCGGGGTTATGCGAGCACTTGCCTAGAACATATGAGGTACTGGGTTCAATCCTTAACACCAAATACAAAAAATAATCCAATAAAATAAAGGGATGCTATCCATCTACAACTACAAAAAAAAAAAAAAAAATTTAAGACTACATAAATATTCCAAAATCTAAAAAACTCTGAAATCTGAAACACTTCCGGTCCCAAGCATCTCAGGGAAGGGACATTTTAGCTGCCCTAGTCTGAAAATCAGTCGAACAAATTACCTGAACTGGATTGACGAACTTTCCTTCAATCTTCATGATGCTAGAGGTCCCCAGGTCATCTGGACTAAGAGAGAAGGTCAGTTCAGACTCTCTCTCAATAGGGATCTTTTCCAGTTTAAACTGAATGGTGGTGTTGTTCAGGATGTGAAAAGCTGACAGAAGAGAGGAAATGACAGACTATTAACACTAATCTTACATTATTATTGCTGATTAAGTGTGGAGTGTATAAAATATAGCCCATGAGTTATTCTTAGACTTGAAGGGCAGGTCAGCCTAGCATCAAGGGGTATATGACCAAAAGCAAACTTTGATGACTATCCCAAGGCCAAACTGGGAGAAGAGATAAAAGGTAAGATTACAGGAAAAAAAAGAAAAAATTCATGACATGCTTTATTTGGCAGCTTTAAAATATGACGTGATAAACATACTCATCCAGTCCAGGAGACTACATTAAGCTTCTCTTTGCCTTCCAAGCTGATTTTCCAAACCACATTGCTCATCCTTACCTAGCATTCAGATATAGATGGATCCCTTTTCTTGGGCCTAAATCAGAATCAAGGTCAACAGAGGATCTAAGTAAACAACTTTTATCCCAAACAGAGAAAGAAATCTTTCAGTATGTATGTACCAGAAGCAGTGAATTAACATCTGAAAATCATAGAAGGATAAGTTTTCAAAGTCTTCATTTCTTCACCAACAAAACCATGCTCTAGAGCCCACATGATTTTTTTAGATGCAAAGACTAACAGATTGAGCAGGGCATGGTGGCACATGCCTATAATCCCAGCGACTCGGGAGGCTGAAACAGGAGGATCTCCAAAAGCCAGCCTCAGCAATGGGGAGGTGATTAGCAACTCAGTGAGACCCTGTCTCTAAATAAAATACGAAATAGGAGGCTGGAGCTGGGGCTCAGCGGTAGCACACTTGCCTGGCATGTATGAGGCACTGGTTCAACAACTAAAAGATTTTTTAAAAAATACAAAATTGGGCTGGGGATGTGGCTCAGTGGTCAAGTGTCCCTGAGTTCAATCCCCAGTACCCTAAAAAAAAAAAAGATTGGGGGTTTGACTCTGCGGTAGGGCATCCCCTGGGTTCAATCCCTGGTACCTTAAAAAAAAAAAAAAGACTAAAAGACTGAAAAGATTGAACTGATGGCACTAGCTGATTAGAGTTAGAACACAAATTCAAAATCTATTCCTCACACCCTCTTCCATCCAACCCATTATAGGGCATGGCAGAATACTAGAATATTCTGTATAACATCCACCAACTATGTTTCACATTCTATTTATGCTAATCCCTTGAGCTATCATGAGCTAAAACATGTATCTAGGAAAAAGCTACAGTTTAGAAAATTTGACCAAATTAAACAACACTAACCAAATCCATCCACTGAAGCTTCTCTACAACTGATCAACCATGCAATTTCCAAAAGAGAACACATTTAGTAAGTCTTATTTTGGGCTGGGGCTGGGGCTCAGTGGTGGAGCGCTTATCTAGCACGTGTGAGGCACTGGGTTTGATCCTCAGTACCACATGAAAATAAACAAATTTTTAAAAATAAAGTTAAAAAAAAATCCTTGTTTTGCTAAAAATGGTATTAAATGGAAAAAGATGAAAATATACCAACGTACTACGAAGCATTCTGTCAAAATTTTATCATGATTTCTAAAATATTAACTGGGGACAATTCCAGAACAAAATGTTTTTGTTGCTGTTTTTAGTGAAATACTACACAAGCTGGGTTTTGAACCTTTAAACAAAATTAAACAGAAACTTATGCCCCTTACCTTGACCTCTATGCAGAGATTCAAAGAAATCATGTCGGGTGAAATGCGCTTCCTCTTGACTGTTGGCACTGGCCGAGCCAGAGGGTGGACAAAACGTCCGATTTACTTCAGCCCCAGCACCTTCTCTGCCCGCCAGTTGGGTGCAATTCAAAGAATACAGTTTAATGTCTTTGATTTCCACCTGCAGACGGTCACTTCTGGACTCGTCATCTCCTGCCACAAAATTCTGGATGAATATCTGTCCCAGGTGTCCTACCAACAACTCAGGACTCCCTGGCTTCCGGGGGATAGAAACAACTGGAGATTCAATGTAGATGTTCAGGATTAGCTTTACGGTGTCTGAATGACAAGAAGTGAGGCCAAACCCATATATTTCATTTTCCTCTAAGATAAAGGGTTCCCGGGACTTCTTTGGAGTCTCAAAGAGGGACACCATCTCACTGTACTCAGCAGTCTTGGTAGCTAACACTGTGGTGACTTTGGTGGCTGCACTTTTCAGCATACTTCGAAAATTCTCTTCCAGTTCATCCATGGATAATGTCAGCTCCTTCAGGAATTTGGCAGAGTGATTATAATGTAGGGAAGCCATCTTCAGGTTGAGGAAACACTCCTGTTTAGATTTCTCAACAAACGTGAAACTCAACGCTTCAGTAAGGGCTGCATCTTCCATTCTGACAAACACCGATTCAAAGTAGCCAATGTCACTGACAATATTTTCATAGCCTGCAGAATTCCCAATGCTGACAACATACTGGTTCTTAACATTATCTTGTGTCAAATCCATAAGCTGCAAACAGCCAAGAGAACCGTTCACATCAAATGTGCTCCCCATCGAGACATTAACTTTGGTGCCACCTACACTTGCAGTCGCGATTTTCCTACCATGCTTCTCTCCGTTTGCCATCCCCACTGTCCGGAGGAGCAGTAAGTTAAGTCTGTGGATCTCCACTGCAACCTCGGTATTTTGTTCATATGTAGATTGGTAAGTCCCTTGTTCTCTAAAGCTTCTTTCAAAATCAGTCATTAAAGGCTGAGGGCTCAAATCATCTTTCTCCTTGGGGAAGGATTTTTGAAGAAAACCAATCAGCTCCACAATTGTCTCTGGATTTAGGATAATATCCAAATTATTCACCTGTAATGAAATCACCTGAAGAGTGCTGTCTAAGTTCATTGAGGGGCACTCTGAACTCACAAACTGATATTCCAACTTAATGAGAGACTCTTGTTCTTTGGTGAGAACTTTGTCAAGTGAAACACTAGTTGCAGATCGGTCATTCAGGGTGGTTACATCAGTTAAGGAAGCCACATTAGGTCCAGAGACAGGAGATTGTGCCCTGCTATCCCGGAGGCTTCCTGTTGGAATATCAAAACTTAAGTTCTTATGTGAAGCCATCAAAAGGTCAAAATCAGCACCATAGGTCTGCATGGTGTCCACCAGGAGCAAACCATGAACAGTGAGTGAGACTTCAGCATCATAAGGCCTCTTCACAAAGTGAGCATTGGTACCAAATACCTTGAGCACAGAAATGTACCTGCCGTTGCTCTCAACACCAAGCTGCATGCAGTTAACCTTAAACTCAGCCAGGAGCAGCTGCGATTCCACCAGAACCTCCCGGGTATGCTGCTCCAGCATCACAATGCTCTGGGTCAGGTTCATTACCGAGTCCTGCAAACTTCCCCGCTGTCCTTCTTGGGGGAAAATCTTCTCTTTAATCTGAGTGTCACATGTCTTCATTTCTGGGGTGGTAAGGAGAGCAAAGCAATTCTTTAGAGCAGATATCTTATCCTCATTGATGTGGATTTTTAAGTCTGGTAAGTTGCCTGAAAGCACGGCCCCTGGGTACTTGGGATCTGAAGTATAAATCAGTCGCCGTTCTAGCTGCAGATGAACATTGAACTTCTCCACCACGTGGGTCGGTCCCACATCGATATCCTGGACATGCTTCCAGTTGTCCTTCACTCGCCCAACCATGATCTGGAGGTCCATAAATGACAGCGCGTACCTCTCGTACATCTTTGTGTTCATCAAATGTGCCTGAAGCTGCTCCTCACTGATTTCCACTCCAGGAAAAGGAGGTGTTTTCTCTCCATTGCTGCTGCTTGTCTCAGGAGGTGGGGTGTTGGGAGGTGTGGCGAGAGGGGTCTTGTACTCATCATCACTGAACTGATTCTCCTCAGAGGCTGACCCGTCCCCACTTGTCCTTTTGGAGTCATCTGCAGAGAAAAGAGAGAAGACTCAAAGAGTACCTGCTATTTTCTTCCTCCATCCTTTACTATAATGATGATGATGAAGAGCAGAGATTCAGCCAACCCCAACATTTAAACAATGGAGGACACTCCAAGCGTAACATTCTGTATTGTCATTAGTAGCCATGTGAACTTGGCTACTAATGTGAAAGTGTGAACTCCACAAGAGAAAACGCATGACTATGAGGACAGCTGGAGAGCAGCTGAGGCCCGGTGTGTGGGGTGCAGCACCTTCCCAGTCTCGGGCAGCATGGCCCGTCCTATCACCAACCCCGGCCACTCTGTGCTTGTCTGGCTTTTCCCGTCTTGGCTTGTTCATTTTGTTTCCCCCACTAGAATACCCTGAGGGAAGGGAGGCGTCGGGCATCACGCTCAGCAACAACTCTAGAGCCCAGATCCAGGCCTGGTGAACAGAAACTGCTGAGGGTATGACGTTCCCCGGGCACACCCGGGATCCTCTCTACAGCCAAGTAGCACTGAGACAGCCACGGAGCGCGGGGCTCAGTCACGTGCCCTGTTCCACATTACGTTTCCTCAGTTCAGGTGGGTGCTATATGCAGCTGAGCCACCCTTCCATTCAGGCCTAATGCCCTTTTAAAATTCCCCTTTGCACCCAACTTCCCCTCCTCTTCACGCCCCCTGCCCTCTTCTCCTTCAGGTCTACTCAGTGAAACTGAGGTTGGAATGGGCTGATCTGCTCAGTGCCACCCGCTTTACCCTGTGAGCCCTCATTCTTTCCTCCCGCCTCAATACACTCAGATCTAATGAAATTACCTTCCAGGTGTCTCTTTTTATATGCTACTAACAAATAGGTTAAAACCCTATTCCTGAAAGTAAGCACTGGGAGACAATGTTTATTAAAATACACAATGTCACATAGAAACACAAATAAAAACCACAATATGACACTACTTCACAACTACAAAAACAACAGTCACAGTGATGACAGAGTGCAGACACCAGCAAGCTCAGCTGCTGGTGGCAATGTGATGCTGCAGCTGCTGCTGAGAAGTCCATAGCTCCTCAAAATACTAAAGAGACTTGCACAGGACCCAGCAACTCCACTCCCAGGTATGTGCCCGGAGAACTGGAAACATGGTTTTCTACACAAAAATCTGTATATGAACATTTGCGTGTGAATATTCATTGAGTGCTATTCATAACAGTCAAAAGGTGGACAATCCCAAAGTCTAACAAAGAAGGGTAAATAAACTGCAGTATATCTATACAAGGGACTATTATTCAGTCAAAAAAGAAATGAAGCACGGACATATACTATAACATGGATGGACCTTGAAAATGTTATGCTAAATTAAAAGCCAGATATAAAGGGTTGCATATTGTATTTCACTCACATGAAATGTTTAGAACAGACGAACCCACAGAGACAGAAAAAAAACTAGTGACTGCCAGAAGCTGGGGAGGAAGAATTTAAGAGACAATGACCACTAATGAGTTTGTAGTTTCACTGGGGAAAGGAAAATGATCTGGAACTAAACAGTAGTGAGAGTTGCACAAATTCACCAACACGACCAAAATAACTATAGATTTTTTAAAGTGAATTACATCAAGGTACAGCTATTATTTTAAAATTCACAGTTGAACTGGGATGTTTAAACATGTTATATGCACTACTGTGAAGCAAACATGTTACATGCACTACTGTGAAGCAAACATGTTACATGCACTACTGTGAAGCAAACACGTTACATGCACTACTGTGAAGCAAACATGTTACATGCACTACTGTGAAGCTTGCTTTGTTCAGCAGACAGAGCAGCCCACCAAGACCTGTCTCCCCACTTCACACTGGCAATGTACCTTGGGAATTTGTCAACAGCATTCTTCCCAGATCCACAACAACTAACACGGGATTCTTGAACTTGAAGTCATCAGGGAATATCACCTGAGGGGCAGAAATGTCTAGCCGCACAGTCCACCGTTTACTTTCCTCCTGTGAAAATGAAACAAACCTCTGTTGTGTCGTGGCTGTGACTGTGAACTGAGGGCTGCTCAGTGCTGTCGGTACTCCCGAAGCCCTGCCCAGGGTTGAGTGACATGGTCTCTCTGGGATTCTAGCAGAAAGTCTATGATAAAGCCCATGAAAGCCTGAGGCCTGGAGACACCACCATGGCCAATATCTGAGGTGGAGAGAAAAAAAACCTATAAATTATTGATAACCGTACTTGCATTGATGATCCACAGGTTAAGAAAGATTTTGTTTCTAATTTGCAGAGCTTAGCACTTTAAACTATTACAGAAATTTGAAATTCAAATAAATGTAGAAATCCACAAAAAAAATTGGGGGAGGGGGTTATTGGGGACTGAGCTCAGGGGCTCAACCACTGAGTCACATCTCAGCCTTATTTTGTATTTTTTTAAGAGACAGGGTCTCACCGAGTTGCTTAGTACCTTACTTTTGCTGAGGCTGGCTTTGAACACAGGATCCTCCGGCCTCAGCCTAAGATTACAGGCATGTGCCACCGCGCCCAGCTTACCAAAAAGTTCTATTTATTCACAGACATTGGTAATCATGAACTTCGTGCCAAAATAACTTGAGGAAAAACGTAAGTTTTGATGTTCAAAATACAAATAACACACTGATTCATGAATTTGTAAACTGTTCTTCTTTGCAACTAAAAGCAGCCTCAATTATATGCATATGGTAGAAGCTAACTGATACAAATGTTACCAGAAACAACTATCTTTTGTCTAAGATAACAAGAGGACACTAATTGTTATAATTTGTGTTGAAACACACAAGACACATGCAAGAAACAGGACTAATTCTCTGTCTAATACACCAGGACATCTGTTTGGAACATGGGGCTCCCTTTCCACCTGCAGCATGTACACCACACAAGAGAAGCCACTCCCTTTCCAACTACTCCACCTACTGCTGCCTCTTGGAGGTGCACCACCACAGCACGCTGTGAGAAACAAACCCTTCCTGGACTGTTGAGCTGTTTCCTGGCTCCACCTGTCCATGGTGTCCTCTTATCAGCTGGTCACTCAGTGACCACAGATGGTGACAAAGTAATCATCATAGCCTGAGATAGAATCCAGCTTTTTACTTCTGGGGTAAACAAAAAGAGTGCTTAAGTATTCAGAGATCACAGGACAAGGACAAGGGCAAGTCCTGAAAATGCTCCCAGAGCCATACGGAAGAAACTCTATCTAGTTACAGTGGTTTTTTTTTTTTTTTAATTAATTAAACTTTGACTGTCAAAGACATGAGATTTCTATTTTATGCCAGCTGACAAGGACTTCATATTTTCAGTTCACTTAATCAGTACAACTGATTACAGTAGATAATGAACTTGTCAAAAGAAACTTGCCCAGGGCTGGAGGCTCAGTGGGAGAACACTCACCTCACATGGCCCTGGGTTCCGTCCCAGCACTGAAAAAAAATAAAAAAGAAAAACTTGTTCCTTCCCCCATCCCCAGTGTTATGTGAGGCCACTTACAATGAAATCCCCCACCAGCAAGCGGTCGAGGGTCTGTCGGATCTCTGCCTTGGTCTGCATCTTCAGCTTGTTGTACTGTCTGCGGGCAGCTTCAGCAACTCTGAGCTCAAGTTCAGACTGATAACCAAAACCTACAAGATTGGAAACACACAGCACACTCAGAATTTCCAAATGGTTGGGTGGATAGACAAGAATTTCCACCAGAGCTAAAATACAATCAGTAACAAAAGCAGCTCCCTGGGGCTGGGGTGATGGCTCAGTGGCAGAGCACTTGCCTCGCCCGTGCGAGGCACTGGCTTCGATCCTTAGCACCACATAAAAATAAATAAATAAAGGTATTGTGTCCATCTGCAAGTAAAAAAAAAAAAAAAAAAACCACAGCTCCCTGCTCTGCCATGACCTGTGTGACACAGGATAACAGGCATGAGGTAGAGGTGGGCTCCGGAGTGCCAGGGGTGGGGAGGTATATGAGGGAAGGTACCTATGCTACAGAATTTCTTGAAGCTTTTTCTGAAAACTAAATTTCAAAATCCTTACAAAGCAAGACATAAGAAATTACACAGGAAGAAAAAAGTATAATTTAGAGGGAAATGCCTTCTTTACTGTCAGTGAGAACAAAGAAGACACTACATTCATGGCTACTGCTTACATGAAAAAAATCTCAAAAATTGGGCAAAATCTACAAGAATGTCACTGTTATAAAGGAGAGAGGGATTATGTTTCATCACCCACTCCCTGTCAAAAAGAGGGCTCTTTCCATGTCACTGTATTAAGTCATGTGGGGGAGCAGAGGGAGGCCTAACAAATCAATGACAATATTTAGAACTTCGCAGCCTACAATGCAGCACCCAGCAAGTGAAGGAGGCTACAGACTCTGTGACCTGGAAGGAAATTCTTGAACATTCCTCCTCATCCCTGATCTAGAACATCCTGGGGAGCCAAGGAAAGTGCCAGCATAAGAGAATGAGAAGAATGAAAAACTTCATGTCAAAGGGAGGCAAACAGAAAGTATGTATGATGTTGATTTCTCTGGAAAAGAGACTGTCCAAGGACACGCACGCATCCAGTTTCTAAGGCTGACCCCACCCATGCCCTCCACAGGCCTTACAGACCACCACAAGCCATGTGAACATCCAACCTTGCCCACAGCACCAGCACTGACAAGAAAGATGTTTTTTAAAAGTAACATAAGATCAAACAAACAAAAAAGTTAACCTGAGGTATGAACCTTTCCCTTGTAGAAAAAGTCTGCTACTTTTTTAATAGCCTGGGGATTATATATGATGTTCAAGGGCCTTGTGCTGACATTCAGCCGCCTCTCAAAATGACTGTGCACTGGATTTCTCTCATACAGCATCTCAAAAACTGGGTCATCTGGGTCCGCAGCTGTAAGAGAGAAGAGAAGAAAGAAAATGGAACATAGCAAAACAATCACCATATTCTAAATAGACCTGTGAGGTACTGGGGTGGGGGGATGTTTTCTAAATTATTTTCCAATCAGTTCACAATTATGCACATTTTAAAAACAGAATCTGGTCTAGGGGGGTAAATCAGTGGTAGAACAGCACTTGCCTAGCATCTGCAAGTGAGTTCCATCCCCAGCGCTGCAAAAAGGGGGGGAAAATCCTATAAAAACAGAGAGGGGCTGGGGTTGTGGCTCAGCGGTAGAGCGTCCGCCTGGCTCCTGTAATGGTAACCAGACTCTGTGGCTCGCAAGGTTGGCCTAGTTACACCAAGGTTAATAGTCGTTTAAAAAAAATAAATAAATAATAAAGGTATTGTGTCCACCTACAACTAAAAATATTTTTAAAAAAACAAGAGTCCCACCCAAGAGTGCCAGGAGGCCTCCACGCCAAACACTCACCTACACGGCAAAGCACTCTCCCCCAAATTAAGCACTCCCTCTTTTACTTCTGATCAAAGACAACTGATCTGTAATAATGACATTTTTAAGCCGTGGTTTTAGGAACATATGACAGTTTACCAGGGTACTGATCACTTCTGTCTGCAGATGTGGTCTGAAGACCAAAAGACTGTGAGACTCTGCCAACTTCTTTTTGCTGTAAAACACACATACAAAAAGCTTCAGTGCCAGGGCGAGAGGGGACAATTCACTGCAGACACACATATAGCTGACTCACTGCATCACTGCCCCCAGCACAACTGCGTCAAAACTCACTTCACACAGGGTTACCGAATACTTGCAGACTTGTTTAGGTTTTTTTAAAACCTAGTAAGACCAAGTCTGTCCATTTTCAAAGACAGTGTGCTACTTACTGCCAGTCTTGACTGGCAGTCAAGAACAGTAAGTGGTTGCTAAATGACATTGAACATGCATAACTTTTCCAAAGAATGTTTCCCACCCTCTCTACAACTATCCCCTCACCTCCCAAAAAGAATTATGAACAGGTTACGATGGCTAAATATTCAGTTACCCAGGCCATATTTTTGTCAAATATCTCGTAGTTAATACAGTACATTGTATATAAAAAATTACACATATATGGAAAACTTGAGGTGGTTTTCTTCTGGAGTCCTGAAAAGATGAGATTGCCTACCGATGAATACGTGAATACATGAAAATGACTGCCAGATACAGAGGCAATTTGAACACTAATTCTGAAATGCAGAAAATAGTGGTGCTCATGGCATTTTCTTCCAAAACAGAGCAAACTATTCCACGGTGTTTACAACGTAGGAAGGGAGAACATGCAGTCTCACCAACATTTTCTCTCTAAAAGATTGGAGAAATTGACCTGGCCCAGCCTATCAGTCTGAAGATACCCAAATGTCAGAATGAATCAGGTTAACATCATTCATCATTTGCCTAAAACAGACCACAATTCACCACCACCCAAGATGATAAGCCAGGCCACTGTGGTACCTACTGGATTAGGGAAGACCAGAAGAGGAAACATGGTTCCTTCCGTAGCCAGGTCTCGGAGAAACAATCCGCCCAACCGGACTAAAAGCAAGGAAGAATTTCTTCGAGGAAGAGATTCTGCTAGAAGTTTTACATCTACAAAAGATAAGTATGAGAGCTGGGTTGTGGCTCAGTGGTAGAGCGCTTGTCTAGCATGTGTGAGGCACTGGGTTCAAACTTCAGCATCACATAAATAAATAAAATAAAGGTATTGTATTTAAAAAAAAAAGATGAATATGAACTGACATCATGCTGTGATAGCCTAACATGTTTCTAAAAATGTTAAATATATTACAAAGTACTTTTAGATACCATGAGCTATTTGTCCATGAAATTAGAACCAAGAAGAGGGGGGAAAAAAGGGGGGGTTCTATTCTACCTATGTATCTATAAATACACAAGAACTGTTAGAAGTTTCCCAGAAGAACAACTTTTAAACTGAGTCTTTATAATTAAGTTCAAGCAATCTGCTAGTACATGCTAAGTGCATGACAGTTCAGCTCTCAAGATTATGAAGTCAAATTGTGGCCTTTTTTTTTTCCCACCCTTCTTGAACTACTGAGGCATCTCAGATAAGCTGCTGTTTCATGAACTGAAAAATCAGAAAAAACAGTCAAATAAAAATCAGAAAAAAACAAAATAAAAAAAAAAACAGTCAAATAAAATTGGTCCTAATCATGCACAGATTCTATATGTACACATTCATCTACTCCTGCAAATAAGTTTGTAATCTCAAAATCAATACTCGTGGCACTTTCTTGGTCATTCAGACATAGAGCAGCAGAAAGTTTGAGTCACCCAATTAATGTGCACATCCCCAGCTGAGTTCAAACAAGACAGTGCTCTGCCTCCTTGTGTTAGTTCTCACAGGTGAACAAGTGTCCTTTACCTGGCCTACTTAGAGAGCTGTTTTTTCACATTTTTTGGTGTTTTACTTTTTTCAAGCCTTTGTTATTTAAAATGACCAAGTGGGGCTAGGAATGAGGCTCAGGGGTAGAGTGCTTGCCTAATAGGCACGAGGTCCTGGGTTCCTCCGCCAGCAGCGCAAAAAATAAATAAAATAAAATGGCCAGGGTGGTGCTGATGTGCTGCTAGCACATCCCTAAGCCTTCTGGAGGCTGGCGTGCACTTTACAGAGGAAAGACATCCTTCAGATCAGCTTCACCTGGCATGGGTGGTAGTGCTGCAGGCTATGAATTCAATGTTACTGAATCAACAACAGATATATATTAAATAAGATGTTTTTAAACACAAACTCACCTTTGGAAAAAAAAAAAGGGGGGTATGTTCTGATGGGCTGACAAATGCCATGATCAGAGGCTGGCAGGAACCTAACCTGTATGTCCCCCCCCTAGAGGCAATGGCTCAGCCAGTGTGTGGCAAGGTTCTAGTTCATAACTACCTCGAATGAAGAGAACCAACTGGACATTCCCCCCCACCTTTTGAGAGAGACGGTAGCGGCTGGTTCTTCGAGGCAGTACCTGAAAACTCGAGCTGCATGAACGCACTTTCACTCATCTGAGGATCTCCCTGCTCCATGTGCAGCAGGGTCACTGTGCCTCGCTGCAACTGCAGATTCAATTTAGCAAAGACGTGATCTCGCTTCGTATACGTGTTCATGCATGAGGCATCCGCAGTGGGGTCAAAAAACTCCTCGGTGCCTAAGTGGTAAGGGAGAACAGGTAAGAAAAAGTATGGGACAAAAACCATACAGCCAGGCACGCTGACCACAGTAATGATGACCCTACTGTTTCCCTTTTTTAAAGAACAGGTGACTATTTAGTGTGCTAACATAAAACAACCCTGTTTTATCAACTTATCATCACAACAGGTAGCACAGGACTCACCACATTAAGGCTATCCAGTGAATGGTCTGTGTCTGGGTTTTGCAGGACAGTGGCCACTTAACTACATGTGGCTTATGTGGCTGGTACAATTAAGAAAGTGGATTTTTATACAAATGGCCAACAAATATGAAAAATGCTTACCATCATTAACAATTAGGGAAATGCAAAGCAAAACTACACTGAGATTTCATCTCACACCAGTCAGAATGGCAGTCATCAAGAATACAAACAATAATAATGCTGGAGAGGATGTGGAAAAGAAACAACTTTACACTGTTGGTGGGACTGTAAATCAGTGCAACCACTGTGGAAATTAGTATGGAGGCTCCTCAAAAGACTAGACATGGGAGTGGGGTTGGCTCAGTGGTGGAGCATTTGCCTTGCATGCAGTGAGGCACTGGGTTCGATTCTTAGCACCACATATAAATAAAACAAAGGTATGACGACAACTAAAAAACAATTTTTTAAAAAGACTAGGCATGGAACCACCATATGACCCAGCTATTCCACTCCTCAGTATTTATCCTGAAGAACTAAAGTCATCACACCACAGTGATACACACTCACCCATGTTTATAGCAGTGCAATTCACAATAGCCAAACTATGCAACCAGCCTAGGTATCCACCAATGGATGAACGGATAAAGAAAATGTGGTATATATACACCGTGGAGCTTTATTCACCCATAAAAAAAATGAAATTATGTAATTTTCAGGAAAATGGATGGAACTAGAGACTCCCATGTTAAATTAAATAAGTCAACTCAGAAAGTTAAGGGTCTTATGTTTTTTTCTTATAAGCGGAAGCTACAGAGAAGAGAAAGGTGGGAGAGGATCTCCTAAAAATCAAAAGGAGATCAGTAGAGGAAAAGGACCAAAGGGTGAGAAGCAGGGAGGGATGGGGAAAGCTGGGGAATGATACTGGCCAAATGACACTGTTATCTTGCATGCATGTACAAATATGAAACAACAAATTCTACTAGTTAGGTCTAACTATAATGCAGCAATAAGAAAAAAGGTAGAGAAAAGTAAAAAACAAAGAAACTGGATTTTTAGCCAGACACGGTGATACATGCCTGTAATCCCAGCAGCTCAGGTGGAGGAGTCAGGGCAGGAGGGCCACAAATTCAAGGCCAACCTTAGCAACTTAGCAAGACCCTGTCTCAAAAAAAAAAAAAAAAAAAGTGGGAAAAAGTGGGGGTGGAGGGGATCTGGGGATGTGATTCAATAGTTAAGCAACCCTGGGTTCAATCCCCAGTGCCAAAAAAAAGGAAACGATTATTTATAATAATTATTAGTATTATAGGCACATGCCTACAATCCCAGAAACCTGAGGCAGGATGATCACATGTTCAACTCAAGGCTAGACTCAGGAACTTAGCAAAGCCCTCAGCAACTTAGTGAGGTCCTAAGCAACACAATGAGACACTGTCTCAAAATAAAAAGAGCCAGGTGCAGTGGCGCATGCCTATAATCCCAGCATCTCAGGAGGCTGAGGCAGGAGAATCGAGAGTTCAAAGCCAGTCTCAGCAATGGTGAGGCACTAAGCAACTCAGTAAGACCCTGTCTCTAAATAAAATACAAAATAGGACTGGGATGTGGCTCAGTGGTCAAGTGCCTCTAGTTCAATCCCTGGTATGAAAAATAAATAAAATTAAAATATAAAAAGGACTGGGGATGCAGCTCAGTGGTAAAGTGTCTGGTTTCAATCCCCAGCACTATAAGAAAAATAAATTAATTAATAAGCAAAAATAAAAATTATAATAATTTTTAAAAAGGGTAATGATATGCTCAGTGTTACAGTGCCCCTGGGAGTAATCCCCAGTACTGAAAAAAAGAAAAACTATATTTTTACTTATATTTAACTTTAACCTAAATAATCATTAGTGGCTATGGCTCCCAGACTGGACAGCAAGGCCTAAAGAGAACTTTTGGGCTGCTAGTCAAGCTTTGGAGTTTCAAAATTTGTGAACATGCTCAAATTTAGCTCTCTGACAAAAGTCGCTGCTCAGATCTATTCAAAACTGTGCCAACATCCTTGTTCAGCATGGAGTAGCAATGGAGTCACTCCCAAAACATGTATTCTCTCTGCCTCTATGAACATGAAACAGACAGTTTTCCAAATGTCTCCTTTGGTTGAATTTGAAAATAACCAAGGGCCACTGCACAAATAATGAGCCCATTTTTATGAACCAAGCACCTCCTCTCCCTGTGGCCAGGGTGAGACCGGCCAGTTCCCAGCATACCCAGGATCTCCTCGGGGGTCCACTGCTCCTGCTGCTCTGCCGGCAGTCCTTCCACTGCTCTCCCCTCCGGGTTCTGCTGCCCATACCAGCCACCCCAACCAGGAAACCAGGACTGAAGGTACTGCAGCATCCCACTGCCTCCGCTGGCATCTGGGTCCCCAGGAGAGCTTCCTGGAGAATCAAACTGAGGCTCTCGGAGACTCTGTAGAAAATCACAAGCAGCACATGTGAGTCCCGAGATAGACACAAGCTGTGATACGCCACTGTTTTACCATTTGTCCCAGAAAGAACAAGCGCACATCAAAACTGAAGCACTCCAGAGTGTCTTGGCGGGGCTGGGGCTGGGGCTCAGTGGCAGAGCACTTGGCTAACCCATCTAGGTTTGATCCTCAGAACCACATAAAAATAAATAAATAAAATAAAAGTATTGTAGCCATCTACAACTAAAAAACTATTTTAAAAAGAGAGAGAGAGAGTGACAGCTCTGAACAAATGTTCTCCACAGCTCATCTCACCTCTGCTAGTTCCTCTTGCTTATAAAAGCGATCATGAACCAGCTCACGCAGGATCTTCAGTTCCTCGAAGCTCTGTTCCTCCTCTATCCGACACATTTCCTCCTGTTTGGGCGAGAGCAAAAGCAAACCCTAGACACTGTAGCTCCGGAGAAACTGGACACCTTCACAAATCACTACAGTGCCTCAAAGAAATCCATTGGCTGAGATGTGTGCACTGAAAGCCAAGAAACAGATAAGCAGCTGGTTCGGTGTGACCGCTGTCTACAGGTTCAACAGATTTCCCCATCATCAACAGATTCTCCTTGGTCTCAAACACTCCACTAACAAGTTTCACAGCTTCTGGGGCTGATGGCAGCAGAGAGGACACAAACAACCGTCCTTGGTTTCCAGAAGGTCACCGCACGTGCACTGCCCTGCGCAGAACCCTGATGCAGTCACGAAGCGCAACACAGAGGAATGCACGGGCGCCAGCCTGTCATGTGGTCTATGAGCAAGGACATGGTCATTGTAACTTGTCACATACAAGTTCAGCAAAGAGACAGGGCAGCTAGCTGCATACCAAGTCAAAAAAGAAAGTAGACTGAGCTATCCTAAACTGTTTCTTCTACTCCACTATTAAGAGACCATCCGTGTTTCAGCCTGCCCACCTCAGTGGTAATTCAGATTTTTCTCTTCCTCCATGTTTTTGCCTGTGCCTTTGAGAAAACATCCAAAACAAAATGTCTGGTTTATCCCATCTTTTGTAAGTTTCCTATGTTAAAAGCCATGTCTGACACTGATGAAGAAAATATTAACCACATAAGGGGCCGTGACCTCAGGGTGCTGACAGAAGGGGTGAGAATCCCTAGGGATTCAGTACCCCCACTGGACACCATGCAGTGGGTGCTGAAGGGAAAGGGATATGCCTTTTTACTTGGAAGAATTCTCTAAAAAAATGGTTAGTTAAAGAGACATTACCTGAGTCAAATATTGGAAAGGGCCTAAACTGGTACTACAAAAAGTCATGCTCACAAAAGCAAAACAATTCAAGGAACAAAGCAATTCCACTGCATTCTAGGGGGTGACAGGTAGAGAGACCACAGACGGGGTGGGGGGGTCCCCTGCCAGGATTCCAGCAGGGGAGGTTCTGGGGTCTCCAGCCCACCGGTAATTCAAATGTGAACTTGCCTTCACAACTTATGGCCCCCATTCTGCCTCGCCTCCACCACCAAAAATGCCCAAGGTAATCAAGCCACTGGATTATGGGAAATGTAGGCCAAGTCCACAGGGACTAGTTTCAGACCATAGAAGAAAAGATTTAGGCCTCAGATCAGGCTTTGAAGAGATGCAGGTAACCACATAAAAGGCTCCCTGAGTCCTCACAGAGAGCTGGAGGAGGATGGGAGGGGACACAAAGGCCTGGCAGGACTGTGGCCATCTCTTCCTCCTCCTACCCTCGGCTCTCCTCAGGCAACAGAAAGTGAGGGTGCATCTGGCCAAGGCGAGTTTGGAGGCCTTCCAAAAACTTCTCACTCTATTAAAACCCACTCTTCTCTGTGAAATGATGCCCCTTGGCAATAGACTGTTTATTTCCTCACACATCCCATCTCCTTAGGCCTTCAAGAGAATCTGCTTGTCCTCTGAATGAAAACAAGAAACACAAGACAACAGTCCACTCACCTTGTCTTCTGCAGATAGTAGGCCTCCTTTTAACTTGCTGAAATATTTGTCAGTATAAAACACAGCATCATGGGCGCGGTGCAACAAGAAGTCCCAGGTGCAGCGTTTCCTCTGCTCTCTGATCTCATACAAGTTAGCATTCAGAGCAAAATACCACCACTCTCGGCAGCTGCAACAGCCCATGACAATGTATCACTTCTCACACTAAAAGCAATTGCAATGCTACGGGTCCAGGACAGTTCACATACCACCATTCCTCTCCTGAGACGTTTTTTTCTCTTCTCAGCCAGCAGTTTATGTCTCAGGCTTATTTTAATGTTAAGCTAAACCCAATATGTTGGGAAAGTAACTCTGCTGCCAGTGAACATCAACTAATTGATGGATAAAACCTGGTGCTTGACTGGTTGATAGTTCCCAGTGTCAGTTCCCTCCACAAAGAGAAAGCCAAGCGCTAACCATGCAGCAAGCACATCCCAAGATAATTGACAAGAATGAACCAACAACAGATTTTATATATATATACTCAAGACTTAAAAACTGAATTTCTAGGAAAATATGTGGAAATACAGTTTGATATATCAAGTTTATTGCTGCAACAAGAAGAGGGTTTATTTTTGTTAAGGAAGTTAAAAAGTACAGTAAAATGTACAAAAATGACCAAATAGCCTGGGAGAAAAGACACAGAAAAGTAGATTCAAGGACTATTGCAGAGTATTTACTGCCCACCAGATCCTCCCAGCGCAACCTGAGCTGCTTGCTAAATGAGATGAAGAGGATCTTCTGCCTTTCACTACACTCGACCCAAGAGGAAACTTCAGTTGAATAAATATATAATAAGAATATCAACAATGATAACAGGAATGGCATTTTAAGGGCCAGAAAACCATCATATTTTATCTCCAACCATCTGTCAAGGCCTATGAGGCATGTTTCTAGTCTAGGTATAAAAAAAGAACATGCTATAAAAATACATTTTGCACACGACTCACATCGGCCCTTACCTCTTGGATACTGCCACTTTTGGTTTCCACTTTCGGAACTTCACTTGCCTCTCCTTCCGCTCCAGCTCCTTGAGGAAGCCCATGATTTGCCGGTACTGCAGCTTTCCATTAGAGATGAAGAGACACTAAGTTAGATCAGATTTGGCTCTTTTACTCAGTTAAGACCTACATCTAACAAGAACATATTACTCAACCCACTGAACTGAAATCCAGTGAAATTGACAGACCAAAACAAGGGCATCCAGGGCCTTGTCTCTCTGAACACTGACAACTTCGTAATTATGTTCACTCCATCTCTTGTAGTCTCTGCTTAGCACTTAAAATCAAATCACATCAAACTAACCTGAGATGAACCCAACTGCTGTTATAGTTTGGCTATAAGGTGTCCCCCAAAAGCTTCTGTATCAACATAGGAATATTCAGAAGTGAAATGATGAGATTATGAGAGCTGTAACCTAATCTGTCCATCCTAGTTTGAGTAGACTGACTGGATGGTAACTGTAGGCAGGTGGGGTGTGGCTAGAGTACGTGAGTCACTGAGGGCTTCCCTGGAGGGGTGCACCCTCTATGACCCATTCCCCCCTGTATCTGCTTCCCAATAGCCATGAACGGAGTAGTGGTCCTCTACCAAGCCCTTCCACCATGACACTCTGCCTCACCTTGGGCCCAGAGCAATGGAGTCAGCTGCCCAAGGAGTGAACCTCTGAAACCATGAGCCTAAAAGTTGTTCTTGCCAGGTATGCCAGTTACAGCAACAAAAGCCTAACACGACTGTGTAACAGAATGTGAGGTTTATTGTCTCTGCTTAGCACTTAAAATCAAAAGCTCTGAAGGGAAAAGGCTTCACAGGTATGCTCTTTCCTACTGAGGAGACCATCAAGTATCAAGTACTGTTAACATTCCTCCCTTGCCCCCAGTTACCAGTCTAGTGGGGAGTCTAAGCTTCTGGGAAGGAGAGTACCTGAGACAGCTTCAAGGGAATGGTTTCTAGCTGAATATCACATTCAATTCGGGGACTGTGCCGGGACCTCAGAGGCTCCTTGGAGCAGTTTCTCTTCAAGAGGGCCGATGCACACACAGGCTCCAGGACATAGTGGTGACTGCGACTCTCCATGCTCCTGGCCATGGCCTCCTGTGTGTCACAAGAAAATTTGCTGTGCTCAGACTGCCTTCCTTCTAGTTGTCACTTGGATAATGCTGGGGCTTTGTGATAAGACCACAGCTTGAGGTGGAAATACTGCACAAGACTCCAAAAATAGCATAAAATTGCTCTGTAATATTTTAAAATGTTATTTCTAGGTCTTCATAGGTAATATATTCACATGGTTTAAAATTTAAAAGGAAAAAAAAAAAAAAGAAATATCTCTTTCCTACTATCATCCCCAGCTACCCACTTACCATCAGAGGCTGCCAATGGTGCCTACCAGCTGCTTCTGTCTCCCACTGGAGGCTGTACACATTCAGGTAAATCAACAATGGTGTTTTTTTGTTTGTTCTTCTTTGGTACTAGGCATAGAGACTAACATATTTATCATAAAGTTTTGTTTTGTTTTTTTTAGTTGTTGATGGATCTTTATTTTATTTATTTATATGTGGTGCTGAGACTCAAACCCAGCACCCCACACATGCTAGGCAAGCACTCCACCACTGAGCTACAACCCCAGCCCCTTTATTTTTAATAGTTGTACAATATTCTACAATATGAACTCAATACTTATATAATCGAATTAGCAAAATCAAAACCATATGTACAATAGCCTACAAGTCAAGACAACCCTGGGTGGAGGACAAATGAGTCATTTTCCTCCATTTCACTTAAACCACCTATAATTTCTTTACAAAAAGATTAAGTCCTTTTATCCTTCACAACCAGTAATACTTCATATCCCATGATTCTAAGTATATCTTAAAAGAATGCCACTAAAGGTAGCATTTCAACATAAAATCCATTAAGAGATCCTCTTTGAGAATCAGAACTGGTGCTCTGTTTATTTAAAATCTGGACACCCAGTACATGGTGACTGAGAGATTGGATAACCACGGCATGTTACCTGCAAACAGTAGAACACTATACAGCAGTACGAAGCGATGAACCAACAATATGAATACACCTTAAAAATATAACTTTAAGTGGGGAAAAAAGGCACGTCTATGGCACTCTGACGTAAGTTTAAAATACACACAACTGTACATTGTTCAGAGTCACAGACATCAAGCCCCTCAGGCAAAGACACTGCAGGAGGCGACAACCTGCATGGCGGGAATCCTGTGCCACCTTCCTTCAGAGCCAGCTTCCAATAAAGCCCTGTGCCAGGAACCTACCTGCAATTCCACCTGAGGCAGATCCCCCAATAAAGTGCAATCGACGTCCCAGTAGGTGCCAAACTCTGCCACATCTAACTGCTTTTTCCGCATTAGTTTCTGTACCTGAGGTAAGAAAATCAGGGAAGAAACAGATGACTGTCTTCATTCCTGAATTATTCCCTCACTCAACAACAGGTGTGGAACATCACACACAGGCCCTCTGCAAGGCACTGGGAACACCAAACTGAATTTAAAACATGGCTTTGCTCTCAAAGAGTTCAAAATCTAGCTGGCTGAGGTCATAAACATACAAATAAGTAATTTCCATTACTCAGAAGAAGCAGAGAAAGAATACATAAGATGCTACAAGTGGGGCTGGGCTGGGGCTCAGTGGCAGAGCATTTGCCTGGCATGTGGGAGGCACCGGGTTCACTTAATCCTCAGCACCTTAAATAAATAAATAATAAAGGACCATCAACTAAAAAATATTTAAAAAAAAAAAAAAAAGATGCTACAAGTAAACAAAAAAGATCATTATACAGATAAGTATCAAAATACATATAAGTTTGTCCAGGCAAAGTGACTCACACCTGTAACCCTAGCAACTCAGAAGGCTGAGGCAGGAAGATTGCAAGTTTAAGGTCAGCCTCAGCAACTTAGTGGGGCCCTAAGAAACTCTGGGAGGCCCTGTCTCAAAGTAAAGAATAAAAAATGCTGGTCGGGGCTGAGGCTGTAGCTCCATGGTAGAGCACTTGCCTAGCATGTGTGAGGCACTGGGCTTGATTCTCAGCACCACATAAAAAAACAAATGAATAAAATACAGGCATTGTGTCCATTTACACCTAAAAATATTTTTTTAAAAAGGTGCTGGTGATATGGTTCCATGTTTGAGGATCTCTGGGTTCAATCCCCAGTACCAAAAAATAAAGAAATAGATTTCTCACAAAAGATTGCATAGGAGGAAAGACAGGGTCAAAAAAGCTGTGACACCTTCGGAAGACACTGAACATACCTGTATAACTGGAACTCTGGGTGGAACAGGGGCAGAACTGGTCCATGTGTAGGAAGACATATTTGGAGTGGGGATTCAAGTGAGGAGAAAAGTAGCTTGGAATGTTCCTAAGGATGCTGGGTTGATCAGTGTCCTCCCCCCAAGAAAGGTCAGGTCCACCCAGAAGTTGCGAATGTGACCTTATTTGAAAATAGGGTCTTGGTAGTTACAACTATGACTGTGGGTCCTAATCTAATGGGTGATATCCTTATAAGAAGAAAAAAAGACACAAGAAAAAAGACCAGGCAAGAGAGGCAGAGATCCGACTGAGCCATCGACAAGCCAAGGAGTGTCAGAGATCACCAGGAACCATCAGACACAAGGACAGAGGCATGAGACAGTCTCCTTCAGGGCCTACAGAAGGAACCGACCCTGCAGACCCCTTGAATTCAGATGTCTGGGCTCCAGAACTAGAAATAAACTTCTGCAGTTCTAAGCCATCAGTTTGCAGCAGAGTTTTACAGCAGCCCTTGGAAACAAAGCCACTAGGAAAGGAAGTTAAGCCACACAAGGGAGTTCGGGCTTTAAGTAACACGGAGCCTCTGAAGGTTTGACATAGGCAAGTATCTGTCAGCCCAGAGCAGAGCTTCCCCCTGGTATAGTGGAGAAAACAAGTCAGGAGCCAGTCAAGATGATGAGCAAGTTCACAGGAGAAAGTCCATTTTAGAAACACCTGGCTTCTCTGAGTCCCCCACTCCCAGCCCCAAGCAGCCACAGCCATCGCCCCTGTGCTGCACAAGTCTCCTCTTCCTCTGTGCGCACAGCAATGTGGGAGAGGCTGGGAGGCTCGATGTGAAATGAGTGAAAAGAGCCTGGAGGTCACAGAACAAGGTATTTCATCAGCCTGGAGAGGGCTGACAGGACCCAGGCCCAGGACAACGGTCACATGAGGATGGCAAGGAAGGGCCACATTTGAGACTGTTACAGGGAAAATCAGCAGGACACAGAGGATGTGGAAGTTGAAGAATACGGAGTGGAAGGGTGAGGAGCAGGAGGTCAAACCCTGTCTACAGGGCCACATAGGCCCCCAGCCACAGGGTCTCTACTGCAGCTACTACCTTGTGGCTGCCGAACAAAGGCAGCCCTGACAACACTAACTTGAGTGTAGCTGGGATGCAGTAAGCTTTCACTTACACAGGTGGGTGCCAATCTGGCCACAAGCCATCCTTTGCTGACCTCTGCCCTAGAGCTGGACTACCTGGGCCTACTGCATCTCTCTGCTTTGTCCTCCGCCACTGACCTGAGAATAACAGTGGTAGTGAACCTGAGAATTAAATGAGTTAATCTTATAAAGTGCCAAGAACAGTACCTAGCACATAAAAAGGCTCAAAAGCTATCAGTTGATATTTTTTTTGATAAATAAAAATGATAGGAGGCCACTGTTTAGGCTAGGCTCTTGCACTAGGCCCCACAAACCAGACTATCAAAATGGAATCACCCATGCTAAATTTACAACCAGTTGAAACTAAGCTGTTTATCTGACCTTCCATAAAAGGACAAATGAGAGACAACAGCCAAATTTCCCAGGCAGGACAGATTCAAGGGGTATGACAATGGGTTTCCTCTGGCTGGTCCTTACATCCTCTAATTTTTACCAGAAGTACCCTGGTCCTTACATCCTCTAATCTTGATCAGAAGTACCCTAAAGTAATCTGACACCAATAAATCAGTTACTTTTCCCATTGCTCTATTCCCCCTTATAAGTAAAGCAACTATGAAATGACCAATCTACTTCTTTCCTGACTGATTTCCTCAGCCCTCTATAACACCAGCCCCTGGGGCAGGGCAGGGCAGCCCATAACACTGACTCTCCTCTCCAGAATGAAATGTTGCCCAATTCTAGAATAGAAAATAAAGCCAATGAAGATCTTTAAGTTGTTGCAATTTTGTTCTTTGACAGATGTAACATTCAACAGCATGTTAAGAAATAAAGGGGAGAGCTGGGGTTGTGGCTCAGTGGTAGAGCGCTTGCCTAGCACATGTGAGGCACTGGGTTCAATACTCAGCACCGCATGTAAATAAATAAATAAAATAAAGATCCATCAACAACTAATAAAAATATTTGGATGGAAGGAAGGGAGGGAGGGAGGGGAAAAGTGGATTTCATGGGGGGAACTGGCAGACAATGTAATGGGATTGCTTTGCCCATGAAGTAGCTGTGGTATAAAATGAAATACACTTGGTCTTTGTCCCCACACAGCTCCTAAAATGATAGGAGCTGTCTTTTGTTATTCACAATGAATCACTTTTTATCACACTTGAGTTTATACTAATGGGTGACTTAGGGTGTTACCCCTAGACAGCCTTAGGATGGGTCAGTCACCAGGTGATTCAAAGGATGGGAATTTCACTCTAATCCCCATTAACCTCTGGGTGTTGGAATAGAGATTAAGCTCTATAAGAAAATTTAAATATGAGGTATGATGGTACACACCAGTAATCCCAGCTACTTAGGAGACTAAGGCAGGAGAACAGCAAGTTCAAGATCCTCCTGGGCAATTTGGTGAAACCCTGTCTCAAAATAAAAAGGGCTGGGAATTAAGCTCAGGGGTAGAGCATTTGCCTAGCACGCGTGAGGCCTTGGGTTCCCCTGGCACTGCAAAAAAAGAAAAAATGAACATGAGATTTGATGAGCTTCTAGACTGCTGAACCCTAGAGGATAAAGCATAGGCCCCTCTTCATCAGCTGTTCATCTGCATCCTTTATCATATCCTTTATAAATTGGTAGTGCTTCCCTGAGTCAGTGAACCATCCTGGCAAATTATCAAACCTGACAACAGATCACAGAAACTGTGGCTTTATGGCTGTCAGTCAGAAGGACAGGTCACAACCTGAAACCTACAACTGACATCTGATGTGGGGTCCAGCTAGTGGCCTGAGCCTTCACCTGTGGGGCCTGAACCACTCTGGCTGGGGCCAGAACTGAATTCAATTATAAGATATCTATTTGCCCTCTGCTGGAAAACTGCCTGGTGGGGCAGGGCAGACTCCCACATACCTCGTGTCAAAGACAATAACAGTCAAGTTACACAATCAGCCTAGGTGTCCACAGACAGGTGAATGGATAAAGAAAATGTGGAATATATACATAATGGAGTTTTGTTAAGGTGTAAAGAAAAATAAAATTATGTCATTTCCAGGAAAACGGATAGAACTAGAAAGCATCATGTTAAGCAAAATAAGTCAGTCTCAGAAAGACATTTATCATATTTTCTGTTACATGTGGAAGCTAGGGGGGAAAGGAAAATGGACATCATGAAAGTAGAAGTAGAAGGGAGAGTAACAGGGTAGAGAGGAAAGAGGGAGGGTATGGGAGGAACTAGGGAGTGAAACTATGCTACATGCATGAACCACACGCCACATGAACCCACCATTCTGCTTAATATGTACCAATAAAAAAAAAAAAAAGTACAATGTAAAAATAGAGAGAAAGTGTCTTATCAGACAAGCCTAAAACACCACAGAGGCATGAACATGAAGGTCAAAAGAGAGGTAGAGAATGGAGTTCAGGATGTGCTTTCCACATCCACTGGCAAAAATTCATACGTAGCAGCTGAAACTATGAAACACAATGAGTGAGAAAAAAATAGATGACGTCCTTCCTGCCCCTCAGTTTCTAGTGCATAAAATGAAAGTGATACAACCTAAGTAGAACATCAACTGTTTCCCTATCTCAGCAGACTAGCTTTGTTGTCTTCAGATAAAGAGACAGGCATCCTACCAAGGAATATAGTAGAAAAGAATGCACCCTCATCTCCCCACCACTGCAGGACAAAAGGCAGAGTCCTGAAACCCTAGAACACGGCCTTCCTCCCAGCTTGGAATCACATTTCATACTCACAGGCTCATTCACAGCATTTTGCATGGATACATTCTTAATGCAGATGCCAAATGCAAAAGGGTGGGAAGGATTGGTGACACCGTCTTCAAAGCGTAAATGGACATCTTGAATTTTTAACTGCAACGGGGAGAATTTAAAAAAAAAAAAAAAACAAACATTTAGATGGAATTCTATAGGTAGAGGACAAACTGCCCTTGAGCCACACAGGTACATCATAGCAGGCATTTTACACAAACATAACACACATATCCTCTATTCTGTAAATTCCTAAAAATTATAATTATCAGCTGCACCTGAATGATATTTCTTTGTGATTAGTGTCATCTCAACAAGAAAGCTACAATATTGCTGGACATGGTGGCATATGCCTGTAATCCCAGCGGCTCCAGAGGCTGAGGTAGGAAGATCACAAGTTCAAAGCCATCTCAACAACTTCGAGGCCCTAAGCAAGCCAGCAAGATCCTGTTTTTAAATAAAATACAAGGGGCTGGGGATGTGGCTCAAGCGGTAGAGCGCTCGCCTGGCATGCGTGCGGCCCGGGTTCAATCCTCAGCACCACGTACAAGGATGTTGTGTCCGCCGATAACTAAAAGGATAAATATTAAAATTCTGTCTCTCTCTCTCTCCCTCTCTCTTTAAAAAAAATAAATAAATAAAAATAAAATAAAATAAAAGGCTGGAATGGGATGGGGACATAACAGGCAAGTACAGTGCTTGCCTTGCATGCATGAAGCCCTGGGTTTAATCCCCAGCACCACAAAATGGTGGTGGGGGGGGAGATGCTGGGGATGTGACTCAGTGGTTAAGCACCCCTGAGTTCAATCCCTGAAACCAAAAAAGAGAACACCATTGTATTCTTCCCACTCTTGTTTTTTGCTGCTGCTGCTGCTGCTGTTGTTGTTTTGATACTAGGGACTGAACCCAGGAACACTCAACACTGAGCCACACCCCCAGCCCTTTTTATTTATTTATTTTGTGACAGGGTATCGCTAAGTTGCTGAGGCTGGCTTTGAACTTGCAATCCTCCTGCCTCAGCCTCTCAAGTTGCTGGAATTACAGGTGTGCACCATAGTGGCCAGCTGTGCTACCTTATCTTGTATGTCCCAGTATTTAAATCCAGAAACACCAGCAAGGCACGTAAACTTTGTATATATGTATACATATATGTATTTCTCCTGGCCCTATAAGGGGGCTTCAGAAAAGTCACTCTCTATCAGTGAATTAAAAGTAACATAGAAAATAAAAAGACAATGTGCAAAACGGGAGAAACTATTTGCAAATCATATATGTGATAAGGGACTAGCATTCTGACTATATAGAGTTCTTATAACTGATTAATAAAAACACAAACTAGTTTTTTAAATAGGCAAAAAATTCCAATAGATATTTCTCCAAAAAAAAGACACAGGGCTGGGAGCAAGCTCTGGTAGAGCACTTGCCTAGTGTGGATAAGGACCTGGGTTCCATTCCCAGGACAAAAAAAAAAAAAAAAAGATATCTCTATGGCCAATAGACATATGGAAAGGTCCTCAACATCACTGCCCATTAAGGAAATACAAATCAAAAGCACGAGGAAGGGCTGGACTGTGGCTCAGTAGCATAGTACTTGCCTCGCACGGAGGAGGCCCTGGGTTCGATCCTCAGCACCACATAAAAATAAATAAATAAAATAAAGGTATTGGGTCTATCTACAACTAAAAAAAAAAAAAAAGCACAAGGAGATGGCACTTCACGCCCACTATTGATAGGGAATGAGTGGTGGGAGCACGAGGTTAAGGTTAAGGGAATACTTCTATCAACTGAGCCCACTGTGCTGACCCCACAGGCTTTCTCAGCCCTGCCTGACTTTGTACAGTACTCAGTAAACTTCCTCTGCAGGGGAAATGCAGGCCCAAAACACTCATAAGATCACAAGTTAGCCTGAAGGGGGCACTTTTGTGACCCTCACACAAACCAGAATCCAGAACTCAGGAAGGTAAAGAAAATTCCCCCACTCATAAAATCTGTAAGAAAAGGTTCCAATTAGAACCAGTCAGCAAGGGCCAAAGTGACCTAGAGTTGTCGAGCACAGTGGGAAATTCAAAGTCTGATGTCAAAAGTCAAGAGATAAGGAGGCTAAGGTTGTGGCTCAGCAGTAGAGCACTCGCCTAGCACGTGTGAGGCCCCAGGTTCAATCCTCGGCACTACATAAAAATAAATAAATAAACGTATTATGTCCAACTACAACTAAAAAATAAATATTAAAAACAAAAAAAAATGTCAAGAGATGGACCTGGGCAAGACTGTCTGGAAACTCCTCCGGGACCCCCCAATAAAACTAGAAGCAGGGGCTGGAGATGTGGCTCAAGCGGTAACGCGCTCGCCTGGCATGCGTGGGGCGCTGGGTTCGATCCTCAGCACCACATAAAATAAAATAAAGATGTTGTGTCCACTGAAAACTGAAAAATAAATATTAAAAAACATTCTCTCTCTCTCTCCCCCCCCCCCCCCCCCCCCCCCCCCCCCCCCTCTCTTTAAAAAAAAAAAAAAAAACTAGAAGCAGGAGAGGTGCACTATCCCTCTCCTCTCCAAGAGGACTCACTCTCTCCTTGACAGCATCCCCTTCTCCCATTTCCTATCCCTTCTAATAAGCTCGTGTCTGTTACTCTGAGCAAACTGTCTGAAATCTTTCTGGCCTGGTGGCAAGGGGTGGGGCTCTGTGCTGCCTCAGTCTTGCGGAAGCCTCTGGCCTGGAACACTTGGGTTCCCTGCCTGCTCATCATCAGTTCCCCTGTCCTTTCTGGGTGCTTCCTCTGCTCAGTCTCGCCTGGACCTCCATTCTCCACCTAAGATTCTTGGTGACTAGAGAAAAAATTGAGGTAATGGATGGGTTTGGGCTAGAGCACACTCTAGTAAAAATCTGCAGATCTCTTGATTGGAACTCAGACACACAGCCCTCAGGAGTAAGAATTAAGGCTTTCACCCTCCATCTTTTTGGAGAACAAATCTCGCCCACTGGAAATTGAAAGGTTCTTGGCAAGGACAATACCTTTGTAGAGTCCTAAGGCCAGTGAGCACAAGATTCTGAACCCCAAAGCCTGTTAGCATAAAGAGACCCCTTTCTCTTCATCTCATCCTCTCATCTTTCTCTTCACACCAACAAAACCTAATAGGACCTCACTCAAGGCTCAAATCAGTGGGAACTTTAATTCACGTCTAAGGTAAAAGTATACCCTCCATCTCTGGATCAGGATGCCCTATTCAATGCTTCCTGGGCTGAAAATGGCAACTGTCCTTACTCCTTAGCCACCTGCCTGATATCTACCCCTCTGAGGCCTACATATAGAAGCTGATTGAGCAATTGCGCAAACTGGTCTGAAACTAGAAAAAAAAGCTTCACTTTTAAATCCAAGCTGCTGAGGACATAAATGGCTGTTGTGTATCTTTTTTTTTTTTTTTTTTTTTTTTTGGTGTGTGTGTGTGTGTGTTACTGTGGATTGAGCCCAGGCCTTGTGCACGCGTGGCAAGCACTCTATCACCTGAGCTACATCACCAGCCCTGTTGTATTTTTGCTTATACTCTGGGATTCTGCTAAGTTCCTCACAAAATGCTAGAGAAAGAGGGAGACAGAGCGAACGGGAACTGGAAAGGCCAGCTGCACCAGGAGCCAGACCTTTTTAAGGATGCTTAAGACATCTGCACCTATAAGCCAGGGAATGTCAGGGGACACCCCACTTCCCACAAAGTTTTTCTCTTCCCTCCGGATGGGGAACAACTGCACAGGGAAAGAAAGTGGAAAGATCCCATGTGTATGTTTTCTTTTTCTCAAGAATCTTCCAGAAGTCCACCCTCTCCCCAAATCTTATGGGCTGACATATTAAGTATCTGGGCTGACTCTAATCTGATGTGTTCCTGTACTGGAGTAATTACAGCCGTGTCCTTTTTTTTTTTGGTAGTGCTGGGGATTGAGCCCAGGGCCCTGTGCATGAAGGGCAAGCACTCTACCAACTGAGCTATGTCCCCAGCCCTTTCCTATCCTTTTTTGAAAATCTCGTTATTAAGCTCATGTTTTTTCTACTGAATTCACCTTTGGTCCTATATAAATTAATATATTTTTTGTTCCAATTAGTCGTGTTTTATCTAACTAGTCTTTTGTTTGTTTGTTTTGTTTTATAGCCTTCTGGTTTATCCTGTCTTTATTCAGGGGCCAATTATTCAAGGGTTAACTCTCAAATACACTGGAAATGGAACAAGAGCATTCTCTTTGAAGGTTCTAAAAATGATGATAAACAATGGTGACGAATGAAGTGGCTCTACCTCATGGATGGACAAGTGGCTGATTCAGTGTCTAGACAGGATTGGGAGAAACTGGCTCAGCCCTCCCCACTGTTCAGGCCTGTCCCAGGTCTCCAGTCTATAATCCACTGCTCACTCACATAAAGGGCATCTGGGACAGGATCTGTTGTAACTTCTAAAGGGTGAAATTTGACAGTCTGCATAAGAAACATCTGTAGCTTTCTGTCTCTGGTTTAAAAAAAAAAAAAAGCAATTACAAAATCTTTATTTCCGGGGCTGGGGCTGTAGCTCAGTGACAGAGCACTTGCCTAGCACATGTGAGGCACTGGGTTCAATCCTCAGTACACATAAAAATAAATAAACTAAAGATATTAAAAAAAACACTTTGGCTCAGGATATAGCTCAATGGCAGAATGTTTGCTTAGCATACATGAGGCCCTGGCTTCATTCCTCAACACCACTAAAAAGTAAAATAAAATAAATCTTTATTTCCTCTTTTTTATGTGTACTTATGCACTCCTGCATATTGTATATTGTGTCTACATAGTGTTTACATGGTACCAAAATTGGCTTATAGATAAATGAGAGCTCATAAAATTAAATTTAAAAGAAATGGATCCAGGGCTGGGATTGTGGCTCAATGGTAGAGTGCTTGCCTAGCACAGGCGGGGTCAAGGTTCAATTCTCAGCACCACATAAAAATAAAGGCATTGTGTTGTGTCCATCTACACCTAAAAAATAAATATTTAAAAAACAAAAAGAAAGAAAGAAATGGATCCAGATGCCTTTTAAATCAAGTAACAAATAAACAAAATGATCAATTTAAATTGATTGGAAAAAATAAAAATAAAGATGTCTTTATAATTACTAATCCATACATTTCCCTAGGAGTTGGGCAATCAATAGAGCATTGGTCGGTTAAAAAATGTTTGAAATGTGAAATGAAATATCCATTGTTTTTAGCATTTTTCTTTGGCAGGAAGAAAATAGCTTACAATGTTAACTAGACTGAAATATAAGCTTTCATGGGTAATCTAAGGTGAAGAGTTAAAAATTGGCAAATTAGATTTAACATAAATGGGACTGATCTTTATATATTAGAGGAGATATCTGATTAATTTGCAAAGTTAAGATTCTAAAACATCAACTGCTAAATATAAAATAAAGTATTCTTGCCTTCTTAAATTCTGTGAAACAACATATGTTTTTACAAACAGTTGATAAATGGAAAAACAGTTTAAGATTACTGTTTCTGGGTCTTCACTAAAAGCAAGGTTACTAAGAGCTAAAATTCTAATTAACAATGTAATTCTATATGCAAAAAATACAAAGGATTTAATCTGTGCTTGAATTGGAAAAATGTATTTCATCTAATTAAAGAGAATTTGTCTAAATTTAGCAATTTCATAAGGATTTTTTTCAAAATGTACACTTAAAAACAGTCAGCAACTAGGAAAGAGATATAAGAAAGCTATAGGTACAAAAATATACTTGGTAAGGAAAAGAAAATGTTTTTAGATGAAAAAAGATTAGAATAAGATTTTCGTCTTAAATTCCAAGACAAAAAAGAGAGGACAAAACTACAGATGTAAAGAAGTTGCAGAGTATCTAAGTAAGTTACACAAGGTTTGTGGAAGATAAATCTTAAAAGAGTTTGTGTATGTGATTAAGTTGGCTATAATTAGTACAGTCAATTAAAGATATGTAAGGGTTTTTCCTAAAGTCAAATTTTCAGTGTACTGATACAAAACCACAATCTAATTCTCTATGTGTTAAAACAGAAAGGTTTTCTTAAAACATTGATCTGCTCTTATTTGTCAAGATAATTTCTTGGGTCTATTAGGGAAACTAAACTTTAAAGGAATTAGGGTTCATACCATTTTAAAGTCTTTTAAATGATTGTTTTATAATTCTAGTTAAATAATTAACCCTTATTTGAGGTTATTACACTATAATTAACACTCTAAAACTGTGAGACTAAAGATATGTATACATCTGAGAACTAAATGTGTTTGTCCAAATTTTGTCCAAGTGTTATGTAAAAATATGAAAGCTATGTAGGTCTGATACAGGCAAGGTAACCAATAAATGCTCTTTTTCATACATGTATCTGACATAAAAAGGGCCACACCACCATTTAAAAACCTGGCTTACATCGATTTGCTTTGACTACATAAGTGTTTTATGTCAATGACACATTTATACATCAGATAGTGAGCCTGCTTCTGATAATTAACACTGTTTCCTGAACTTATAATAGATAAAGCTATTCTTTAATTTTTGTCAATGCTGCTAACCTATGCACAACTGTGATGACAGTTATCCTATACTATGGATTCTTTAAAAGTTAAAACTAAGCTAACGTTAAGGAGAGCTATGTCACTATAACACTAATTATACTGTTTTTTTTTTTTTTTGTATACTAGGTTTTTTGTTGTTGTTTTGTTTTTGTTTTGGTACTGGGGGTTGAACCCAGAGATGCTTATACTGAGCCACATCCCTAGTCCCTTTTTATATTTTATTTAGAGGCAGGGTCTCATTAAGTTGCTGTTCTAAGCTTTATATTTTAAAAGATTTGTATAATTGGAGGACAAGATTACATCTGATGTTGGGTGCAGTGGCACATGCCTATAATCTCAGTGGCCCGGGAGGTTGAGGCAGGAAGATCACGAGTTCAAAGCCAGCCTCAGCATCTTAGCGAGGCCCTAAGCAACTTAGCATTTTACCAAGCTGGTGTTCTCCAAACTGAAACTGTTAGTAACAGTAGCTCTTTCAGATTTATATAAAAATAACAAATTTAGTTGGGGATTTACTTATGTCACTTAATGTTTTGTAACTGGATAAAAGTAACCTGCCATCAATAAGTGATAAAGATTTTATGTCATTCTTTACACTGGGATGAAATTTAAATATATTTTTTGAAGGTTATAAGGAAAGTCACATTTGTTCGAAGGTTGACGATGTGGAATATGAAAACATTTTGCCACTTTTTCCACAAAAAGGAATTGAGAGCTTTCTTAGCCTATTTCATTCAAGTTTCAGATGTAATGTGTTATGTTTACTGATATTCAGATATACTCAGGAAATGAGAAATTTGTAGAATGATATTTTTAAAAGAGGCAAAGATTAGCTTAAAAAATAAAACACTTTAGCTGGGCACGGTGGTGCATGCCTGTAATCCCAGCAGCTCAGGAGTCTAAGGCAGTAGGATCACAAGTTCAAAGCCCATCTCGGCAACAGCAAGGCACTAAGCAACTTATGCCCAAAGATAAGATTTTTTGTTGTAAACATTACTGTGATTTCAAAATAAAAAGGGATAGAATACATAACAAAGTAAAGGTTCCAGTAAGTTATAAAAGGTACCTAAAGGAAAGGCTATAAAAAAAGTTTTTAAAATATGTGGGGGTCAGCAGAGGGGGCCCAGTTTATAGAATTATTCCCTTACCTCCTGTTCCCACCACTCACATTCCCTGTCATTCCCCTACAAAGACTCATAAATTTATCAACTCAATATGACTTGAAATTCTTTATATGAAATGTCCGCAAGAGGCAACTCCATAGAGAAAGTAGATTAGTGGTTGCTAAGGAAAGCAGAAAGGAACTGGTAAGGAGTACCAATTCAACATGAGACTCTCTGGGGATCATGAAAATGTTCTAAAACTACATAGCAGTGATCAATGCACACCGTAAATATTCTAAAAAAACTAAACCATTTTCTGGTGTATGAACGATATCTAAATAAAGCTGTTATTAAAATTAAACTAAAACAAAAATAACAAGTATTCAGTTTTTAAAAATCAATGACAAGCCAGGCGAAGTGGCACACACCTGTAATCCCAGTGGCTCAGAAAGGTGAGACAGGAGGATCACGAGTTCAAAGTCGGCCTCAGCAACTTAGAGAAGCCCTAAGCAACTCAATGAGACCCTGTCTCTAAATAAAATACAAAAAAGGGCTGGGGATATGAGTCAGTGGTTAACTGCCCCTGAGTTCAATCCCTGGTACCAAAAAAAAAAAAAAAAAAAAAAAATCAATGACAGCTAAAATAAATATTAAATAACTGCCTGAAACAGAATTCAAAGTAGTCACTTCAAGCGTACCAATCTTTTTGTCAAAGTAGGAAAGTTAGGAAACCAACTACCCAGACTCTGTTTTTTGGGGGGAGCATGACATTTGGCTTGGGTCACCTTGGCATTTCAAGAAAACCCTGGTGGTCATAAGTATGGGCTAACTTTCATGATATTCACGAAAATCAGCAAGGACCCTGATTTAGTTTTGAAGACAAAACAAAACTGTAACTATAGGGCTGGGGATGTGGCTCAAGCAGTAGCGCGCTCGCCTGGCATGCGTGCGGCCCGGGTTCGATCCTCAGCACCACATACAAACAAAGATGTTGTGTCCGCCGAAAACTATAAAATAAATATTAAAAAAAAAAAAAAAATTCTCTCTCTCTCTCTCTCTCCCCCCGCCCTCTCTTTAAAAAAAAAAAAAAAAAAAATGTAACTATAGTAGAAAACATGACCAATCACCCTAGCACTGTAACTCATCAAACTGCCATCAGGTAGATGCATGAGAGGTTAACTACCTTCATGGGCTGCTCACAATTTGCTATATAATCTACTAGACACCAGGTATCAAGCTCTCTCATTTCACAGATGAAGGAACTTGAGATCAGAGTGTGACTTGCCCTGAAACCACAGAATCATCAAGGCATCAGCAGCCTGGCTTCTGAGGATATGCATTCTTTAGCAAGTGGGATTCCAACACTCAAAAAGAAAGTGCAGTAAGGGAAATGGAAGTTAAATGAGAACTCCTACTCGCAGCAGCTGAAGAAGAAAAGCCCACGTCTGGCACACAGCACAGGCCTGCTTTTCAGGTTTTCCTTTTGGCCCAGCCTGCAAACGGGCACACCTGAGCAGCCAACCCTCCACACACCCTGCATTGGTAAAACCCACAAGAAACAAGCAACCAAGAAGTGAAACACATTTAAGCCTGAGAGATCCCTTTCATGTTTACTCTTATAAAAAGTCAATGTGACTTACTTCGATGTTCTCCACAATTCTCGTAACAACTGAGGCAGTAACTGAATACCAGTAGGATTCCCCTTTCTGCTGGCGCTCATTCTGCAAGGGAAAGAACCAGTGTTAGTAGAGTCTAGTGCTTGCTCATCTCGGGAGTGTCCCCACAAATGTCCCTGCAGCCAAAGCACTCTCTGCCTTGCCTTCCACTTCTCCTCCAGGGCTTGAAGGAGCGCTTTCTTGCGTTCCCTTTCCAACAGCTTCTCCTTTTCATCGTTGAAGTCCTGGATTTTCTCAGGGGCTCCAATTAAGTGGAGGCTGGAGATAGAGATCACCCAGGGGTCCACATGTGGGCGGTAAAAGGGGATCTGAAGAGTCACTTTTCCAATGAAGCCTGGGAGCAGAAGGAAAGACTCATTAAATGCCTGTGCACAATTTTAATTCTTGCCGTTTCTCAGACTTTTTCTAGTTCCCTTTACAGGGCATGATTACTTTCGCCATTTATTTTTTAATTTAAAATATTATGCAGCAGATTCTTCCACATGTGAAACAAGTTGAGCTCTGTGACAGCCAGGCAAAATGCAGCAAGCTGGAAAAAGCTCAGCGAGACACCACACCAAAGGCAGTCTCCCTCCTCTGGAAACTCTCCCTAGCTGGACCCCCTTTAAACTTTCTTGGGGTGTCTCTTACCACTGCACACACATAAGCCCTGGACACAAAACTCATTTCTTGTTAATTATGAACCAGTTGGTTGATAACTACTCCTTGGAAGTTATCAGACCTACACTCTTTCCAACCTTGACAGAGCCATCACTAACTGAAACACAGATAGCCAGCCCTGTATGGCCACTGTAATAAAGAACTCTGAGAACCACAGCTGAAGAGAAAGTTAAATGGCCTGACAAACTCGTGATACTTGTTTCCCAAGTCCTTCCATTTCTAGCCAAGTCTCTCAGAATATAAGCTTTCTTTAAGTCCAGAGCCCTGGCTGCAAGAATCACAGAGCCTCTGCATGTACTAGAGGCTCTCTCGAGGACCCCACAGCCCACCTACAACTGTGCCTCTGAAAGCAGCAAACAGTATCAGTGTGATCATTACCCTCTGAGATACAGAACTCAAGAAGAAGCTACCTGTCAGATTAAGATAAGAGAATGGCCTTGACATTGACATTTTTCTTCTTCCTTTCTTTTTTAGAGTTCTGGGGATGAACCCAGAGCCTTGCACATGCTCTACTACTAAACTACCTCCCAACCCTATTACCTTATCTTCAATATTTATGATGACTTTTATACAATTTTATATGTCCCAGGTTACAAAGCCAAAAATGGCAAATACAAAATTAAATTTAAGCATAGTATTCCAGAGCCCACCTCTTATTCAAAAACCTCTCAGTAACATCTATCATGAATCCTCTGTAAGAACCCTCTGTATCTGGAACAGAGGTTCTCACACCTTAGTAAACATCAGAACCACTTGGGGTGCTTATTAGACATGTGGGCTATTCTGACTCTGTGGGCCTGGGGATCACCTGATCTCCCCACTGCCAGCCACAGGAAATGCTGACACAGTGGCTCAGAGACCAGGCTCCAAGACTGAGTTCAACTCACACTTCCTCTCCTTCCTTTTCCTCAAATAGACAAACTCCAAGGCTCTTAGTTTTCATTTCCAAATAATCTGAGATCCAAAACTTGCTCCCTCTCTTTACTTCCACATACCAGCTTTGACTTCAAAGGGCAATTCCAGTTCTTTCAAGGCATCCTTCTTTAAGGGCAGGTTTTCTAATTCAACAGCACCTGAAAGTAGAAACATAAACCATTCATCCAACAAAAATACTAGGTGCCTACTATGTGCAAAGCACTGAAGGTTAAAGGGAAAGTTTTACACCTAGAACAGGGCCATGCTACCAGCTACCCATATGTTTTACTGTAATACAAATTTCCTGATCACCCATTCTGACATGTACATGACAGCTAGAGGCTTAACAGCCTTGGAGAGTTCAAGCAAAGCTCTAACTTCTTCCATAACAGGCCAGACAGTAAATAGCTTAGGCTTTCTATACGTTACATATTCTCCTTTTACTTATGTATTGGTTTTCTGTTGTTGTGGGGGCGAGGGTCTCACTATTATTGTCCAGGATGGCCTTAAATTCTTAGTCTTAAGCTATCTTCCTGCCTCAGTCTCCCCATAGCTGGGACTACAGCACACATACTGTACCCAGTTTTGTTTATTTATTTTTTCAACAAGGCTTAAAAAACATCAAAGCCATCCTGAGCCAGCAGGTCAGATCTGGCCCGCTGGCCTATGTGCAGACCCCAACTTAGGCTAATACTTCCCACAGGACCATCAATATCCAACTCCCTAGGATAAAAGGTAGGCTCCTGGGCCCCATCCCCACACCTACCAGATCAGAACCTGTGAGACTGAAACACAGGAATCTGCCTTTTTTTTTTTAATCTTTATTTAATTAATTCATCTATATGTGGTGCTGAGGATTGAACCCAGGGCTTCACACGTGCTAGGTGAGCACTATACCACTGAGCCCCAGCCCCAGCCCCAGAAATCTGCCATCTTAACAAGCTGTCCCCACCTTCGTCCCTCTCCCCCAAAATAAGCGCAGTGCACAAAATGTTCACAAGCTCATGGATTAGCTCAATGAAACTGGTCATCAAAGGAAGTCCTCACTGTCTTCTGGAAAGGCCTCTTCCGTGAGCTCACCCTCTGCACCACCACCTGCAGGTGGATGGGCACTTGGCCAGAAAGCAAAGGAAGACCAGGAACCACTGAAGGGCCTCCTCAGTCCCTGCTTCATGATGGCTTAAACCCAGAAGTTCACAGACCAGAAAGCAGCTAGATCTCATGCTCTGCGATAGTTTGAGTCTGAAATGTCCTCCAAAGGCCCATGTGCTAAAGGCTTGGTCCCCGGCCACTGGGGCAATTGGAAGGTGATGGAACCTTAAGTGGCGGGCCCTAACTAGAAGTTAAGTCATTGGGGGCATGACCTTGAGGGAATATTGGTGCCGGGCCCCTTCCTGGTTTTTTTTTCCAGCTGCCATGAGGTAAACAGTACTCCCCACCAAAGGTTGCTCCTGCGACCTGGCCACAGGCCCAGAGGCAATAAGGCCAAGCAACCATGGACTGAAACCTCTGAAACCGTGAGCCAAATAAACCTCTCCTTCTTTTAAGTTGATTAGCTCAGGTATTTCGTCACAGTAACGGAAAGCCAACTAACACACTCTCCCAGCCATGGGAGCCTTCCGTTCATTCACACATACTGAGCCCTACTCTGTACTTGGCCCTGTGCTGGCCACCGGGAACATAAGGAGAGAAAGTAGGATCCTCAGCCCCAAACCTCTGGGGAAGGAGCCATGATTTTACAAAACTGAACAATACAAGACAATTTCTGAGCCACTCAAATCTGTCTGAGATCTGTACTTTCAAAAACAGGTAAGGAGATCACAGCAGTGCCGCCTGTAATCTCAGCAACTGAGGCAGGACCACCACAAGTTCAAGGCCAGCTTCAGCAACTTAGCAAGACCCTGCCTCAAAATAAAAATAATAAAAAGAACTGGGGATATGGCTCAGTGGTTAAGCACCCCTGGGTTCAATCCCTGATACCAAAAAAAAAAAAAAAAATTATAAAGCTGTTCACTTATTTCCAGGCAGACAATTTACAGGCATGTTCATGGATGATGGATGTCTTATCCCAAAATTCCTCATGCTTGCTTAGCATGCTCAAAGCCCTGGGTTCAATGCCCCGCGCGCGCACACACACACACACACACACACACAAAAAAAAAAATCTCAAAATCAGATTAGCAAGAAATCTATTCCCTGAAACTGGGATGAATTTAGAGGTTGGACATTTTTCAGCAATCTCTATTGATTCCTGGATTGCTTTCCTTTGTTCCCAATTATTTAAAGGGTCAGTCAGAGGCCCAGAGCTTATAAAAAGAAAAAAAAAAAAAGAGGAAATTGAAGTTGAGGGTTACCAATTTGAAGATATGCCCACAGACCAAAGTTCAGACCCCTCCCCTGACGCTGGCAGCCTCTTCCTGGAAGTTTTCAGCCCTTGCTCACAGGCTTCACTCTAGCTGGAGAGAGGTGACTACCCGTGGCCACCCATCAAAATACTATTAAGTCCACCCAAAAGCTAATCCACAGTCCTACAGACTGCATGAAAAGCACCCCTGCTCAGCTCCACTGCGGTGTGCCTCCACCTCTAGTAAGACAGTGAACACAGACCGCCCTGCAGTGCTGTATGATCTTCCTCCACACCAGGCTAGCACCTCTCTGAGAACAAGGACTACAGAGGTGGAGGGGGAGCATCATCATAATAGCACCTATAAGCGAGTGAGATCATACTACATGCCAAGCACTTCATTCACATTATCTCCCTCATTTTCCCCCCCTGCAGTGCTGGGGATGGAACCAGTGCCTCACACATACTAGGCAAGCACTCTACCACTGAGCTACACCTCAAGCCCTTGCATCATCTTATTTAATCTTCTTAATAATGCAAGGAAATACTGTGAATTGAATATCCCTTACCCATAATGCTCAGACCAGAAGTGTTTCAGATTTCAGAGTCTTTTGGATTCTGGAATATTTGCAGAGACTTTACTCCAAAATGCTCTGAAATCAGAAACTTTTTGAGCATCATATCAGCACTAAAAATGTTCTAGATTTCACAGCATTTTGAATTTTGGAACATTTCAGATTACAGATGTTCAACCTAAATTAGTTTTCCAATTTTTGAGGTGAGAAAAATGAGGCTTAAAGGACAAGCAATTTGCTTAGAAATCTCAGATCTGGAAGTGGTACCACCAGAGTTCATAGAGATCTGCCTGACCTCAGGTGGCAGGGGAGTGGGGGAAGAGGGGCCTCTGGACCCTGCTCACAGTCAGAGACAGCTTGTACATGGGTGAAACCAAAGTTTGGAGCCTGAGCCTGAGCTCTCAGGATCCCCTTTTTCATATCAGTCCACAGCCCAGAGCCTTGCCCATGGCAGGTGCTCACTTAATGTCTGATGAATGAGTGAACAAGGGAACTCTTTTTTTTTTTTTAAACAGATACAATATTTTCTTATACCTTTATTTTATTTATTCATTTTTATGTGGTGCCAAGCATTGAACTCAGTGCCTCACACATAGGCAAGTGCTCTACCACTGAGCTCCAGTCTCAGCCCCATGAATGACCTCTTAATACAAGGGCTGTCTCCATACGTCCTTCAGTGGTTCTTAAGACAGAACCAAGGGCCTCATGCACAGTAGGTAAGCACTCCACCACCAAACTAGACCCCCATCCCAAGAATAATATTTTTTAATATATATTTCTTTATTTATATATGACAGTGGAATGCATTATAATTGTTATTACACATATAGAGCACAATTTTTTATATCTCTGGTTGTATACAAAGTATATTCACACCAATTTGTGTCTTCATACACGTACTTTGGATAATAATGATCATCATGTTCCACCATCATTTCTAACCTCATGCCCCCTACCTTCCCCTCCAACCCCTCTGCCCTATCTAGAGTTCATCTATTCCTCCCACACTCCCCCTCCCTACCCCACTATGAATCACCCTCCTCATATCAAAGAAAACATTTGGCATTTGGGATTGGCTAACTTAAATATTTTATTAGTTGTTGATGGATATTTTATTTATTTATTTATTTAAATGCAATGCTGAGAATCAAACCCAGTGCCTCACACATGCTAGGCAAGTGTTCTACCACTGAGCCACAACTCCAGCCCCAAGAATAGTATTTTTAAAAAAGGAAATAAGAATAGAAAAGCAGCTTAAGGTACCAGAACCATGCATACAGATATGTTCTATCTAAAGATGCCAAGATTACTAATCTGTCCTGAACACTGATTCTGGGTGGGACAAATCAGACCCCGTTTAAGCTTCTAGTTGTTAATTCCTTCAGCAAAAACACTCTTACCACATCCCTCAAGAAAACCAGCTCTTTTTTTTTTTAATATTTATTTTTTTAGTTATAGGTGGACACAATATCTTTATTTTATATTTTTGTGGTGCTGAGGATCAAACCCAGTGCCTCACATATGCTAGGCGAGCGCTCTTCCTCTGAGCCACACCCCAGCCCCGAGAAAATCAGCTCTTTTATTGGTCTGCAGTTCTCTTTCTAGGTCTCTTACCTGTACCTCATACAACTTAGTTAGCTTCACAGTGTTTCTGCAAACTTCAGTAAGTGACCCAAGAGGTGTACCTGACACTGCACCTGACACTATACTGCCCTTTAAATCATCCTCACTTTCCTCTTGGCAGCTTCCTTCTAAGGACAGGAGAACAGGGAGAAATCCACTTGTTTCCAATGAAGAAGAGATGTGGGGAGGAACAAATGTGATAGCTCCCACAGTCTTCTGCCACATCATTTGCTTGGACTAAAAGGATCAGAAATTCTTGGAAAGTGTCAGGCATGATGGAACACATCTGTAATCCCAGCCACTCAGGAAGCTGAGGCAGGAGGACCACAAGTTCAAGGCCAGCCTTAGCAACTCAATGAGGCCCCAGCAATTTAGCAAGACCCTGTCTCAAAATAAAAATTTTAAAAAGGACTGGGATATAACTCAGTGGTAAAGCAAACCTGAGATTAGTGCCTAATACCAAAAATAATAATAACAATTCTTGGAAAGCAACACTTTTTTGGAACAGGGGAAGCATTGATATCCTCTCAGACTCTGCAAAGACCTGTCTCTGCTATCTCTACTAACCTGTCCTCGTCCACTGGCCAAAACAAACCCCCAGGAAGCTGGGTCTCCATTGCTGTTTAAGACCTTTCCACCTTCTCTGATTCTGCATCCTTGCAGACTGACTTTACCTTCTTTCTCTACATATATTAAAGGGTTCCATCTCAAGTTGGGCAAAGAGAATTTAAATTAAAACAATGAAAAGAGGGAAATGCTGCTTTCTAATTCCCCACACCAAATGACAAGACTGCATTTACTAATATAGGCCAGTAAAGACTAAAATGCCTCAAGCTTTAGGTGCCAGGCTACTAAGCAAGGCGAGTCTCACAGTAGCATATTCTGACACTTCTAGTAGGTGTCTGCTACATAGCAGGAGTCCAAAATATTTCAGTCTTACTTCACTGATCCTTAGAGCAACCTTGTGGAGGTATATCATCTTCTTTTCTCAAGAAACTAAGGCACAGAATTTCATTATTAGCTATTTCAATATTAGTTATTGTTCATTTAGCTTAGAAGTGACAAAACTGTACTTAAAGCCAAAATCAATGCCACTATCACTACTTGTAGCCTCACAAAGCTAAAAATATAACGGAGTGAAGCTCAGTCACTAGTAGTATAGTTTGTCTTTTAAAAATTTTAATGAAACCCTAAACCCTAATTGGGGTGCACGCCCGTAATCCCAGCAGCTTGGGGGACTGAGGTAGGAGGATCACGAGTTCAAAGCCAGCCTTGGCTAAAGAAAGATGCTAAGCAACTCACTGAGACCCTGTCTCTAAATAAAATATAAGATAGGGCTGGGGATGTGGCTCAGTAGTCAAGTGCTCCTGAGTTCAATCCCCATTACCCCCTCCCCCCAAAAAATGCCCTAAAACTGCATCAATACAGCATACTTAAGTTACCCCATAATAGTCATCAATCACATGGGAGAATGTATTCTCTTTTACACATATTTAGTACAAAGCCATGTGAGCATTAGGTTTTATTATCCTCAATACTATATATATAGGGGGGGGGGGGAAATATATATATACAGAAATGCCATCTGCAAAGCCATACTTTACCAAACAAAAAAAACACAGTACTCACCTTTGAGAAGCGCAACTGAGAGCTGATCAGTGTTCAGGTTATTGACATATTTCCCCAAATAGGTATTGAGAACCCAGGCTACGAGACCTTCCAACATGACTATGTCCTCAGGAAAAAGTGCTTAAAAATCATGGATCATACTTTCCCTTTCTCTCATGGTTACGGAAGAATCTGTGAAAGAAAAAAAAAAGGAAATCAACAAAGGAAAAAAAAAATGGATGATTTTCTAAGCTGATTCCTTATTTGACCTCCCTGAATGTGCATGAATGCAAAGCACAGCTCAAAGTGATGGGGACCAGGTGGGAAAGCTCTAAGGTTCCCTGTCAGGCACAGGCGGTCATGCCAGCCCAGTTCCATTCTCATGCAGCCACAAGGACAGCCATTCTTGTAAATTTACTTAAACTTTCCACAATTCAAAGCTGTGTATCTTTGCAATGTAACTGCTCAGTGACCTGCTGGCTTTTGGAGGAGCCACCTTGAGATTAATTAGATTGCCCTAATCAGAGGTTCTCATATGGCTGGGATCTGGCAATATCTTAAGATGTGAGGGACTTTTCATTTGTTCATTATTGGGAACTGAACCCAGGGGTGCTTTACCACTAGCTAGATCCCTTCTTGGTTTTTTTTTTTTTTTTTTTTTTTTTTTTTTAACTTTGAGACAGGGTCTTGCAAAGTTGCTTAGGGCTTTGCAAAAAAAGCCAAGGCTGGACTCAAACTTGCAATCCTCCTTCCTCAGCCTCCCAAGGTAGTTAGGATTACAGGCATGCATCATCATGTCAAGCTTGAGGACATATTTGATTATCATGCCTTCAGAGCCTGCTACCAGTCTCTATGATAGAGACCACAAAAGCTGCTAAACATCCTACAATCACAAAAACACCCCTCACAGCAAGAATTATTCAGCCCAAATGTCAACAGAGCCAATGCTGAGAAACCCTAATCCAGATTAAGGAAAAATGCCCTGGGAGATTGTATAAATGAAATTCATATTCTGCAAAGATCCTCGTTAAAGCTACCATAATTAAATTGTGCTCACATATTCTTGAGGATCATTCATAAAAATCATATAAATAGGAGAGATTAGACAGTGCTTTATCACTAATCTTAAATGCACTGTGACTGCTTGACTGGTACCTGGGCACCAGATGCTGCTGACACAATGGATTATCTTAGTCAATAATGACAAACACCAGAAATCCTCTGGTTGCAGCTACAGTACCAAGATTCAGTACTGAAGTAATACTGCATATTACTGGTATTTATCAGCATTACAAATATACTTGATTTTAATACAAAAAGTTAACAGGAGGACTGAGACACAAAAGTTTAAATGGGTTCTCAGATCGCTCAGTTCACAGATCCCATCTACAACCATGGGCTGCAAATCTTGCTCTGAACTCCCCAGGCTGTCATCAGCCATCTCGTCACACTCCATATTCTCTACAGCATGCATCCCACTTGGAGCCAGCCTACTTTCAGGATTCTTTCCAAGCACTGTGCCCCACCCCTAGTGATTCATCCTAGGGCCAGAAGATACACTCACCCCAAGGGAAAGGCTGACATCCACCAAAGACCCAGAACAAGCCCTCCTAAGAGTTTTAACTCCCTTAACTCCCAGTAAGACTGACTTTTGTTTGTCAACAATAAGTTGGGTTTTTTTTTTTAACTCTTTTTTTAATATTTTTTAGTTGCCAATGGATGTTTTACTTTGTTTATTTATATGTGGTGCTGAGGATTGAACCCAGGGACTCAAACATGCCAGAAAAGCACTCTACTGCTGAGCCACAACCCCAGTCCTCAATAGTAAGTTTTTTAAAAAACATTTGGTAAAACAATTACCTAATTTCTTTCCAAAGTTACTTTTTAAGGTTACAGTTACGTTCAACTAGCAATCTGCTAGGAATTATTGGGTATTAAAAAAGAAATTACAAGAACAAATTTTTTGTTTTTATTTTGTTAAGAGGCACACAGCAATTTATTGAAAAGTTTATAGAAAAGCAGAAACACATTCAAGGGAGAATGCAGGCCATCTTAAGAGCGAAAAAGTCTACAAGAACAAATTTTTTTAAATATTTATTTTTTAGTTGTAGTTAGACACAATAACTTTATTTCACTTATTTATTTTTATGTGGTGCTGAGGATGGAAACCAGGGTCTCGCACTAACAAGGCGAACGCTCTACCGCTGAGCCATAATCCCAGCCCCAAGAACAAATTTTTAAAAGTAAAAAATGTTCAGCAGGTGGAATACAGTGGCACATGCCTGTAATCCCAGAGGCTTCAATGACTGAGGCAGGAGCACACAAGTTCAAAGCCAGCTTCAGCAACTGAATAAGGCCCTCAGCAACTTAGTAAGACCCTGTGTCAAAATAAAAAATAGAAATGGCTGGGGATGTGGCTCAGTGGTTGAGTGCCCCTAGTTCAACTCTAGTACCCACACAAAAAAAAAAAAGTTCAGCAATCTAACATTTCTCTATTGGAATTTTGTACAGGTAAATCTGTGAAAACAAAAAGTGAAACTGACTTGTCTAGTCTTACTATTTGAGCTCCAAATACATTTGGGCAAGGAGCCAAAGTTGGAGTACTCTTTATTTTTGTTGTTATTGCCATTAATTCCAGCCCTAAATGCCAACTCTCCCTAAGTGCCAACTCCAAATGCTCTCCAAGTAAAAGGAAACCACTGTCACTTGGTTCACAAAATCAGGCCCTACCCTACTTACCCTGGAGGAAGAACGCAAAGCACAGATTAAAAAGACACGCTGTAAGACACCCTAGTCTGTAAACTGAGGCCCACGCCAGAAAGCATCCATTAGCCTTGTCTAAGCATCTAGTCCGGGCTTGTGGCCACTTCAAGGATTCCCTTAAGGAATCCAGTTTCAGGAAAGGCGGTCAGACTGGCCAGAATCCCACAGTGTTTATACTCTGGTCCACCAGGGCTTCTAGGCAGCTGCCTGGCATTAACCCCCACCTGGCTTCCCCTACCCCATGGGGCAGGTGGCACTGGGGATCGGGGCTCAGTCCACCCGCGGGCAGACAGCCGGACATGACCTTGAGGCAGGCCCCTCCCCTGAGAGGCGACCAGACCCGGGAATAGGAAGGACTAGCAACCGGACCGGCGTCCCTCCGCGAGGCGGCCGGGGCTGAGCGCTGCTGCCGCCAGGGAGCGCCGAGACAGGGGGACGGACGGGGGCGGGGGTCAGGCCGGTGGCCCCGCAGACCTCCAGCCAGGGAACAGACCCCACCTCACAGATGCAGCCTAGAGGAAATGACCCCGGGCTCCCCTGCCTGGAGGAGGGGCGCGGCCCCGGGGACAGGGGTCAGGACGCCCCGAGGCCGCACCGAGGGCCCAGGGTGGGCGGAGGGGTAGTGCGCTCCGGGGAACTGACGGGCGCCCCGGGCCGGGGCCTCGGCGGGGCTCGCACATGAAGCCCAAGGCTCGGTGGAGGCGCGAAGTGACACCCGCGGTGGCGGGCGCGGGCGCCGGGCTGCGGGGACCCGGGAAGGGCGCCGGGAGGCGGGGGCCGGACCCCGCGGGACACGGGCGCCGCGGGCCCGGGGGCTCAGCCTGCCCGGCCTGCGGCGCCTCGGGGCCTCGGGCGTGGGGTCCCGCCGGGCGGGAGCGGGCGCCGGGGTCCGGGCTGCGGCGCCGAGGGCCGGCGGCCGGAGTCCTCACCCCGCGAGGCTGGCCCGGGCCCCGAGCGCTGTGCGGAGCCGGAGCGCCGGCCCCGGGTGGATGCCGGCCCGCGACCCTGGCCCTGCCCGCCGCCCGGCGCGGCCTCGCTCGGCCCCTACCTGTTTGTGTCCCGGCGCCCGCCCGGCCCGGCTCTGCGCGGCGCTTCCTCTCCGCGACTCCTCAATGGCGCAGGCCAGCAGCTCTCGACCCGACCAATCGAGCGGCGACGCGCCGGCGCCTGGCCAGCCGAGCGCCGAGCCATCGAGGAGGCGCCCCCTGGCGCTGGCGGCTGCTCCTGCAGGGCTGCGGGCTCCTGCGGGCTCCTGCGGGCTCTCCGTGCTTTGCTGGGGCTGACGCTGAACAGCCCCGCCGGCCCCGTTTTACAGGCGCGGAAATTGAGTTCCGGGAAAGGCAGGGCCCGGAATGACTCTGCTTCCGACAGTATTGGAACCCTTCAACAGCGCCGTGCATACACAGGAAAGGGACCAACGACCTTTCATCTGGCCCATGCAATGGGATCTCCACTCAGCAGCTACAGGGGTCTATAATTCAGCCCACGCCTACTTAAAAACTTCTCGGTTATACTTCATTAAAACCCACCTCCTCACCGGATAACGCCAAGATTCTGCTGGATTTGGTCTCTCTTCCTATTTGGGCCGCTTTTTCCCTGGCCCATTCTAACCCAGCAGGTTTCATTTCCTATCGTAACTTGACCTAGTTTCCTCATCTTACCCTGTTGGTGTTTTCTTCGTAGAACCTAATGCTACCTGAGATTATTTCATGTATTTGTTCATATATATGTTATGTTCCTCCACCCTGAGAGTTCCTCGAAAGCAGAGGTTTCATCTTTTTTCAAAAACATTTATCCAGGGCTGGGGTTGTGGCTCAGTGGCAGAGCACTTGCCTTGCATGTGTGAGGCACTGGGTTCGTTCCCTAGCACCACATAAAAATAAATAATCAAAATAAAGATACTGTGTCTATTAAAAAAAAAAAAAAGTTTATCCAACACCTAGATACTGATTGCCTAGCACAGAAAAGCATCAATCAATGTATTATGAATGAACGAAGGAACACTTCACTCTTGCACAATCACAAGAAGAGCAAGAGAGACGCTTGGGCTCATATAAAGTCAGAAGATGCAGGGCACAGGATGGCAAGACTGCAATAATGTGCTCACCATAATAATTATCCACCCGTGGGTAATCCTAAGCTAATGAGGGTGACTGGGCTGACCCGCCTCTAAACAAGGCGGGGGTTCCTAGGAGATGAGATCCATTAATGTCAAGTAAAACCTCAGACTCCATTGGCAGAAGTCAGCTCTCTTCAGAGCTGAAGAACCTCAAAATCCTGACAGCAGCGCAGACACAGGGTTGTACCTGGGAAGCAAGCCAGGGAGCTGTTGGTGTAGTTCATTGGTAAAGTGCTTGCCTAACATGTGTGATGCCCTGGGTTTGATTCCCAGCTCTCAAAAAAAAAAAAAAAAAA